TAAAAACAATAGTCTAGATTCTAATTATGCTACACACTTAAACACAGAAAAACTCATTTTTGACGACAATTTTGATATATTACACACAGCCACAAAAAGTAGAAAATTAAATTTATTGGAAGCCATGGAGATTAACAAAATGAGACATTAACGATCAATTAGATTTAAATACCTCTCCTTTATTGAACTTAAACTCTCGCAACAACATGAATTAAGGTTTTATGGTCATTTTGCAGTATACATAGTAGCAGGTAGTTTGTAAATATTACATTTGATAAAGACACGGTGTTGTCGAAACAATTGTCATGTCATAATATATAATTTCGTGAAAATCTGAACTTTTAGTTATTTATTTTGATTTTTATTCCAGATATTTATCCCTTGGTTTGCATCCTATCCACCTATAATGCCGTATTTAGGAGATTCACAAATTAGCTCGTTAGTTTGAAAACTAGGGGAGTAACCAAACCAAAATGACATTTTAATATTATCTATATCCAACTTTTATGAGCAGCGGCTGTGTATGGATTTAACTGTTATACTAGTAGGTAATTATTCTATTTCTACCCTATCGTTACAATTATTACGATTTACGATAATTACTACGTATGATATTTAGTAATTATTTACGCGAGGTGAAAAAGGTAAACGATAGCCTTGAAGTTTAACACAAAACGATTTACGCGTCGAGACCAGGGGCAAAGAAAAACGGTGCAAACTAAAAACTAACAACAAGGCTGTAAAAGGGCATTTTATATATTTTTTATCGCCGTCCGCGGGAACAGGTTGCTTTTTGCTTAATTTGCAATGTCGTTCGGTACCGGTTTTAGAACGTAAACGAACCTGCGTGTCCATATGGTCAAGAATTTCTCAAGCGCGATTTGATCATCTCATTTCAGACTCGCGATCTAAAACAATACGACGGTATTGAATTTTCGACGTCAATACTCTTGCGTCGTTCGGTTCGCTCGGATTCTGGGTTTCGTGGTTCTGACCGAATTAAATAAATTTAAAAAATTCAAAGTTTGTTGCCGAATCCAGTGTTGCAATAATTGAAGCGGCTAATGCAACGCACTTTGTGGACGCAGATCTGCGGAGTCATGATTTTTTTTCGTGAATAGCTGTTTTCGTTATCCAAAACTAATCACGAATTATATTAGCTTCCATTAGTTATTTTCTTTAAATTATCTACTTACTACTTACTGTATCGATAGTAATAAGTTTTTAATTATTATAAAATATACAATATTGTTGGTAAGTATTTCGATTGGACGAAATCCTTTTGACTCAACTTTCTTTTATCCGAAATCATTTACATAAATAAGGATTTTGCTTTGATTTTGATTTAAAGTCGTTCATAAAAATTGTTTACTCTGAAATGTAAATGTCTTTTTGAACATAAAAACACAAAAATTTTCCTGCGGAATATAAAAATGCAACAATTTTTCCGCGGAAATGTAAATATGTATTACACGTTTGTGTAATAACTTTTAATTTTTCTTGTTATTAATAAGCAAAAATAACTATTGTGTAAGGAAAATACATTACATATTCTAAACATACCACACAAACTTTCTTATCGCTTGCATTTTGGTCCCTTGTTTTTATTAGTTTCAGTTTTAATGGAACTGATTTTGGTTATTGTATATTCTGGAAAATGAAAATCGTGCATTCCCGCAGAATTTTTTTTTTATATGTTTGTAAAGGCTTCTAAAGGGCAACTCTCAGATAACTAAATTCAGCTAAACGAAATTTTACCCATCATTTTTAACAAACAAGTTGAACTCTTCTCGTTTTCTTTTAAAATTATTGACTTCAAAAATAATATTAAAATCTTTACCTCAAACATGGTATATATTTCAACAGCAGTACCCTAGGAATCGATGCTGGGTCCGATATTATATATTATGTAATAGATTCCAGTATTCCATTTACAGCTTTACGCTGATAGAGTTCTCTGCAATAACTTATATCATTATAAGTAAAAATAGCTAGTTCTGTGATCATCTTTCATCGATGACAAAAGAGTTTAAATAAATTAAAAGTTGAAGTGGACAGCGCAAAGATATAACATTTCTTGGCCAATATATTGATAAAAATCTTAACTTTGCGAACACACTGTGAATACTTAATACTCAAAGTTATGTTCTGAAAAAATTAAAACGAAAAGCTTATTCAGGTTTATTTTGCGAACATTGGTGACATGCCGCTTGTTTCTATGGTCGGTCAACCCGCGCTACAGATGTTTTCATTGCTCAAAAAAGGTGGATACGTTCTCTTGGTGGAAATCCAAAAACTCGTAGTTGTAGAGATTATTTTAAAAATTTTAATATTTCAACTATGTCGCCTTTATGTTTATATAAAATCGGTTTGTTTCTTTTTATAAATCGTGATAACTTTTTTTTTAATGTGATCTACGTAGATTAAGTGCTAGAAGTAATTCTGTCCTCCGCACAAATATTTGCAAATCGAAATTGGCTTTTCGATCTCCTCGAAAAGTAATATAATAATATTAATATTAATAATAATAATAATAATAATAATAATAATAACAATAGTAATAATAATATGCCTATTCTGTAGACATCGACAAATTTAAATTAAAAATACTACATCACATTTTGTATATCCACAAAATAACCAAATAAAAATTCTCAATAAAACTCTTAAGTTGAGCGGGATCCCATATCATAAATTTACCCTGCCACATATTGCACTAAATGACGTTAACAAATGTTTAAAGAAATTACTACATAATTTATATAAAATACAAAGTCTAACCTACGTAATATAAGAATTTTAAACAAGCAATTCTACGATGTAATTTTTAGTCGTTTTATTTTGGACATTTTCTCATTTTTTTGGATTTATATATATATATATATATATATATATATATATATATATATATATATATATATATATATATATATATATATATATATATATATATATATATATATATATATTAGTTTACTTCTTGTTCTTTATTGCTTCGAGGCTTACAGATAAATTTTTTGAAATGTTTTTTAAATGAATTATGAATCTCCGCCTTACATCCTCATCTAGGAAATTTTAAAAATAGGAGTGCAAAAATGTGTAACATTTTTGTCCAATTTGTGTTTTACACTTATTTGTTATCACATTTGCCTGTTCACTATTTATTGTATTATAAAAATGAGTTATATTATGTAGTTCGGTTTTGTTTTCAAAAATATTTAAAATCGGTGTTTTAGAAAATAATTGCCTCATCGTAAACCATTTCGACTCCCTAAATAGTTGCACAGAAGAGAAATTTATAGTTTTTTGGAAAACCATTGTTAGGAAATATTTTTACATAATATGCATTTTTTAAGATGTATATCCAGTACTGTAGGGCTCTAATTTTGAAATAATTTTCCACTTCACATAAAACTCGCAGTTATGTTAAAAACTCTTTGTAATAAAAAAAACTTGACATCGTGTAGCAGATTATTTACAAATTGTGTTGATTTTTCGTTTCTCCTTTTAAGTAACTGTTAGTGTCGGTGGAAATAAACGTATTACATTGCATTGTTAACGTACGATTCTCACTCGTAAAATATATTTTCACATTTCCAATCTTGCATTTGAAATATTCCTTAATGTTGGAAAATAGAGGCTACAGGCTACTGTAAAATGACCTTAAACTTTTAAGTTTGTATCAAAAAATTAATTAATGCAGAGAGAAATAAAACAAAATTTCAAATAAAACGCTCCAGACGACTGCCTAACAGTGCATATATATGAAGAAAAGAAATCTAATTCAACTCAAATCAATATTTATGATGTTCAATGGAATGAAAATAAAATATTGGTTTATCATATGAAACATATACAGAATGCTTATATTACGAAATCAACTTTGCAACATTCTAACCGGAAAAATGTTTTTTTGAATGAAACTCTTAGTTAAAGATAAATCATTTCGTGCTACATCTGAATTCAATAGTTTCGCAGAAGATGGTGATTATATAAAATATAAATAAACACAAAATTATTAAAAAAATTGTGGTGGCTGCTTTCATAAAAGTAGAATGAAAAGGGAAATTCATTTTCATTCGATTTGACAGTGTTGCAGCTGCAAAATATTTCAATTTCCATATTCTAGTCCAAAATTTTTAATTAGTTTAGTTTAAAAAATACTTTAGTTTAGTTTAGTTAATTTATAAAACGTATACAAATCCAGCGCTATTATAAACTTCGCAATTTGTAAATTCGCAGTATCTAAAAATAAATACATAACATTGCAGATTCTCAACTGGTTAAACGAGAAATTTAAGCCAGAACCGTATTGCAGATCTGCGAGTTTCTGTTTTTATTAACAGCAATATCAAAACTATAAATGTGTCACACAGACCTAACAAAAATCATGGCATTAAAATTAATATTAGCTTTTAAAAAAATTGCATGCATAGGAAAAATTGTAAAGAAAAAATCCTTTGTTACTGCTAAATTGGTGGAAGCTCGAAGGTAAGCTAAGATGGACTGCTGGCTTAATTGTTGTATTTTTGGAAATTGTTAAAAATTCTAATAATGTAACCTCAGAAATCTAAGTTAAAATAAAACTCTCGGATTTCCAACTATGTTCTCATTTATTAATCTAAATAAATTTTTTCCAATCTCGGATGCCTTATTTCAAGTATCTTCAATTTTCAACTCTGGTGTTGGGCCCAATTGAATCGAAGTTGACTCCAATTCGTTCAAATTGTTTAAGTTAGCCTTTAAAAACCCGAATTAAAATTTAGTGGTGAATGCAACAAATTATTTTTTTTTAAACTTTTTAATGAATTTAAATCATAAAAAAGTGAGTGCGCTCTTTAATAATTGAACTAAATGATTTTTACTCGAGTCGCGCTCACACAAACTCGCTTCGGGTGGTAATATCGACCATTCCTTTAAAGTTCGAAAAGACGAATGGGAATCTGGGGCGACTATGCGGCGTTGTCCCACAACGAGCGGCAAAAACGAGCAAAACTAACCTCTGTAGATTTCTCAACCGTTAATCCATTCGCCAAGCTAAAGCCGAATTTCGGTGTCAGATTTCGTTCCCGGTCAGTGAAAGACGATCACCACGATATTCTAAAACCGCGTTGTACTCATGTTACCTCTCCCGTCGCGACTGAACGATCGTTGGACACGAACTGGTGGCGGCAAGTTCGCAGGAAATCGCCCGAAACCTTCTATCCGTTTGTTGGTTGTGAAAATCGCTCGTCGCCATTCGGCATTCCTGACAGATCCTGCGGCGGTGGAAGTTAGGTGCGGGGTGCAAGGAAAATGCCACCGGCAGGACTTCGATGCGCGGCGCACCTCGTTAGAGTCGCGCGGCGATGCCACGTTGCGTGTAAGTTCGAAACACTTTTCAAGGTTTCATTTTTTAAGTTCCACAATTAGATTTTAACACATTAATGAGAAATTTAAATGTTAATAGAAGAAAATGAGGATTTCAAAATCGAAAACATAGCTTGAAATATTAATACTTCATCAATAGTATTACATATTACTGGTTGTTTACATACGAAATCCCACGTAAATTTTCAGGTGCCCAAATATTGCCTCCCCTGTACATTTTATAGCAAAGTTGTAATATAACTTTTTCAAGAGGCCGGTATGGTTAACTCATGTGTAGAGTTTGAATAAATTTTAATGAATCAATCTTCAGTTATTGAATTAAATATGACTACAAAATTGCGTCTACGGTTTTTGAAAATACAAGGGTGACGTCACATACTACAGCTGTATTGACAACATCTGTGTGAATTGTGTGAACAGCCTAGTAATTGACGCTTGTATTTCTGATCATGGTGCCTGGAAAAATACATTACTGTTCGAGTTTAGAAGAAGATATCAAACTGCCTAAAAAAACAAAGGTGGGAGGCTAACGGGGCTACTGGTACCGAAATTACAGCAATCTCATTCGCGATCGCCCATGGTTTTATTAATAAAGCAAGGAATAAAAGTTGTTAACGCTCAGTGTATAGTGGCTTTTTATTAGTAATCTAGTTTTCGCCTGCATATGCAAGCTTCATCAGGATTCTACGTCCCATTGGATAGTGTGTTGGTGCGATACCAATCAAGAGTTTAAACCTTGTATGAATTTGTTTTGTATAATGTTTAATCAATGCTTTCCTAAGAAAACAATGAAAAACGCTAGTGGCATAAAATAAATAAATAAAATGCTAATAGATTTAAAACCCTTCCAAAACATTACTTACAATATTTTCATTAATTTGCCTTATTTGCAATTATAAATTTTAATTATCCAAGTTTTATAGTTTTCCTTATTTATTTTGAATTTTAAATATCCTCCAAGAAAAAATCTAGTGGACTAATAACTGGAAATCTTATGGGTCATTCTATTGATTCCCTTCTAAAAATCAACTGTCCTGGAAGTGCCGTATTTAGATATTCACGCACTTGTCTATCTAGCATATAAGGCGGATTTGGACTTGGAAAAGAAACTGCAAAAGTAGAAATGAAGTCATTTTGAAGAAATTGTAAATATCTGGCTTCAGCAAGATTTTGATCGATCAAATAAGGTCCAATAATTTTGCTATTCAAAATCCCTGCCCAAATATTTACTTTTTGTAGATGTTGTATATGATATTCTCTTATCCATCATGGATTATTTGTATGCATACTCCAATACGAACAATTTTTTTATTTACTATTTAAGATTTGAACAAGACTTCGCTTCATAGCTAAACAGTGTCTAACGACGAAAAAATTGATTTAAGTTGGGCTTCATCATAGTTTCAATGTTCAGTGCTGCTATATTATTGTAATCTGGTTGATAGTTTTGATCTTTTAATGAATGCAAAGCTATTTGTTGGGTAATATCATTATTTGGATCTGGGTGTGTCTAGAATCAGAACGGATTTTTTTCTTCGACGTCCTCCCCTACTACAAGAATAAGATCGCCATTAGATTCACTGATGGAAGTAATATAAGTTCTAATTTTGACATGATTATTTTTTTTCTTTAAAGTTGTGTTCGTCATTAAAATATTCTGTTGTATTGTGTAATGTTTTGTTATTTATTATATTGGTTACGATACAATACACATTATTATTCAGTAAGTATAAGTTATTTTATTAAAATATATAAAAGATATTAATTAATATAAACCTACAAAATATTTATTTAATTTTTCGAGATTTCAAGATTAATCCCGGGATTGCAAGTAAAAATCCCGAAATTGAATCCTGATTCCGAAAATTGGAAACCCCAATAATAACTCGTAAATCGAAAATGTTTCACAAAATCGAACTTTTTTAGCGTTAATTCCTGTAAATCATATTTTAGGTTAGGATAAAGCGGTTTCACTGCATCGTTGGACCCTTATTTGACTATCTAATCACTTGGTGGCAAGGTAAATAATCACAAGCTCAAACAGCTATATACCAAACCTCATTGCTCTGACTTGGGACGTTTTGATGTTTTGGGAAGACAGTTGGAATTTCTTAAAAGCAATATTGAAATCTCAATAGTTAATTCCAAAATTGGTTTAGTTGATGAGACAAAAACTTGGGAATAGTAATCGATAGTCATCTTAGGTTTTAGCAACACCTACAACTGATATTATAAAGAACTTTTTGTCTCCAAAAATGCTTTAGAGCAACTGACATATTTTAAATTTCAAACCTGTATACGAATTATATGTAGTTTTAAACCACGACTTGCAATGACTTAGAATGAATTTTAAATGTGTACAGGGTGGCTGAAATTCGACTCTCATCATTGGGATTTCGGAAACCGTAAGAGATACAGGTTTTGATGCTCAATATAATTCCGTTTTGCGTTTTGAGAAATTACAAAAACATTTGAAAATATCGACATTTTCAATTTTGGTTTCTACTTAAAATGAAAAACACCTGCGGACCTGATTTGCTTTCAATTTAATTAAATTCTTTCAATTTTAAAACACTATATATCGTGACTTTGACATTTGCTCATACAGAAAATTCCATCACCAGAATATTTTATATATTTTTTATCATAATACGACCATGAACTACATTTGAGATTGATGTTTTTATATTTATCTTTGTTTTTATTGCATCTCATGAAATTAAACCTAAGATACAAAAAAGTAGACAACAAATCAGTTTACATAAACAATTTGTCCTATATTTGATACGCATATTAAAAATAAATTTTATTTGTTTTTTTGTAGGTGGTTGTCTCAACGCCTCGCGCCAAAATTATTTTATTCCGAAAGTTTCGACAGGATCAATAATATTCTTGGCTCTAGTTAATAGCAAAATGGTATTTTCTTCTTTGGAAATGATAAAAAGCTGTTGCAATCCAATATTCTCAAGTAGTAAGTCAACAGGAATTGTATCCGGAAAGACCACAGACTCATTATAACCGTTTCGCTATTTTAGGCAATAATTTGTCTCTGTATGGTAGTTTTCATAAACCGAGAAGAAAATATGGATCCCGTGTAACTGCTGAAGAAGAGCAACAGATTATTAAGGAAGTTAGTTTATTTTTTATTTTTCTATCTGTTGCTACAACATATTTATATTTAAGGCCAGTCAAACACTCAAGCCAGGAGATAATGAAAGGCGCTTGGGGTTTTGTAACCGATTATTTTAAAAAATATATACAAATGTATATATACAATAACATAACATTCACAGACGAATGCAGGTTTCTGAATTAGCGGATTATTCAATCGGAACAATGAACATTATTGGTCTTGGTAATACAAGAATAAGCTTCAGAGGTTCATTCAATGTATGGATTGGTATGTAGAGGAACCGAATTATTGAATCTTTCATTTAGGACGGGACCTTAACTTCCGAACGATATCTAAATTTGATTAGGGATGATGTCCTAGATGCTCTAGGCGATCAACCTTGGGCGGTATTGCAAGAATTATGGTGGCAGTAAGACGGAGCTCTTGTTCTTAATGGAAGGGAAGTAACTCAATTCCTTAACCATGTAATTCCTAATAACTGGAAAGCCAAAAAACGGTTTTGTAAGATGGTCCGCCAAAAGTCCACATCTCAGTCTCCTTGGTTATTTCCTTTGGGAATATCTTAAGAACCTTCAAGTACTACAATTTCCGCTGTTAGATATCAATGAGTTGCAATAAAAACATCATGAAAATATAATAAATTTATTCTGTTGTTCACCTAAAAATGTAGTTCAAGGCCGTATTATGATTAAATAAATATTAATTAATATATTCGGGTGATGGAATTTTGTGTAAGAAATATCCATAAATATCAAAGTCACAATATATTGTGTTTTAAAAGTAATGAAAGGATTTAATTAAAATGAAAAAAGAACAGGCTCCTATTTAAAAAAAATAAATTAATGATGGTCACCAGAATATTTAATCATACAGCCAGAAAATGTATTTTTCATTTCAAGTTATCTTAACAAATAAAACCAGGAGACAATGGAAACCAAAATTTAAAAAAACCATTTTTTCCGAATATGTTGCCCGACTTTGGCTCTATTTAAGCTACCCCTGTATTTCTTACGGTTTGAGCCACCCTGAACATCATTTTGCAAATTTTTATATAAAATTATTAAAAACAATAAGGATTCACTCACTCACTGGTATCTCGTCATAATGTTCGTGTACTATTCATGAAGTACAGAAATAAATTGTCTGCAGTTTTTTATTGTTGATTGATTGTTGATTTATTAAAGTTAAATGTTGGAAATTAAAAAAAATATTTACTTTTGAGTTAGCTTAGTTAGTGACTGTTGTGTAACAAAGTTATTCTTTCTTAAAATTATATTTTTAATTTAGTACGTAATTTACAGTGTACTTGCTGATTGAGTAGAGTAGCTCTAAGGTCGACTGCGCCAGTAGGGAAAACCTATTGAAAAATTGTAAATTGTTTTCACTTTCGTTTAATTAAGTATTATTATTATTATTGTTATTATTATTAATTAATGATTTGCATTGTTACATAGTTTATAATAGAGATTTAAAATTGATTCAGATTTCGTTGGTCATAGTTGACTTTTGTACTCAACAAAAAATACTGTTTTCCTGAAGCGGTTTTAGTCACAGTTAGCCATCCGTTAGGCATTTATGCGACAAAAGATATCAAGTTTCAAATAGCGTAAAGTAGGTAACACCAGTAGCCGCCGATATAAGAAGAAACCTATCAACTTCGAACGGAATATTATCCCACCGACAGAATGGTTCGTGTTTCGTGCGCGACTTGTCTCATTGAAAATGTGTTCCTAGTAAAACTGTGTATTTTCGCTTTGTCTCTGGTGAGTTTTCCCGCTAACGTTTCCGTCACGGCGTTCTACTTTTCGTCATCAATCCGCGAGTCACTTTTACTTGCACGAACGAAAAAGTGAATGCCGCGAATGTTTAATTACAAGAAACTCGGTACTAGTTGATTGCTCGACAGCTGCTCTGCTATTAAACGTCCAAAAAATCAAAAATTCGGTCGAATGTGCGCTGCTCAGTCGACTTTTAGCTAATGAACGACGAAATTGCCAAAGTCAACATGGAGTGAAGTTTATTCTTATTATCTCGTAATGGGATTTAGTCATGAAAGAACGTAAATTATCTTCGAAGCGTACGATAACAACTATTTGCTCAGAAGCCGCCATTCATTTAAAATTTATCTGCTCTGTATATTGGTGAAATTCAAACAGAACCACCGCTCACCGCAGTATATTTTCGAGTCTTATTTCGTGTAATCTTACAATGTACCTAATTGGCGTTTCATGTACATAGTGTATTCCCTTTTCTATTTGAGTTTCCTTCAAACGAATACAGAAACAGTCAATGAGATAGCAATGTCAATTTCGTTACTAAATCTCCGAAGAGGTACCTATATCCTATTTGATTTTTCATTAAATATGTGTAGATTTCCTAGTTGATTGAATATTTTCAGGCAACATGGAATTGGAGGAGCGTTTCAGACCGACGTGCTCGTCGTTGCAGAAGATAAGTTTCGGCCTCGGCCACGTATTCAACGATTTATGTGCCGCTATGTGGTTCTCCTACACTTTGTTTTATTTACAAGTTGTTTTAAGTATTCCATCTACGACGGCCGGAACACTTTTGATGATCGGTAAGTTACCTAATCTATCGGGTGTCCCACTTATGAATACAATCCAGAGGCACCGTAGAGCGTTTAGAGCAGAATTACTTTCCAGAGTCGTGGAAATTTTTTTTATAGGAAAACCTTTTCTAGTGTCAAACATCATTGAAAAAGTTTTATATGCTCAAGAATTGATATTTTCTTATCAACACCCAAAATGGTTTTCGAGAAAAACACCACAATTTCCTGATCTGACAACAGGAGGGGAAATACGTACAAAATGACACACTCTTTCTTTTTGAAAATATACAGAGTGTCCCACTTAAGAAATGTACACCCTTGTAAAATCTTTGTTTATGGTTCGATTATGATTTTTTTGTTGGATAGATCTCTGAAAAATGTACTAAAATCTTGTTTTGCTTATTACTTCAACTTGAAGTCATGGCCAACTAGGACTACTTAACAAAAGGAGAAAATAGAGAAGTACTATTATGGATTTTTTTAAAAATAAATTGGCAACTAATTCTTATTCGGGAGTACTTAGAACCGAACTATACCATTTTTTATAATGTTTGAAATATCGTTGTAAATCGTTGATTACGGTTCGATTTTGATTTTTTTTTTGGATATATCTCTCAAAAATGCACTAAAACATTTTGTTTCTTATTGTGTCAACTCAAAGTCATGGCTAACTGGGACTAACTTTTGATGTCAAATATTCACAAGGTCTATTGGGCATTACCAAATATTGTAAACTTTGTAAATAACGATTATTTTCTATGTGATTTTAAGATCTTACAAATTGACATTACACAAATTTCAAAAATAATGGTAAAAAAGACTTTTAAGGGGACATTTATTTTTTAGTATCATCTTAAAACAACAGCATGAATAAATCTTAGTATTCGAAACATGTAAACAAAATTAAAATATACATTAACGAGTGAATTTCGCTTCTCCATGGGAAACTTGGTTTCACAAAGGCAACAATATGCCGACGTCAATAAATTTTGTTATCCTTTTTAATTAAAAAAATACAGCGTTTTAAAGTTTAGTTTGTATCTAATCCTCTCTAATCACATTTAATTTAAAGAAAATCGTTAGTTTCTTTCAGTGAAATCTATGCAGCATAAAAATTATCAAACATTCTACAGGAGTAATGCTTAAGCGAGGGACCTGCGATATTTCCCTACTCTGAATTCGAAATTCATGGAAATTGGGTTTTACGTAATGAAAAAGGATTCGTTGACACTTTATTCTTACTTTCTTAGCCATGACTTCAGGTTGATGTAATAAGAAACATAAGGTTTTGGTGCGTTTTTGAGAGATCTATCCAAACAAACCAAAAATATCAAAATCAAACTGTAATTAAAGATTTTACCACGTACAGACGATATTTCAAACACCCTTTATTGAAGCATCCTGAAATTATTTCGTCCATATTAGGAGTTGATGTCAATACGAGCACGTTATGTATTTTACGGGGGTTTCTTTTACCTTGTCCAGTTACACGTGCTCCAATAGGCACTGGGGATATTACGGAATTGGAAATTGTTCGGAGTTTTGATGGGTCCTTTTTTCGATGCTAGGTCCTATTATTTGACTGTTTTCTAGATATAAATCGTTTTTCCGAAGGTTCAAATCGTAGTCTAGAAAACATGTGAATTTGATGGCCAAACCATTGTGCGCGTTTTGTACAGTTGCTGTTTTCTCATACGACTTGCCAAAAAAATATCCAATTTATAAGTGAATTACAACCCTGCTTGCATTCTGTTTAAGCCATAACGTAATTTCTTGATTGAAATATGTTTTTAGCGGACCAAAAAATGAAATATCCAATAGTCGGATTTTATAGGTGCAGTGGGCTGGCAAAATTTAGTGTGTCAATATCTTTTTGACTAATATGTTCGTCTAATACAAATAGAACTGTGTCATCTTTGGAGGCTTTCACGTGGGACTGAAAAAGAGCAAGCCATTTATAAAATATGTTTGTAGTCATTCAGCCTGATTCCTGTGCTACACCTACGTTGCCGATTTGTCTCCCATCAGTTAATAAATTCTTTTTACCAAACTTCTGGATTCCTCCTGCTTCGGTTTTTGCTGAGTCGAAATTGCTGACGTTTCGGTAATCATCCTGTTGGCTTCTTCAGTTTCAGTCAAGCTCTGAAGAAGCCAACAGGATGATTGGCGAAACGTCAGCAATTTCGACTCAGCAAAAACCGACGCAGGAGGAATCCAGAAGTTTTGTAAAAAGTATTACAGTAGCCTGTGGAAGTTTCTTTGAAAAATATTCATATTCTTTCTAGGGGATATGAGAAATATGTTTACATCCAGCAGTTGCAAATATCTTCTGGCCCGTTTGAACGGTATTTAAACCCGACCCTATTATTCTGTATAACTTCAAAACCTTTCAACGGTTCTCAAAACCATTTTTGCTGCTAATTGATAAGCTTTTATAATGGCGTGATATTGTTTATATTTAATATGAAACAACAAAATGGGTAAAATGACATATTATGTCATTTTAGACATGGTTGGTATATGTCATTTTGTAAATAAATCAGAATCAATATTTATTCAAAATTAAAACAAAAATTGCATAAACATTCACCAGTTTCTACTGTATATGACTACTGAGACATGCAGACCAGTAGTCCAAATATCAAACCTAATTTTAAACTAAAATTAAATATCTTAACATCAGTGGACGTCTTACTTGATACGGTGCATGAGCCGAAAAAAAATTTTGACAGCATTGCGCTGGGTTCCAACAAGGATTTTAAATACTATGTTGTTTTGTCCGTATATGTCATTTTATTCCCCTAAGGGCTGATATTACGGAAGCTAACTATCGTTGCTTGAAAACGATAGACGACCGCCTTGTTTCGAGTAAACTGAAGTCTTATGGACCCAGGCAGGTGACAATTTCTCAGACTCTGGCCAAGTACTTTCTGTAGTGTGCAACACTGGTCCATGATTTTTTATTTTTTACACAATTTGCTTAAATCTACAAAATATTGCAGTCTTACGCTGAGGACACACTACTTTATTGTCATTTTCAAATGAGTAATTTTTGTCGGTCTATTCAATCTATTATTGAAGATCTGGAATTTATTAAAGCTTATTAAGGAAGAACATGCACTAAATCTATATTCTATTAGATTTAACCTATGAAATTTTTTGAAAAATCAAGGAAAGACTTTCTGATCAAACCCCTCTAGTTCTGCACACAACCTGGATTCTGAGTTTATTGAACATACCAGAAACCTGGTGTAAACATTACACAGTCGTATTTAAGTTGTTCCGAATATTATTCTAAACCGACATATCAAATTTCATGACAAAATGCGCATTCTTAGTTTTTGCATTATTTTGGTCGATATCTATACAAAGTTTTATTTTTTTACTTCAAAAACTAAGAAAGTATGACAGAATGTTATATCAAAATTAAGATTGGTTAAACACGTTAAATAGAAGGCTAGATATAAATATAAATTATCTTCTCCTAAACATAGAATAGCTATCTATATAATTCAATGCTTGAACAACTTTAATCTTATAAAGGTTTAAAATTTGATGCTAATCTAAAGGTCCACTTCTTTGAAAAAGACAATGGCTTTATAATGATAATAATAATATTAATAAGGTTTTTTATTATTATTTACCATACAAATTAAAAAAGAAAAACATTACAGAAATACTTATTCAACATCGTATTAGGTAAAAAGCAGTTAAAAACAATTCGGAAAAGATATAAATTAACTCTTATTACAAAAATGTATTAATGTATTAATGCGTTTTTTTAAGATATTATTATGATGTTATACAGGGACAAACGTCATATATAAACAAACGTTCGAATCATTTGGTCTGAGTATATTTTAATTTGTGTGTTGTCCGGATATACACCTCAGTGTATACTTTTTATTCGAAATAAAAGTCGATATATTATCGATATATTTATGTTTGTGGTATTGCTTGTTGTTTAGTATTATGTTAGTTATTAAAGGACCCTAAAAAGTTATTTATAAATTTTTACTATTTAAATCATAACTTCAGAATTATGTATGTATTGTATCCATACTATGTATGGATGTATGTATTCATTGATCGCTGGTATGTTCACCAAGTACTACGTCAAAACCCGAATAATATTTTGATCATTTTTGCCTAGGTCAGGTTGTCGACTCTCTAGCAACACCGGCGGCAGGGTGGGCCATAGATTACACTGATCGACGTCGAGGATGGCATTTTGGCGGTAATAATTTCTGATTAGCTGAAATGTAGCTGAGCCGATCACGTTTCGTCATTTCAGGAACTGTTGCAGTAGCCGTAGGATTTTTCCTGATGTTTTCACTCAAACCGACAAATCTTACCACCTTAGTTTTAGTATATTACATTTTGAGTATAACTTTATTTCAAGTCGGCTGGGCTATCGTTCAGATCTCACATTTGTCGATTATTCCAAAGATATCGAGAAGTCACAGTCACAGTTCAGACTTGACCGCCATTCGGTGAGTCTATTTTCTTTTTCGCAAGGATGACACGTTCCAAAATTGGGTTTACTAGACTCGTAGGCTTCCAGGACTTAGTTATGGTCCTGAAGTTCGCATACTCTTCATATGTTTCGTAAACTAGTTATAAGATGTGTTTTTTGGTATAAAGTACTATACTATTTTTAAAAGTAAAGTACTGTAAGTTTCAATCATTAGGTAGGTAAGTGGTTACAAAATAGATGGTATTTAATTAAAAATGTAGAGGGGTTGTAAATAAGATGGCCAGTACTACAATCAGTAGTTATTATTAAATTAGTCTTAAAAAATCATTTCGTATTAGTAGAGTTAAATGAAACAAAATATATTTTTATCTTATTATTATTAATGTTTTCAGAAATTATATAAAATAATAGAGACATCAAATCTTAACAAACGTTATGGGTCATACATATGGGTTTCTGTCTACTTGGAATAAAGCTTTATTTCATCACTAAAGTACACTTTAATTTAAACTTAGTAAAGAAATTATTAAAAAAAAAATACCGCCAACATCTCTGCTTGTAAGTCACTTTTTTATGTTGTCTTTACCCCACCTGCTAATAGGTACCTTTTCAATGAGTCTGAAGTGATAGAGACATTCTATAAAATAATCAGAATTGGTTTCTCTGCAAATTTAGGGTCACCCGTTTCGGGTATCGTGCCATCACTATCTGTGATCTGTGAGGTCTTTCCATTTCCGAATGTCTTTCCTTGAGAATGAGGTCCACATATCTGTTTGGAGATCTTACTCGGCTTCTCGTTCCTTGCATGTTCCCTTGAATAGTGAGATTTTCCAGTCCGTTTCTTCTGACGACATGTCCAAAAAAGGATGTAATTCGCTCGGAGACGATGGTGTACAGTCGTTTTTTAATCTTTAACTGGTTTAAAATTAAATCGTTCGTTCCTCTTCGTGTTCATGATATGCGCAGCATCTTTCGCCAGCAACACATTTCAAAAGCATCGATAGCACGTTTGTCTGTTTGCTTGAGTGTCCAGCACTCCGATGCATAAAGGAAGACTGAGAATACCAAGGTTTTGACGAGTCTCATCTATGTAGACAGGGCTATGTCTCGACTCTGCCGTGCACCCTCCTAAATTTGTTATGAGAGAGCCAAGATTCACGAACTGATTAACGACATCTATACTCTCTGGGGAGAGATATTGTGTGTGTTTGGGAGAGATAGCCCCACATATCCTGCCATCTAACACTGTCAAAGGATTTGCTATAGTCTATAAAACGGATATAGGTAGCAACATTAAATTCTCGTGATTTTCCTATTATTTGCCTGATATTAAGGATCTGCTCTCTGGTGCCACGACCAGGAACAAACCCGGTCTGTTCTTCGGGTATCTCAGGCAGCAGGTGTACCTTAAGTCCCTCCAGCATTAGCTGCAGCATTATCTTACTGCGCAACTAGCTTTGACCCTTTCTTGTGTAGGGGTATGTATACAGAGGTTGTCCAGTCCTCTGGCCATGTACATGTGTGCCAAATGCTCTGACGCAGTTCAAGAAGTAATGTTATACCTGTATCACTTGGAGCGGTGATCATTTCAGGTGTTATTTTAACTACACCCGGGGATTTATATGTTTTAAGTTTCTTAAGGGCTGCTTCAACTTCTGCTCTTAAGACGCCAAGTTCAGGACTTAAAATATTTGCTACCTCCTCTGCTGTATCTTTCGTTGCTTACGGATGAGCCATGAGTTGCTGACAATATGTTTTCCATCGTTCCAGTATTTTATTTGTGTCCGTTAGGATTATTCCACCTTCCGATCTTATACTATTGTGGTTTGGGGAGAATTTTCGCTTTATTTGTTTGATCTTCATAAACAGACCTCTGGTCTCATTTTTGTTCTGGCGTGCTTCGATTTCTTGGCATATATTGTTCAGATATTTCTTTTTGTCGTCTCTGCACATTGGTTTGATCTTTATATGGAGCTTACCATATTCCTCGGCGCTCATTTATCATGATAATCGTCAGTTTTTTGGATGAGCAAAAAATTAAAGTAACATTAATTACAAATCCTTCGCTGTTACCTGTGTGTACAACTATTTATCTTTCCCCAGCATTAGAGTTGCAATTAAAAATAACATTTATTTGTATCATCTTGCTAAGATTTAATTGCATATTCGAAAAATATAAGTCGTAACCTGTGGTTTGATACTAAGAGTCGCACTTACAAAAAGCTTGTAAAAAATGCGTTAAAACACTGCAAATAACATCAATTTTCATCAGCTTCCATCTAAATTCTATAAAACGGCCTATAAACATATAAAAACAAAATTTAGAGATCGAAGAGGTCTTGGGAACAATGTATTCACCTAGAGTACCATGCAAAATTTTATTCTATGGAGTGACCCATCCATTACTTGACTTTTGTCACCCGGTTCGAATTTCATAACATATGAGTGTTTTAGAAACCTCCCACAAAACCTGATTCTATACCTTTGTTCTATATATAATAAAATACTTCTTGCAAAATACCCAGTTCCTAGGGTAACGTATTATTCTCGTATGCTACATCAAAAAGGAATCAGCGAAGATCCAGAAAATTACAGCCATATGGATCTCTTAAATTGTGCTGTAAAATATTTTGTTAAAATTCTACTTTCTAGACTATTAAAATGTCATCATGAATCCGAGATCTAGTTTCCGGGGGCTGTAAAGATAATGTTTATCTTTTGCCATACCTTCATTTGAGGCTTAAAATGCGAAAGATTTTTGTGCACATATGGATTGTACACTTGCCTGTAATAATGTAAACCACAATCTACTTTTGTTCTTTTGCAATTACATCCATGTCCATGTCACCGCTGCTTTTTCTATTATTTATCTCAGATATTCAAACACACTTAGAATCCCAAATTTCACTTCTCCTTTTTGCTAATGAGCTTGTCTTATTAGCTACTTCACAACAACAACAATAACTACTACAACTACTACACAAACGTAAATTGTAATGTAAGCAAAACTAAAATCATTAAATTTAATAGACCTGGCCAAAGAGCTTACTCTTTTCTCTTACTGAGATGACGGAAAAGTCAGTAATCAAAGCCAATCAGTTAACCGGCAGACTATTCTCAACAATGCCTAAACCCAAAATGGTAAAAAAACTCTTCCATTTCTTGTGTGTAAATGGACTTGCCGAATGTCTGGCTGGATGTGACCTAGATATTTAGACATTGTAAAGCAAATTCAAACTTTTATAAGAGAGTCCTTTGTTTCCAGAAATCAACCGCCTCTGGTTTTGTTAGGCTTGAAACAGAGTCAATTCATTTATCTTTTATTATCTTCAAAATGACTTTAAACTTCCTCTATAAAAATCACAAAATGTAAAAGAACTGCTTTCTAAGATTTTTTTTAACCGCCAAAGTCAACTTTTTCTGAGGCCGAATTTAATTGGGTGTTGTGAGAAAACTTTTTTTTTTAAAGCATTCAGTGTTTAGGCCTCTGGGGAAACCTAAATTTACAACGTATAATACAGCAAAAGCCTATTCTGCTCGAAAAAATGCGAATCAAATTGTTTGAGTGCGATATTGCTATTGCACAAAGCTCAGCATATGCCAACGTATATATATATTCTGATTTCACTCATCACACATCCTCATCGGCAGAATATTTGTTGCTTTGTAATCTAACATTCATTGTCAAATTAGTTGCTCAAATAAGAACAAATAATGCATCACTAACAACCCTTGTTTAGGAGAACGTAATGTTTTCCATGAACAATAAATAAATAAATAAAAATATTTCTGCAGAAACTCTCAGCTCTTACCGACAAAATTGGACCATTTGCATAACGAATTTGTGTTATCGTTTTTTGTATTTAAATCCTAAATTAGTTAATATATCAGATAAAGTGTGATCTTTTCAAATGTGAATTTATTTTTCTCCAATATTCTATAGTACAGCATCCCTAGCACCAAGTTCCTTTGTACATTTCATAAATAATATTTTCTATACTTCGTTGCTGCAAGTAGATCGACGCCTTTTGTTTTGTTTTGCAATTATAACCTCTCGCATTAACTTCCCGTTTTTGAACTGCAGGAACTAGTTTCAACCGTTCATTGTGTCGCTTATTACGAAGAAAACATTTTTCCACTTGCATAACAGCAAATGTTATTTGGGAGTCAAATACGTATCACTGGGAAAGATAATTGAATGGGTGATTGGAAAAAGGATAACATTCCAGTGAAGCGTGTTTCTGAAAAATCGAATAAAGTAGTTTATTTGCGAAACCGTTAATTGACAAAGTACATTTGATGCCAAAGTTTGAACGATTTACACCTATTTGGTAATTAGATATTGGCATTTGAATGTACAAAAATTTTATCTTTTTTCCACTCAAATTGCAAAAAGTTAGTTAAAAAAAACAAATGAAGGCTTTAATGAAGAACTCTGATTTATTTAAGCAACCAACATTGTAAAAAACATTATTTATATGCTTCTTAGTCTTCTGGGTCACTGGTTTCCCTATTTGTAGTGGGATTGGCCAGAATTTCATTATAGAAGGTTCTGTAGTCCAGTAGTATTTTGGAAATATCTTCCAGCTTCTTATAGTTGATAGGAGCTTTCTCATTGTATGCTTTTGAAATGGGAAGATCCACATTGTATGGTTTTTCATATTGAAAAGACCATGGGTGAAGCTGTCAATGAATTCACATGCTCTGATATAGCCTCTCATTGCTTGAGTATATGTTAAATGCCTGTATTTGCTTATGATAAAAGTAAATGTTTTTCCTTGATTTCTTGAAGTTTTTTGTAAAATTTGGATGCTCGTCTTTAATGAATCATAAGCTCTGCAACTGCGCACCTCTTTGCTGTTTCATTAAGAGTAGTCGACTTTATTTTTGCATTCAAGTCTTCACAAGTCGAGCAAACATCGACTTGAAGCCTACCAAACCGGTATCCGTAGTTTTCCTGAAAATGTCTCAAATAATATTCATACTTGACGTGAGTTCTCAAATCAGGATTTTCATTAGTGAAGAGCTATACATCTTAGTGATGTTCAAACTTCCATCTAAGTAGGTAATTAACTTAGAAGAATAATGAGATTCCTTTTTTGGAAATGATTTGATATGGTCATCAATTTTGGCAACAATTGCCCCATCGAGTTTATTTGCACGATTTGCATGCCTTCCTCTCATGTCAAATGGTGAAGTTTCAGTTCCACGGAGCTTGGTTAAACGTTGTACGACTTTATTCGAGAGACCATGCAAACTCATGTACGCACTGCGGCAAACTTCAACCCTGCTCGTCCCTTTCATAGCAAAATATTTGAAAGAAGAAAGATTTTGTCTAGACTCTGCTGTTGCAGGACGATAAAACTAACCAACCATCGTATCTTTGTATTAGTCCTATAAGATATGTATCTTTTTCATTTTTTGGCCGTCCATTATAAACAATTTCAATTACTGAACGTTTTTCTTCAATAGTAAAATCTGCCATACATTTTTTACGGCACGTGCAATCCGGCCCGCATTATCTAGTTTACCTTTATGTGTAACAAACTGTGCTCCTCGTTGTCTAGCTAATTTTTCCCTTTCTTTTATGTGACACTTTTAGTTCAACTTTCGCCTTTTTCCCTTCACGTTCTCCCTCTGAGTCCGATGAATCTGACATTTGTACAATACAGAAATACAACTTTAATATTTCTATTTAACCATCACTAAATAGGCACTTACCTTCTACGCACTAAACTGTCAAATTACAGATAATCAAGATTTCACTAACTACTAAAACACCTGTTGTCTCAACGCAAATGCAAAACTATGTGAAATAATCGGCTCAAGACGCTAACGGTTGTCAACAGGGCGCATAAATCATATTGTGCTGAAGACCAGGAATATTATCTTTTTTCCGCTCAACAACAAAATTATTATATGAAGGGAGCCGGCGATTTTATCCTTTTTGCGCTCAGCAGAAAGTGAATACAAATTTTAATATATTGGCTATCTTACTCACTCATTCAATTATAAAATGAATAATGAATGAATTTCACTAAATTTAATTTTGCTCAATTAATAGCATTTCAATATGGTTCATTTGTAACTGAACACTTTCAAGGACCCCGGGAATATAGTAGAGTTCTCTGACGATATACCGTTTTTACAACCTTTTGTGGTTTTGATATCGGAATGAGGTTTAAACCTGCCTGTTGTAAAGCGGAAGCGACCATTCTTTGCAGCACGTGTACTACCAGGGCCGTATTTAAGATATTAGCCGACAAGAACTGTGTGGTGCGGGCTGTTTTATTTTAAGAGTAGGATATCAAACTAAGAATAGATTTTTGATTGCATGGACTAATAACAATCAAGGAACCTCACCGATGAAACTCTACACAAATCCGTCAGCTTTCAGCATTTGTATGCGCGAAGTATCAGAGTACGGTTCTGGAACGTTATTATGAAATTGCGAATCTTGAGGGTTACAATGAGAAACCCAAGCGAGGTAGGACTGCGGTTAAAACTTTATGAAAATTTACCTAAGTGAAAAACCGGTTTAAGTCGTAAAAACGGTATATCGTTAGAGAACTCTACCACCCTTACATTGGACTACAATCAGCTCAAAGGTTTCATTATTTGCCTGGGTTCATATATACCTACCTACCTAATGATTTATTTATGGTTCCACCTTGTTGGTTCAATACTGGTCAGCTTATAATGGCTTACGTTTATGTCTTTAACAACTTACCGATACTTCCTCAAGTTCTAACAATAACATGGACAATTTTTTTAAAAGTATTTTGCTGACATTTCAAACAAGACATGTTCAGTAAATAAAATCAGCCATATCCTAATTTTAACAGCTTTAGACTACATGCTACCAGGCCGTTTGAGTCTACTATTCCCAAGTTCAAAGCTGTTTCAAATTACTATTTATGTTCTAGTTATACCGCATCAGTTTGCTGCAGTATTACGGTCTATGTTATCACGCTGATAATTTTGGGCACGAACGATACGGCAGTCATTGGACCGAACGATTTTTACAAATTTAAGGTAACATGGTACAGTGACACTATTTTACTTTGAAAGTTATGGTTGATAATTCTGGCGTTTCTTTTTAGGAAATATCGCTAATTATTTTATTTGTTGGAATTTTGGCATCGTTATTGTTTTATTGCGGACTTCTCGGCACGGAGGAAAACGAGTACGAAATCATTCGAGAAGTCGACGATGTGAACCATTTAAACACCAACAATGGAAAACACTTTTTGAGGCAATCCATCATATACCTGGTAGCTTTGATGTAAGTAGTGTCTAATCACTTTGACCAGTGTCTTTTTTCCTATTTTACTTTGCAACTAAAGTTAAGGATTTGAGAGTATTAATATATATATATATATATATATATATATATATATATATATATATATATATATATATATATATATATATATATATATATATATATATATATATATATATATATATATATATATATATATATATATATATATATATATATATATATATATATATATATATATATATATATATATATATATATATATATATATATAATGCTCGAGAGGGTTTAAAAATAATCGTAGTTACTACCACAGAATATAGAAATGTAGCATGTTTGGTTTCTATACATAAGATACTGCATAACAATTGTGTAATTTTAAGTAGGTTTTTTATATTGGTAAAGAAAATGCGAATCTGCCTAAGAGGCAACCTATGTTCTGCATTGGTACTGCGTAAACTTGTTGGCAGCAATTAAATATTCTTTAAAACCTAAAAAAATATATTTCTGTATAATCTTAAAATCTAGCTCTATACCTAAAGACCTAAAGACCTAGAGATATGTAGACTTGCTGTTGATCAATCCAATATTATATAGGATATTTTTCGTACTTTCATTTTTTTCTGTGTTTGTAGTGATCAATAGTAAATAGTTGAGTGAGATTTAATTCTAGTCGATAATTGAACTCTAGTAATACTATAAGTAACAAATAATAATTAGAATAATAATGACTTTATTTGAACAATATGATATGACAAAGTTATTACAAAGAAATAATTTCCAAGTTCCAATTTTGGAGCAAGTCTAGCCTTTGGCTACTCTACTGGACCAAAGAGAGACAAACATAGTTTAACAATACTATGTTAATCCTATAAAAATATTATCTAGAGAAATTAATGTAATCATATTTGTGTTAGGTCATTGGAGGACGATTAATTGATTTTATAACAGTTTGGACTTAGTGATATGTAGGTATGGTATGTTCATAGATATGAGAGAGTGGCCAATTGCTTTTGAATGGTGGTCATTAACATACAATGCAACAAGATTATTACCTAAAGTTTTGGAATTAAAATTCAGGTAAAATTGTGGTCCGTAATAGAAAAAATTTTTACACCTACCTGTGTTTAATATTCTTTGGTTTGGTATACTACTTAGTTTAAGTTTATTAGTAATCATTCTTATTTAATGTGTAATACAGCGTGTGCGAATTGCTCCCGCCCAAATGTAGAAAACACTATTCTATTGAGACTAAGGAAGTTATAAACAATGTTTATTTGACTCTCATTGAACGTGGTGCCAGCAAGCAAGCATCTTTAGAAGAAACGGCCACATTGACGAAAATTCCAACATCAACTGTATGGAAAATTGTGAATAATCCCATTTCAGCGAGGAAAAAAAGAAACGATGCTGACATTTTCTCGAGTGCAGATGAAAGTGATCAAGATATAATACGGCGTCAAATTTACCAGTTATACGAGGAACAAAGCGTGCCTACATTAGATATATTAATTAGGAGGGTTGAAAATGATGAAAACGGTATTAAATGTGGCAGAACTACCTTATAGAAGTGTATTCAACACATGAGTGTTAGATTTAAAAAAAATGACAAAAGGCAAGTTTTAATGGAATGTTTTAGAATTCGGAAATGGCGACTGGAATATCTAGAAAAAAATTAGGATTTACAGAGAACAACAAAGGCCAATTATTTACTTGGATGAAACCTGGTTCGACACTTATGATACCCCGGAAGAGGGTTGGGTTGACTCAAATGATGATGAGTGTAAAATAAACGCGCCATCAAAAAGAGGTAAAAAAATAACTATTTTGCATGCTGCCTCTAAACATGGTTGATTCCAAATGGACTTTCTCTGTCTGCGAAAAATATTAAAGACTCTTCTCTGGATGAAGACACCACCGCTGATTTATTTGAAAGTTGGTTTAAAAGCAAACTAGTTCCAAACATTCCTCCAGCGTAATTGTAATGAACAATGCAAGTTGTCACAGTAGACAGTTGAATAAAACCCCTTCCTCATGTGACACAAAATCAACAATCCAAAACTAGATATATAATAACGACATTTATTTTCACGAAGATTATACCAAAAAGGAATTAATTGAGGTTCTACAAAGCTTGAACCTACAAAAGGAATACGTCTGTGATAATTATGCAAAAACGCTAGGGCATACAGTTTTAAGGCTTCCACCTTACCACTGCATATTTAATCCCATTGAACATGTTTGGCACCAACTGAAATCCGCCATTCGCCGTAAAAATGTTTTTCCCCGTGTTAACTCCAATGTAATCAAACAAAGTTGGGAAAATATAGAACAAATAATAATTAGAACAGGCCATGATAGCGATAGTGATGCTGATATATTATGTGAATAATTTTAAGTAATCTAAGTAGGGAATAAAAATAATTTGTAATTTATATTATGTGAATAATTTTAAGTAATCTAAGTAGGGAATAAAAATAATTTGTAATTTTATTTTAGATTTAAACATAAATGCATACATAAATAAATAAATATTGTTTAGTATCTTTGCTAACAAAATCCCAAATAATAAAATTCTACGCAAAGTACGGACCTGTTCCGCCATATTTCATCCTTACAGTTTGCCCGGGTCTTTCCTTAATTCGTATTGGTTAGTCACTTTCTTATATCTATGAATAGACTTTACTATGTTAGTTATTTTAGTTTAAGCCCGTCAATCGAGATTTAAAAGACGTTTTTAATTTTTTATTTTGAAATTATGTAATGACATGTCCAGAAGCTGATTGGAAATAAGTTGAAAAACTTTACGGCGTTGTATGAAAATGAGCGTTGAAAGATTGCACTGTTATGATGTGGCATACTTATTTATTACTAATCATTATTTCTAATGTTAATATTGTGGACATTGTTACGAAATGTTAAACTATTTTTTATAGACAAAAATGTCGGGTAATGTAGAATTCTGCGCTCATACATACATAATCAAATTTCCTCAAAACATACACAAACCTGATACATGCATTCTGTACTACATGAACACACAAACCTCGTTTCATTTGTTTACCTAAAATATGTCTATTGTTATGTAAAACTTTCATGGAGCCAGGAATTTTTGAAATATATGTTTAGGTGTTCTTTGAATTTAAGTTTGCTGTCTGAGATAACTCCCAGATTCTTGCCACAAAATTTACAATTTAATTTTGAGTTTGCTCTTTGTGAAGTTGTCATTCTTATCATTCCCGAAAACCATAACACGTGATTTACTTGTGATAAATGTTGATAATGATAATAAAATAAAATAAACTTAAGAACCATCGAGGGATGAGCTCTGAAAATGTTAATGGTATTTCCAAATATGTTTTCACTAGTGATAACATCAACATAAGAAATACCCGCTAGTATGTTGCGTTATGCGTGTTTTCAGGTATATGACATCGAGATTGTTTACGATTTTGAATCTTATTTATATACCGCTTTATCTTGACGAACGTGGCGAAATTGAACTCGTCGCCAAAGAGAAAATGCTGCTGAAATGTCGGGTGTCATCTTGTAGCGACAAGGTAATAACTCGTTTTTTATTTAGTTTGCAACATCCCACCTCTTATTATTAACTTATTAAGTTGGCCAACTTTTTCAATAAAAATGGTTTCGTCGCCTTTGAAACGGCAGTAACTTTTAATAGACGAAAAATCTTTCTTTTAAAATCCAAATTCCTTTTGTTTCCTTTTTTTCTGCTGTCAACAATTTTACTTTTAATTTTACTTTAATAATGATTTCCAATTGAACCTGCATCGGAGTAATAACTAATTTGCTTTTAATTGCTGTAGTGGTAATATATTAACGGAATGGCCAGCTAGATCGCCTGCTTTATGCCCATTAGACTTGTTTCTTTGGCGCCATTTACATTACATTATAGCTTTGTCGAAGAATTTTTGAAACTTGATGCATTATTTATAGAAATGTTTTTGAAAATGTGTTTAGCTAGTAATGGGCAATATCTTGACAATTACTTAAATTAATTAATTGCTGTAGGAAAAAAATTACAGTTGTTTTTTAAATAAAAAAAATGCTTATTGGTAAAATATTAAAAATTAGGAACATTTTGGCAAGAAGTATATACATCCTATAATAAACCTATCAATGAGCTGTTAATTTTAGCAAATACTTTTAGCAGCCTGTTTACGAGACTTTTCAGATGATTCATAGCTCTAATCGAGGTTTTAATGGTTTACATGATTTAGGTAATTTTAACATGTACCCTTATACAGAACATGAACCTTTGGATTTACTTTGAACTAAATTAAGGAAATCAAGATCCAGTGGTGTTGATGCCCTTTCAAACTTTTTAGTTAAACAAGTTATAATATAAACATTATGAAACCACCTACGTGATGAATCTCCCATTTTGTTGTCGTCAGTTCTCAAGCAGAATAAAAATCAGTAAACTTATCCCCATATTTAAAATAGTTAAATACAAACTTGCAAATCACAGATGCAGATCACAGTTATTTTTCATATTGATATTATCCTATCTTTCATATTAATTTTTTAAATTCATTTACAAATTAATGAAATATTATCAGCAAATCAGTAAGGGTTTGGAAAGGTAGAAGTACAATGTCAGCGAAATATGGTTTTGATGGTGGGGCTTTTGGTTGGTCAGTATTGTTTTTATTAAATAGGTGACAATATGTCACTCTTCAAAATATTAACATTAAAAATAATATTAAAGATTTTACCTCAAACATGTTAAATATTTCAACAAGAGTAGTACCCCACGGTTCCAACCTGTGTCCAATATTCTTTATCTTATTAATGACCAGTTTTACACTATAGATATTAACGCTCTATTTACAGCTTTGGCGTATGATGTTTCGTCTTTCAGTTTTGATATCTTTGTTACTGTGATCACCCTTCTTTACCTAAAGCAATCTGAAATAAAACATTGAATTGGACAACGAAAAAAATCCGTTTTAGGGAAAATATCAAATGTCTTGACCTACACATTGACAATCTTCCCTGGAAAACACACAACAATAAAACAAACAATAAATGCCTAATTCAAACAGTAAACTCTCAAAGTTATTATCTGAGACAAAAAAAAAATCAAACAGCGGATTCAGGTTTATTTTGTAGACGCAATGTTATAATATGTGTTGCTGAAGTTGGCCAACCCTCGCTACAGATGTTTTTATTGCTCAAAAGAGTTATACGTTCTGTTGCTGGAAAATCAAAAATTCATAGTCGAAGAACTTATTTTAAAAAATTATATATTTTAATTTTAGCGTCTTTGTTTCTGCATAAAATATAATGAAATCGAAATTTTCTTTCCGTTTTCCTCGAAATGGCTAAATAGCCAAATAACGTAAAGACGTGCACATCTTTCAAGCTCAAGCTCATGTTAAAATCTTCTTATTAGGAAGAAGTGTCCATCGTGTAGATTATTTACGAAATCGACCATGCATCATTTTTTGTTTTTTTCTTTTAGGTTAATATTAAGAATACAATATATCATGGAAATAAACGTATTGTTAAATTTTATTGGTCATATCGTTTTAATCATTATCTAAAAAAAAGCGCAATGTAAAGTTTATTTCGTAAAATCCTATATAAATCTACAAAGTTTTAAAAGAATTTATTAAGCCTCAATTGAGACAGCTTTAACATTTTTCTAACAATAAGTGTAGAGAATTTGTGATTGATTACTAATCAACCTCCAGTTGCTACTCACTTTTGGAGAGTTATTATGAAAATTCTTCAAAACATTTTATACATAGGAGAATGTAAATATTTAGTAGCACCTTTTCATTTTATTTATGGTAAAAAGAGTATCTGAATTAACTATATATTTAACAGAGAAAATTAATTGAATAAATTCAATTAAATAAATTTATATTTTTACTGATTTAAGGTAACGTACTTTTGTGGCGGACTTGTTGGTTTGTCGGCTTCAATCTGGCTTGGCTCTGGAGTGTCCCCCAGCTCGGACGTGGAGCTGTATTTTATAGCGATATTTCTCGGTAAGGAAACTAATTTCGGTTTAAAAGAAAATGCCATAATTATGACATATTCTCTAGGTGTAAGCGGCTCGTCCACTATGGTTGCCAGTTTATGTTTGACTGCAAATTTCGTAAAAGCCAACGGATACGGGGGCGGTCTAATATACAGCATTGTCACATTTACAGACAAGTTAATATCCGGGGGAGTCGTTCTACTAGTTCAAAACTTGTAAGTTGTATTATAAATATATATTATTATAAAAATCATAAAATTTCTTTTTGCAGACAGTGCACACCGAAAACTCTATGCCCGCATTATTACGAACACGTTTTGTCCTATATATGCGGCATAGTGTCCTTAATTGGAGTCGTATCTCTGGCGTTGCTGCAATGGGAAATAAAACGCAACGTAAGGCGACACTGAGATTAGCGAATATTTATTTTGAAAACCACGTTTTTGTTTTGAAAGAAAATATCGGTCAGTGCTTTAATTTCATATCCACATAAACTGCCACACTGCCTTATTGACTGATAGATGATCATTCTTGAAGTGAAGGTACTTGTCATAGGCTGTGAGAAGCACTTGGATACCAAACGATATTAATATTATATACCATATGGATATTAATATTTAAATCCTAGCATCGCACTGGTTTAAAAGCTCATTTTCCTTAATGTTATTTCTACTGCCAATTAAATAACATCGTATAGTATGATTTTTTTTAAATAATTGTAGTGTAATGATTCAAAAATATAAATTTTTACAGATTTGAATTTTTTATGTTGCAGTGTGTATTTGAAATCTGATATTTCTTAAAAAGGCTTAAAAAAAAAGGGCGTTAGTGGTCTGCCAATATTGCACATATTATAAAATATAGCGTATCAGTTACAAACAAAAAAGGTAAAGACGTTGATTTCGATGTTTTTATTAGGAAAATACTTTTTCACTTTTATCACGACTGAACGTTCTTCAAGATTATCGCTGGGCTGACGTGTTTTGAGAAACAAAAATTGAATACGCCACGACGCAATAAATAATTTTATAGCAACACAACCGTTCCTCTCTGAATGGATGGATGGAATGAAGTTTAATTTTGTTTATTTTATTATACTTTATTTGTTCCTGGGACAGGGTGATTGATTCATTAGAACGTATATACGAGGTGTGTTCAAACAGTAACGTGACTTTTGTAATTAGGCGAGATACGTACATACGATCTTCAATATTTTTTTCACAGTTTAAGCCAGTTTGCACGTTTACTTTTTTTACTTTTTTGTAAGACAGAAGCGTTAGACATGTTGTGCTGGGAAAACAGTTCTGTAAGATACTTGACATATTGACTACGGCATATGTTGAGTCTACTTTGAGTTAAAAAAATGTTCATAAGTGGTACGAGCTGTTCCAAGATGACCGAGAAGACGCCGATGACGAACCTCGCTCGGGACGCCCCAGCACGTCAATAATTGACGAAAGCTTTGAAAAAGTGAAACAAATAGTGTTGAAAAATCTTCGATTCATTAATATAGAAGTGGCTGAAGACGTCGGCATCTCTATTGGCTCATAGCATGCAATTTTTCCGAAGTTTTGGGCATGAAACGTGTAGCAACAAAATTTGTTCCGAATTTGAACAGAAGGACCGTCGAGGTCATAACTGATGACGAATCATGGGTATATAGTATGATATCGAAACCAAAGCCCAGTCGTCCCAATCGAAGAACGCAGAATCGCCAACATCGTCAAGGTTGTTTTCCTTACTGTTTTCTTTGGTTATTGTTGGGTAGTACAACAAGAGTTCTTACCATAATGTCGTTCGGTCAATAAAGAGTATTACCTTGAAGTGATGCGCCGTTTTCGAGAAGCAATACTTGGAAAACGACTGTGACTACGACTTTTTCATGTTCCCAAAACTCAAGAAACCAATGTCAACAAGGGGGTTTAGAACGATTGAGGAGATAAAGAAAAGTTCGCTAGAAGAATTCAAGGCTATACCAGAAGTGCTTCAAGGATTCAATTAATTTTGATAAATAATTACATACTTTTTGATAAAACTTAAAAGTCACCTTATTTCTTTAACACACCTCGTATTTTAAAGGTCTTGCTCATAGAGATTATTTGCAGTTGCTTTAGCCAAATATACCATGAAAATTTGGCACTGCGTGCGGATTGTGCCAGTTGTTCAAAGTCTTCTTTTACAAGTGAAGGTTCTAGGTTATGCATTTTTATTATGTCGGAGCATTTAATATAACGTGATAAATGATAAATAATCTGTCCTAATGTGTAATCGAACGGTGGGAACCCAAATATTGCAGGGAAAAAAGTGGTAATTGAAAATAATTTTTAATTTTTAATAATTGACTATACAGCGCATTTTTAAAAAACACAGGTATCTCTCAACAACTTTTCACATTCGCATAAGATATGTTTAGGTAGAACAACTGCAAATGATTTGATTTAACATGTCCTCCAAACAACACCAGCCATTCCGTGTAGTATCATTCTTAGGTTGGTTTATAATCACAGACTCAAAGGTTTCCTTATTTGCTTGAGTTTATGCTTGCCTAATGATTTATGATTCGATCTCACGTTTTTTAGAATTACGTATGATTCGCAAGTTATTGAACGAACGAAAGGAATGTTCAGCAGATTGGGTCTCGATAGTTCATTTATTTAGTTTATTTCTCACAGTCGTAACATCAATACTCGCTTTGCGCAGCCTGCTGCTCACTGGGACCTTGCCATCGGGTTCGTGAAAGTAGAAACGGGAGACTTGTACAAAGGGTTCATTTCGCTGACACTTTTCTTCTCGGTAATGAACCTTTTATATTCCGCTTGGTCCATTCGATAAATCTGAAACTTTTTAAACGCGATAAAGATCAAACCCAACAAGACCACGCCCATGAAAGCGGCGAGCGCGAAAAAAGTGGCGGTCGCGGTATTTGTCATCACGCATTCCTCGGATGTGACATGGAGGTGAATCGAGTTGTTCTGACCCGAGACGTAACGATAATCGATGCGGCATCGTCTGGTCGCTCCGGGAAAATATACCAGCGAACATTCTCCATCTGAAAAAATGCTTAATTGTAGGGAACTGTCGACATGTCATAAAATTTAAATAACCCAGAAGGAATTAATCGTTATTTCGTCTATCAACCATAATTTTTATAATTCTAAGATAAGCGATTTTAATGTTACTTTTAAATTCATTATATGGGTGCTACGGGGGGAGAACAGAATCACACAGGGGATGACAAACAAAATGACAAAATATAGTTGTCGTTTTGTGAATTCTTCTCTTGAAATCGGATTACTCAACTTTGTGGAATGAGAGCTATTCTAAAAAACTCTGGTTTGTCCATATTTGGGCCCTGAGCCCAATAAATTTGATACCGATTTTATAAAAAATTCTGGACAAAGTAGTATTCAAATAGATAAATAAATTGGTAGCTGTGAATGAGTTATTTCCAATTCACAACTCTGGGTTTAGAAAAAGACATATTGAATGGTTATATGCCTATTGAACGTGAACTATGGTTACAGCTCTAGTTTTAATAGAGTTCACAAAGGCCTTTGATATTATGGTTTCTTTGTTGAAAATTGTCAATGTACTGGATTTGATGAAACAACGTAAAATTTTCTGGAATCATATCCTTATAACTGGCATCAGAAAGTACTCTTAAAAAACCAGCGCTTGTCATCCCTATAAATTTTATCAGACGTGAACCCTTATTATTTTTATTTTATATGGCTTATCTGAGTGATGTGATTGTATGATGTGAATACGCTGGGAACCTCATGAATAGGGATTTAGAAACTAGCACTGGCTCTGCGAGAAAAGGAAGTTATATGTCGACAATAAACGTGTTAAAATGGGAGATGAGGATGAGGATATGAAGTTTTTAGATCATGGAACCTATATCTCCAAGCAATCTTATATGAGTTTGAAATTGTTGTATTCAAATAAAGACGTATTTATGTTATGTAATAGTTTTATTCTCCCTCGCCTGTCTTACTGTAATATTGTGTATTACTCCTGCGACCACGTAGCGGCTACAGAAAGTTCAGAATGTTTGTTGTCGCTTTATTTCTAATTTACACAGATTTGATGATATCCGCTGCATTGATGAAATTAAGTTGATTAAAAATATAAAATGTTTTCAAGCACAACAACCTATGTTGCTTAAAACGTGGATTCCAGCATTCTAGCATTCTCGAATTCAGTCACTACGCAGAACTTGAAATTTTCAATATTATTTTACACATAACACTGAAATTTTCAATTCAAGCTTACTTAGTTAGTGTAAAAATTTTTATTTTCTATTTAAAAAGGCTTCATGTGTAGATGTGGGCTAAGTGCGAGTGGCTTTAAAGTCAGATTTCGCACAGGATGTGATCTTACTATTTGTCCCGCTGTTTCTTGAAACTTGTTTATTAATTTAGGTTATCAGAAATATCAGTGAACTGCAAAGCATCATGAAAGAAAAGCATAATAACAATTATGTTCTATGAGAAGAAAATGGCAAACAAAATTGTGAAGATTCCTGCAAGACATGTGAAGAAAAGGACCAATCACCTATCGTTGTAATAAATGATCGATTTAAAAGAAACTTTTTCCATTTTCCAAGACAATGGCAAACAAAATTGTGAAGATTCCTGCAAGACATGTGAAGAAAAGAACCAATAACCTATCGTTGTAATAAATGATCGATTTAAAAGAAGCTTTTTCCATTTTCCAAGAAAATGGCAAACAAAATTGTGAACATTCCTGCAAGACATGTAAAGAAAAGAACCAAACGCCTATCGTTGTAATAAATGATCGATTTAAAAGAAGCTTTTTCCATTTTCCAAGAAAATGGCAAACAAAATTGTGAAGATTCCTGCAAGACATGTGAAGAAAAGAACCAATAACCTATCGTTGTACTAAATGATCTATTTAAAAGAAGCTTTTTCCATTTTCCAAGAAAATGGCAAACAAAATTGTGAACATTCCTGCAAGACATGTGAAGAAAAGAACCAATCGCCTATCGTTGTAATAAATGATCGATTTAAAAGAAGCTTTTTCCATTTTCCAAGAAAATCAATAGTCATTGCGCAAAAACAAAATCGGGCTGTTCTGTCGCATTTTGAAGGAAAGAGAGACAAAGGAAAGAAATTTGGAAATTTTAAAGGGTTGAACAAGTAGCAAATATAATTCCGTTCGTAGTAAATAGAGCAACTATTAAGCAACATTGAGGCAGCAAAATTTATTAGAAGAAAGTCAATGCATAGTCCATACTATACATCAAATTGCGATAGAAAGTGACTAAAACTTAAATTTTCTATATAGATTGTTTTCTGTTTCAGGTTTAATCATATATTAATCAAACATCTCAGAAAACTCGTTGAATTTATAAAAATTTCGACTAGCGCAAATACACGTCGCTATTGAAATGATATCAGATAATTTAATAAATGAATCTCATGGTCGAAGAAGAAATGAAAAGGAAATACTTATTATAACAACTAGTATTTGAAAAAAATACTAGCAAGGATTTGGTAAACAATGCTTATTGTGCAACTGGATCTTTCGGGGGAGACTACAACTATCGAGATGATAACGTTTGCCTTGATGCGGCGTTGCCAAACGGTGTGTACATGTTTCCAATAGTTCGGCCCCCACTACTTTAATACGCAAAAAACACAAAAAAAATGACAAAGCGATTTAACTAGATTTTCTGCTACCACCACAAAAGGTTGCAAATGGACTTTTGATAGGAATATTGCCAATTTCATACTCATCTGCTCTACGAGGCAACAAATTTAAACAACTTTAGATTTGGTTAGTTAAATTTTTACCAGCAACTCTTGTTTGCCGTGAAATTTATATAATATTCATAAAAGTTTTTCTTTTTGTTGCTAATTAATTGAAGTCGGTATTGTAGTTTGTAATCAAAATAGTCTTAAACATCAACAAAATAAATAGATTAAATAGATTTTGCCAAATTAACATGAAATATTTGTCACAAACATGCGGCCATAGTTGTCCAGTTGTGGCAAGTAGGTTACCAAAAAATAACATTTTTTTAACTGATTTGGCTGATAGGAGCTAGATGCACTAATCAGATTAACAGAGTAACACCTAGTATAAATCAAAATGTTACCTGTTTTCCCCCATATTTTGTTTATTTGTTCCATGTTGCTGGTGTGAAGAAAGGGTTTATTTTACCTACTTCTAACAACAATACTTATCGCATATTTTGAAGGTAAACGATTCATAATAATTATGGTCTCTGTTAATGTTGCCGCATTGTTTTTACCGCCATCATTTGAAGTTTCCCTCAGGCCTTCGACAAGTACTTCCACGTTGTTTCTTCGGAACAAACTCGTGCCGTTTTCTTTAAACTCTTTGACGTAGTCACTGTAGATGTCGCAGAAAAAGTTCTTCTCCTTATTTTTCTCGCAGTACGCGCCCTCGAAGCCTTCGTCGCACTGGCACGAATTACATTCGCAAGCCCCGTGACCGTTGCAGATATAATCTGGAAAAAATGGGAAAAATCACCCAATAGTTCTACGACATGAAAATGAATCTAAGTGACACGAAGATTCTGGTCTCTTCGATGGGGGCAAAACATTTGACTATTTAGAACGTGCCATACAATAGCTGTTTATTTCCCTTATATCATAATCAGAACATTGAAATTTTTTTATACCGATTAATAATAATCTTAAAAGAAAATTTTAATGTGTTTTTTTCTGGTTCTCGCATTTGTTTAAAGAAATAACACCTGGAGTATCCCATTTTGTTAAGGGTAATAGATGTAGCAACAGAAATTAAGAATGTAATGTTTATATTGGTTATTTATCTCTTCCATACTGACAGTTCGTTTTTTTTTCAAAGTCAAATTTATTTCATATTCCTTAGGTTCAGTCACTTTGCATTTTTTAATTTTTTTTTGACATTTCGTCAAAAAAATAATATCCGTTTGTACAGTTGTTTTGTAGCTTTATGGTCTTGATGTTGTTTGATGTTGTCGCCATAACTTCCCACAGTTTTTTAATTGGGATGGGGATTAGATTTGCTTTCTTCAGGTCAACAAATAGTAGATGTTTTTGTTCGTTATTCGTTGCCATTTTTTCCTCATGCATGAGTGACCAGCTCTAAAAGCGCCATATTCCTCTATTTCGAAGGGTCTATTTTCTTCTTCAACCACATTCTTCAATATCTTACCGTATAACCTGCTAAATGTGCTAGTTACTGTTATGCATGTATCTTTTCTGCCCTTTTTATGGATAGGGGTAATCTATCCACTTTTCCAGGTATTGGGCATAAGGACCACTGCCTCTATTCTTTTTCATTGATTTAAGAGATTTATCTGTTTGTTATTTTTTGACTTCAATAACTATTCCTTTCACTCAGCATGACTCGGGAGAGTGTGTGGTGCAGATAGGTCTTTCTTCATTGAGTTCTGTCTTGCCACTCTGTCTGTCTGTCTGGCCAGTTTTTAATGCCAATTAATAGAAAGTCTACTCGATTTTTGTTCTCATATTTCACTGTTTTGATAATTCTCCATTCTGCTAATGCTGCAGAACGCGTCTGTATCACTACCCCTGTTTGTGGCTGCATTTGTTTAAATGTTCTTTTTTGTAATCTCCCTGTCTGTTCGTGATTTAATACCCTTTTATTATTCCTCCAATGAAAGTCATTAAAAAGGCGATATGTCTGCCGTGCTAGTGCTGCAGATGTGGGTCTGGATTCGATTGACCAACCAGTTTATTAAATAATATGAACCGATAGCGATTTCAAGATGTCAAGTGTAAATTTAAAAAATAATATTATTTTTGCAATCTTTTAAGGCTAGGCAAATATCAGGAATAATAAGCAAATAATACTAGTAAAATAATAATAATAATAATAATAATAATAATAATAATAATAATAATAATGATAATAATAATAATAATAATAACAGGTCCTTATTTATGAGATCTAACATAGGTACTCATCCAATCACCCAAAAATCAAACAGTTTTGAGAAATATTTACTCACTACATTAAAATATAAACAATTAACTTCGCATTAGTACTAGATGTGTTTCAAATTTGTCACCTCAATGAAACGTAAGCCTAACACAATACATCATCAGAAAAAAAAGGAGACGATAAGCTTGGTCAAGATATAAATAAATTCAAATCTTAAAATATTAATTAACAAATGTGTGAGCTGTAAAAAATTTTTTTTATGTAAAATAAAGTTAATATTACAGTGATGTCTGTTTTTCAATTCTAAACCATAAAACACAAGTTATAATGATATAACAAACAAATATGGAATACTCACATTTGTTTTAATGAAAGGTAGACGTAAAAAACAATACTATTGTTTTAATGAAAAAATACTTTTAACACAAAGCCAGATTCAAAGTACTTTTTCACCAATATAGGGATTTTCTTGTAATGATTTCTTTCAATATCTACTCTCCATCTCAAAATAGGAAGCTGCAGAAATCCATTTCAAACCACACTATTCGAAACTCGCCACACAAATGATTTTCTATCTCACCTACGACAATCGTTTGCTTTGGATGGCCATATTTAATCAGGTGGTTTTTATAGCCTAATTGAGAAGGGCCAGCCAATATACTAGATTGCAATAGGATAGAAGGGAAAGGATTAGGATCGTTGAACATATAAAGGGTTCTAGTTTCCCGTGGCTCTTCTGAAGTAAATAAGATACCCCTAGATCTTTACAAGAATAGATTACTTTATGTTTTTATTATTCAATATAATTTTAAAATTATCATTTTGAAGCGAATACACGTTATTGCCAAATAATAAACATGCGTTCCAAATCTATATCCTGCTCCAGAGCAGTCTAAACAATCGAGTCAGTATCATCAGAAGCTAGAGTGCAAATTCCTTCTGTGTCTATTGACAATATTACTTAAAAAATTATTTACTAATTGAGGTTTAATCAACGTACTTGTATTTGTTTGAATATGTTCCATGATTGCTCTTTCATAGCTTACAACGAGCATATTTTCGTTTTTCTCAGTAACTATTTGTCATTAAGTAAGGAAAGTCTCCGTTTATCAAGCAAACCATAACTCCAAATGTTCTGGAGGATGAATAGTAAGATTTTCTTTTGCAGTAATTGGTGTCAACCTGGATCACAAAGTCCTCTTTGTAGTATCGTTGACTGCAGAGATGCTGTGAGACAGTTGCTTTCTACTTCACAACATGTTCTACTTGACATGGACCGAGTGCTTTAAATGCCATCGAGGTGAACGATTTTGCAGAGGTTGATGATTAAAAAGTTACATTTCATTACGGGAACAGTCCTACAGTGAATTTCACAAGAAGCACAAGAATAAAAAATATCACATAACCACCAACATTTACTATTATATATTTTATTTTAAGTGGTGAGAAAGAACTGCTCTTTAATATTGGTTTTGTTTATTTTTTGCTCACACTGATAATACTCGAGATAATCTCTTAAGGGCCATGTTTATTTCCCAAGGTAACTTAATGATATAAGTCCTAGGGGTGGGTGGGGCAAGGCGGCCCACTTAAGCTTTTTATTATATTGTGTGGCTTTTAGCCCCACTCGTCCTATGTATGTCTAAAAATTATAATTATTTATTAAAAAGTATTAAATAAAAAAAAACGTTACTGATTAGGAACGATTTTTCTATCCATTAAAAAATTTGTAATTAGTATTTATAAGATTTTCGAAAGCTATGACTTTAGGATAAATCCATAGAATTATATAACAAATAACACGTTCAATAAATTGAATGAAATGGTTGTAATAATGGGGAATAGCTTTTTTTTAGAATTTTTTAGCGGTTCATTACCCCTGGTATTACTCAAAGGACTAAAAATGTACAAATAACCAATTTATAAATATAATAACGAAAAAAAAAATTCGTTAATTTTTGAGATGGCCTCCTTGCCCCACATTCTCCTGTAACATTTTCTCATCGAAGTTATTGTTTACGTAAGAGGGATGCAGCTCCGGGAGGGTTCAGCACCAAATTTTCAAAACTTTGTTAATTTTTTTTTTCTATTTGTACGAAGTTTTGAAGAAAATGCGCTGCAACTGACCAAACTATATACGTATACCTACCTCTGCCGGTAAGTTTGCAGTTCTCAACACCAGTTTCGCACGAACAATCTTTTCCCGAGTACGCAGCATCGCAAGTGCATTCCCCTTCGAAACAAGTACCGTGTCCGCTGCATATCCTGTTACGTTTGTCGACCGGGCAGTAAAACTCGCAAAATTTTCCGGAATGTGGAAAATCGCACTCGCATTTACCGCACAGGCAATCGCCGCTAAAATGACATCTTATCTTTAAATCGAATACCAGGAATGCGGTGCTTACGCTCCGGAGCAAGTTAACTTGTTGGCGCTTTTAATGTTCCTGCACAGCGTCACGTTGTAGCTGCATTCCTCAGAGCAAGTCGGCCCGGTCCTGCAAAGTGCCGATGAGAAATGGTCACGCGAGTTGTTTAAAGATAACAGTGAGGCAAATTTGACAAAAAAATTGATATTGTTTTTCCCTAGCTCATGTGCATAAATTATATTCTTATTTGATTACTTATTTATTGACTTACTTTATTACTTGTTTATCTACCAATTTACTTTTCACTTATTTATTTACAAATATTTTGTTTAAATGATAAAACTGATATTGATAAAAATCTTACTTCTTCTTAAAAGACCCTCATTTCATTCGTTGAAAAGGTATGATAACTAAATCAATGGGTAGAGATAAACAAAATATTGATTTATTTTTCAATACTAAATATGGGGATAGGGATGTTTCTCTATTGAAGGTAAAGTCTGTTCATAGATATAAGAAAGGGACTAAATGATACGAATTAAGGAAAGATCCGGGCAAGCTGTAAGAATGAAATATGGCCGAACAGGTCTGTACTTTGCTTAGAATTTAATTATTTGGGGTTTTGTTAGGAAAGATACTAAACAATATTTATTTATTTATGTATGTATCTATGTTTAAATCTTAAATAAAATTACAAATTATTTTTATTACCTACTTAAATTACTTAAAATTATTCACATAATATATCAGTATCCCTATCGCTATCATCGCCTGTTCTAATTATTATTTGTTCTATGTTATTTGCAATATGGATATGCGATTGTTCTGCTTTTTCTATATGTTTAAAAGAATTTGCCCAACTTTGTGGAGGGATGGTAAAAACTTCGGTTTCTATAAGTTTGAGGACATTGGAGTTAACACGGGGAAAACATTGTTACGACGAATGACAGATTTCAGTTGGTACCAAACATGTTCAATAGGATTAAATATACAGTGGACATATTTCTTTTGTAGGTTCAAGCTTTGTACAACCTCAATTAATTGCTTTTTTGTATAATATTCGTGAATAAATGTAGTCATTATACATGTAGTTTTGGATTGTTGCTTTTGTGTCACATGAGGAAGGGGTTTTAGTGAACTGTCTACTGTGATAATTTGCATTGTCCACTACAATTACGCTATGAGGAGTAATCTTTGGAAATAGTTTGTTTTTAAACCAACCTTCAAATAAATCAGCGGTGGTGTCTTCATTTCATTCCAGAGAAGAATCTTTAATATTTTTTGCAGACAGAGGAAGTCTATTTGGAATCCAACCATCTTTAGAGGCAGCATGCAAAATAGTTATTCTTTTACCTTTTTTTGATGGCGCGTTTGTTTTACACACCCAACTCTTTTCCGGGGTATCAAAAGTATCGAACCCAGGTTTCATCCAAGTAAATAATTAGCCTTTGTTGTTCTCTGTAAATCTTAATTTTTGTCAAGATATTCCAGTCGCCATTTCCGAATTCTAAAAGATTCCATTATGACTTGCCTTTTGTCAATTTTTTTAAATCTAAAACCCATGTGTTGAATACACTTCCATAAGGTAGTTCTGCCACATTTAACAACGGTTTCATCTTTTTCAAGCCTCCTAATTAAGATATCTAATGTAGGCACGCTTTGTTCCTCGTATAACTCGTAAATTTTACATGGTATTATATCTTGATCACTTTCATCTACACTCGAGAAAATGTCAGCATCGCTTCTTTTTTCCTAGCTGAAATGGGATTATTCACAATTTTCCATAAAGTTGATGTTGGAATTTTTGTCAATGTGGCCGTTTCTTCTAAAGATGGTCGCTTGCTGGCACCACGTTCAATGAGTGTAAAATAAACATTGTTTATAACTTCCTTGGTCTCAATAGAATAGTGTTTTCTACATTTGACCGGGAGCATCTCCTGAGATACACTAGATTGGCACATGCTGTATTACACACGAAATAGGAATGATTACTAATAAACTTAAACTAAGTAGTATACCAAACCAAAGAATATTAAACACAGGTAGGTATAAAATTATTTTCTATTACGGACCACAATTTTACCTGAATTTAAATTCCGAAAATATAGGTAATAGTCTTGTTGCATTGTATGTTAATGACCACCCTTGGATAATCCTATTCAAAAGCAATTGGTCACTTTCTTATATCTATGAACAGACCATACCTTAGACGTTTACGGCGAACGGTTAGTTGGTTAGTTCCATGTGCAGCGATGCTCCATCGATCTAAAATATTTTTAACGCTGCGGCGTTGCCGCTTCTTCGAAAAGGTAGCATAAACATTGTATATTATTGCGTTTTTCGATCCGTTAATATTTTATGATTGTTTTTGAATAATACGTTCCTATACCGATCTTCAGCAGTTTTCGAGAACATTATTATTTTCTTCATTTTTGCGACTAATTAAATTTTTATTACTACGACACTGGAGCCAGTAGAAAGTTCAAATTCTGGCTTAGGCATCGAATATAATGATGACGAATGATGTCCCTAACCTAAAAGGTTTCTAAAAAAAAACAAGTTTCTCTGAAAATGGGATTACTTTGATATAATTCATCTTTTAGGTGGCCGATGTAGTAAATTTTTCTGAAGAGGATGCTTCCAATCGAAGGAATGAACACTGTAATTTTAGTTTATATATGTTTTGCTTGTTAAGACATAATAAAATGATTTACGATGAACCAACGAATGCTGCAAGATACCTTCAAATATTAAGAACAGTGGTAAATGATTTTCTTGCTGTCCTCACGAATTTCGAACCTCTTGGGATTGGTTAGCAAGATCGCCCGACCTCACGCCATTATATTTTTACATATGGGGTGCATCAAAGTCACGCTTCTATTTTACACCGGTGCAGGACACCAGTGTTAAGCATCGGATTGTACGATGCTTAGAACAAATGGATCCAACCGAAATGAAGAAGACTACTACCATTAGTTCACTTCAATGGACTTTAAAGGGTTTAGAATGTAATGGTTAGTGTAAACAGTTTTTAAAATGTTTTTCCTAAAATGGTTGGCAAAGCTTTTCTTAATTCTGGCAAATTTTCTCTTCTTTATTTGTTGTAAATCTGGTTGGTTAGTTTAAATTGTCTGTTCATTAAAATGTCTGTTTATATAGTGGTTCCATTGTCCATGTATAATAACCAAATTCATTAAAACAGCATGAATTGTTTATAAATTATGTAAAATAGGATGGATATTTCATGACCACCTAAAAGATGAATTCTGCCCAAGTAATCCAGTTTTCAGAGAAACTTACTTTTATTTCAGAATCCAAACTATTTAAGTATAGGGACATGGTACATCATCCGAAAGGGAATTTAAAACATGTGAACACTGGTGTTTCTTTTAAAAAATGTACTTTTCAGCATTTTTGGATCTTGTAGGCAAATCATTTGTGTTGACATACCCTGTATGATGTACAAGGAATCCCTAAGCTAATTCGAAAATATTACCTTTACTGGCTCCACTATAGGTCGGTAAAGGCACGTACTATTGAAAAACAATCGTAAAGTAATACCAGATCGAAAAATGTAATGCTCATTTGTGTCCCATTTAAAATTTCAACGTTGATGCTACTGTTTGGAAGAAGCAACGTCGATCGTAGATCGGCTCATAACGTTCTTAGATATCTTGCGATTTCTTTTTCTATGTTTCTCAGTCTCTCCATTGATTTTCATGGAGCTCTCTTTCTCTAATCGCTAATAACTCTTTCGTGATCTGCTTAGTTTTCTTCGTCCTTCCCGCTGCCAAACCTGTATTTGTTTTGGGAGTATTTTTAGGGGCATCATGTACAAGTCCATACCATGTCTTTAATTTCGTATGTACCTATAATCCCCCTAACTAGTTGGTTATTCTTTCTATTCCAGAGATTTCGACTGATCGCCTCCAGAACTCCAGTTCTGTTGATTTTACGGTTACGACGTTCTTAAATATTGTGGTATATATATCCTTTCCTATCCTTTTTTTCTATTTTGATATGCTTTTGTCCCAAAGGATTGTATTCCTGGTGTTAATTGATTTTCGATTTTAACCGTTGATTTTATTTGTCGTACACGTTTTTTTTTTCGGCGTAATACTTTTTGAGCTAATAAATTTACGATATTTCTTGTATGTTTTTAATTCGTTGTGCTTCGAAGGCTGTTAAATATAACATTTTTTTTATTACATAGTGATATCTCTCTGTCTCTCTTTCTCGTCTCGACATTAATGAAGTAGTAGTTTTTCGAATTGATAAAGTTTGTGGTAGTTCCCTTTCGAAGTTGTTTTGTTTTGCATCAGGACATGTATGTGAAGAAGCTAACGCAATAAAGGAAACAATTTATAGAATAGATTTATTTGCCTTCCTAAACAGAGTGAAAAGAAACTGTAGGGAACATGAACTATTTTGTTGGTTTATTTGCAGTTTTAGCGGCAGGAACAATATTTTCTTAATTTTAATGCCGATGCCGAATATATTTCAAAAATAGAATGTATATTTCAATAATATTTAAAAGAATATCTCCAAAACAATTCGCAACAACTTTAATTTTATTAATAACTAAACTAATAAAATGTTTTATGTATTACCTATTTTCTTTACAAATATACTTTTATAATTGTTAATTTGCATTAGTGCAATGCTTACAGCAGTTCCATGTTCATAATTTTTTTTATTAGATAACATTTTACCGGGCTTCAATAAATAAATTATTTGTTAATTGAAACAGCCCCATAAACCTCTTCCATTATTTTGTTGGTACTTTTTATAAAATTATTCATAAACATAAAACACAGTAAAATAGATTAGTTCTTTTAAAAAAGTCAATTATGTAAAATTATTAAATCAAAATACTAAATGGAGTAATTCTCCTAATTTTTCAAATGCGGAGCTGATTTAAAAGTTAGTTCACATAGGATTGTCCCGTGAGAAATAGTCGAAATATTCACTTTGTTCAAAGAAGGATAAGTGATTGCAATTATTTCACAAAGTAGAAGTTAACCTCAAAACAAGGTAGAAGGTATGTATAACAAAGGAAATCATCCCCTTTACTGCCCGTCTCACTCTAAATGAAATTTGCCTCACATTTCATTTCAGTACACTGCGTAATGCATAGAATGAACTTGACGTTTCCAAATGTGTGTTCCTGACTTGACTTACCATCCTTCAGAACAAAGACACGAACCGCAGCTGAGCACACCGTTTGGTCCACAATTCAAAATGTCCCGTGCCTGATAGTTTTCGCACGTACAATCGCAACCGGCGTATTCTATGTTAACTGTTAATTCTTCGTTTATGTTTTTCTCTTTTATGAAGATTTGCTCCTGAAATAATATCGCTAGTTATAAAGGCGCCTCAGTTCAGGACAAACGATTCGACTAGCGATTAGCGATTTTTGTCCTTTCTAGAAGCTTTATCTAAATTTTAACTAGGTGCACCAAGAACATCTGGGTTAGGATCAATCAACGACCAACCCTACTTTTCAAATTTCCTGTCCTTTTCCCCCAGTCTAATTTCGCACATCAGATTTTGTATAGTATTTCGTAAATTGGCAGTATCTATTTTAAAATTTTCTTTTAGTTTTATGATTTTTACATGCAGATAAAGTGTGGTTGCTTACTGAATTACATGGTGCATAATGCCTACTGCAGCGCTAGAACTCTAGCCCTACAGGGAAATAAAAGCAGACTAAGTCCTAGCCTATAGATAGCACAACACTCAAGTATTGCTTTGTTAAATATTACAAGACTCAAATATCGGCTATAGAAAATTGTAAAAATCGCCCACCAATAAAGACAGACGACTCAAAAAGCGAAGAAGGAGTAGGGGCTGACGAAAACAAAAATTTCTTCTCCAATGGGTGATTTAGCAATTGTGTTCCAAGCTGAGATCACTGCATTGTGCAAGAGCAACAGAAATGAAAAACATTCGTAATAAGATAATCGCGACTTATACCTAGAGTGAAGCGGCAATAGGCAGTCCAGCAACATAACATACCAATTAGTTCTGGATTATCATAAGACATTAAACCAGAAAGCGTCGTGTAGCTCGTGAAGACTCGTCAAGATGTATGATCAAACTAGGACCCTTCTGTAGGGTGGCCAAACCCTAATGGATGGGAAGAGAATCCAGGCAATGAATTCCTCAGAGGCCTATCGGTCAAATTTACAGCTAAGTCACCAAAAAGGCAGTAAGAATAATGGTTGGTCTATTGCCGGGCCACTGCCGGCATAAGAGACATCTAAGCCCATTGGGAGTGGAACAAAAAAACTGAAGGCAGATCCTGTTAAAAAGAGGAGGAAACAGCCATACAAATATTATGTCAGTGTGAAAGCCTATCGAAAGTGGGTTTCCATCTGCTGGAAGTAACCTAACCATAGGCAATCAGCTACACCAAGGAACCACTATCCACGTTGTAGAGTCTAGACAGAGAGATGAACCTGGATGATGCTCTATAGCTATGGAGAGAGTTACAATAGATCGAGGGCTCTTCTAGAGTTAGGAGCGAAAACCTGCGGTATTAGCGTTCTGAAGGCAATGCCCTGGTCAGGAACAGCGACCCACTTTATATAGACTAAAAACAAAAATAGGAACATACCCATACTACAATAGATTGCTAAAACTTAGAGGTGAAGTTAAGTAATTAACAATAAGAGTAAGAGTAAATGTGACATATTTATACCATTGAATTTCTGGATTTCTGGATTTAAATGTGCTGGTAGTTAAAGGAAACAAATTAATGGTATTTTACATTTTAATTGCTTTTATAATGTTACTTGATACTCAGAGCAATATTGTATTTACTTAGGAGTTGTTAGATTGTATGTAAACCAATCTGAGATTTTTTATGAGAATTTGTGATAAAATCAATGTGCCTATTAAAGATCTTATCAACAATGACACCAAGATCTTTAACTGAACTACAACTTAGCATTGTGCTCCTCAGCGATAGTCGTAAATAATAGCCCTAGATATAGTTGAGATAGTCATTTTTCTACATTTAAATCCAGATAATTACTAATACCTCAATTAAAGGTAATTCTAATTAGTCATTCTAACTTTGAACAATTTTATAAAATAAGACAAAGGTGTCAATAATTTTCTTGGGAAGCAAGAGTAGTAGCTAGGTATTCGTTAGATTAAAATACATTGAATTCAATAAACTACAAACTGCTGAACAAACTGATTATTTGTGCATGAAAACCAAGTAAAGAAAGTTTAGTATCAAGAAGTATGATCTAACCTGTCAAAGGCTCTCAAAAAATTTCTATATATTAGGTACTCCAAACTGGCTATTTCATCTCATAGGCCTTTCTTAGAAAGCAGACCATATTTTTTTGTTGATTTTTTGTTCTTAGATATCCAAGGATTTGGAAAAGTTATACTTAGCAGAGCTGGAGCACATTCCCCTAGTTGTTATCGATTCTGAAATAAATAGGGTCGAAACATTGTACATTATCCATTTTTTATGCGCTGTCACATGAATTTTGATAACTTGACTAGTAAAGTTTTTAATCGATAACTTATGATAATAGTCTATCGCAGCAGCTCAGTTTTCACTAATCTCCCCTATTACTGAGAGGAGAATATTGGCAACCATTGCTCAATGTTTTACTTTATGTTTTCTCACTAATCCTGCCATTGTCGAAGGCAAAATTCAGAACATTTGGTGCAGTTTCTCATTAGTTTGGAGAATAAAACCTAAAATTTAAAGCTAAAAGTTCGAGTCTAAACACGGTATTTACTTCAGTTGCAGCTACTCATAATTTTGAAGCGACAAAATTAGAAGAGACACTTTTATTAGTAAATAAATGCTCCATACGCCCAATTGCTAGCGTCTCAGAGACAGAGATATAGTTCTAATCTAATTCAAAATAGAATTATATCTGCATCCCAATTCAATATTCCTGCTATTAAGGGTTGTAAATGGCACCAAATTCACTCACCACTTTTTTCGACGTGAATTCTTTCAACGTGATCTGCACCTTGAAAGTGACCGGTGTTTCTTCCTCGACGTTATAACACGCCGAGGTTTGATTGAAGTGACCGAAACCGTCGCAGTTTCCGAAGAACTTTACGTCCAGTTCCGGTGCGTGGCTCGTATTCGCGGAAAACTGGACTTGCCTCATGAAATTGTAGAAACCGGTGTTTACCAATTTTAAAATGTTGGCCGAATTTTCCTCCAGCTCGCCGACGTAGACCTCGTCGTTCAATATGTGTGTTTTCATTTGTTCGTAAAATTTGATTTTGTCCTTCGTCACGGCGATTATAAGATTCACCTAAAATTTAAAACGCCTGGCTAGGGAGACGATTGCTTAAAAGTAATATGAGAATTTTCTATGAGATAAATAATTTTTTATTTGGTATTTTTGGTGGATTGTAAACCTGTTTATGGATAATATCGTCTATATGCGTAATTTTTGTGTGAAGAATCCAAAAGAGTGCTCAGATTTTGTCTATTAGCTCAAATTTTTTCAGGTGGGCTATATTTATCAATTTACATGTTCAACTTGTGCATATTTTACGTTATAATTGTTATTGCCAGTTAAATTACATGAATTTAAATATTTATTACAGTTATTTCTCTCAAAACCAAAGGTTTGTTAATCACGTCCTTTTTTTTAATCATGACGCCATTGATGGGCTTTTTTGTCAACCCAGTGCTCATTTTAAACTCTATTGCCCCAAAGGCCCCAAAGGATATTTTGTATAGCCACTCTCTTGTCCAAATTTATCATTTTGAAATCAATATAAAATTACACACTAACCAAAAACTAAAACTAATAGAATAATTTTACTGACACTTTTTGAATCAGCCCATTACAAATTTCATGATTTTCTGGCACCATTTTTTTTCATTTTGTTACTCCCTGGAATATATGGTCTAAAATTTCAAGCTAATTATCGAAAATTTCACTGAGTGATTTCTATTGTAGTTTTACTTTAGCAGTTATTTTAAATAAAAACATTTTGGGTGTCCGGAAAATGTGCGAAGTCTCTGGATTACGGATAAAGCACGAATAAAGAACATTTTTTTACAGGCTCACCATTTAATCTCTCACAAAATTAAATAGTTTATATACAACTATCAAATATGTTTCAAGGATACTATTTTAAGGGGTCCCGAATACAAGTCCTCATATTACTTTTTATTAAATGAAGCCAATTAATTTAAAAGTTGTTAAAAAACAATTTCCAGCCCATCCCTCAGGGACTCAGACCTCCATAGGGAGAGCCTGCAGGAAAACAATATAAGAACTGACCAACAAGATCTTTTTCCACATTTTCCCGACCACACTGTGGATTTGGTGTATGTAGACCATTCAAATTATAATATGCTGGATAATCTAAAAATGTATGTGTCAACTGTATTAAAGTGAATTTAAAAATCTATAAAATACCTAGAAATGCGTTCCCACTGGACCTTTTTGTATTTTATCTGTTAGCCATGTCAAGAATTGTATCTTTCCTCATGAACGCCACACTGTAAATTTTCCGATTTGAATATCATGTTTTTAACATTTTTAACAAGTTTTCCTCTCTACTTAGATTCCACACATCATATTAAAATATAAAAAGCATAAAATATACATACAGAGGAGTCAAAATTTATCAAAATGCGCTTTATATTAATAACCAGGGAATATAAACTTCAATGATAAGTTGAAAAAATTCCGTTGATTAGGATAACAATTCGCACAATTTCTTGTAAATATGAATATTAAAGGTAACTTTTAGATAATGCTGTTGCATATAAAAAACCGCTCAGCATAGTAACAAAAAATGAATTTATTCAATTAATTGAAAACTTTCCTTTGCGTCACTAACAACAATATTGCCACTTTTCAGATTGGAAAAAAATGCTTGTAAGGACCAGGAAAAAAATACAAATAAGATGGATTGCAATAAATTTAAAAAATGCAGCCGAAGCAAAAACAAAACCCCATTAAATTAATAGAATTTCATATTTTGATTTTTGGCCAATTTTTAATGGCATTTTTATATGAGCGCAGTTTTAAAAACCCTCAAATGATCACCTGGTCATTTTTCTGCCTGCCTCAAAAATAATGTTTCTAATTTTGGAAAACTTTTTACTTTTGATAAATGGCATACAACACAGACCATAATTCCAATCAACCAACGTATCAACCAATCAACTTCAATAACCCATCCGATATAAATATAGATTAACAGTTAAAACTGATTTTGCATTTTCTAAGTTTTCACTAAAACAGGTCTGGCATACCTTGTAATCTTTCAGAAGCCGTCTAATTTGTCCAACCGACGGGTAATCGTACCTTAGTGGGTCCATGTAATTGCCGTGATAGTCTATTAAACACACGTCGTCATTTTTTTTCACTGCCCCCGCTAAAAGGCCATCGCCCGCAGTATGCAGCAGACTATCCGTGGAAAGTACAATGAGCTTTCGAGAATTCTCGGTCCAGCCGAATTTCTTATTACAGACGAGTATTTGCGATATGGCTTCCAGAGCTCCGTCTAGATCGTCGACATTGGCACTTATCTGACTGTTTTTAACCTGAAAATCCAATATAAAGGGTGTCATTTAATAATAGGATGGATAAAAAGGAGAAATAAAATACTGGATACTGAATGTTTCAAAAGATGCCCTAGAAAAATTGTGGACAAGCAAATTCTTATGTGGTCTATTTTCTCTTCTATTTTTTAACATATACATATAACATTATATTTTTAAGATTATTACACCTATTATAAGTACTGAAATTAACAAGTTCAACTTATTATTGTATACAGATCGAGAGTCTAAGTGTGTTGCATATATACACCAAACCAACAAAATTATTTTTGGAAATTCGTGTAAAAATGAAAATATTTATTTTTATTCTAGGCGGCCATAGTACATACATTCCAAATTTAGAGTGTTTATTTTTACATTTATGAGGTACGGTGTAGTAAAGCCTTTCTTATTGAATGCAAGTCTAGAAATTTGACCCCCAGGAGTGTGCCCAGTGTCAGTCATTTTACTGGAAAAGAGCTATGGAAGAATGGGACAGAAATCGAAAGTTGCAGGGAGATAGGTCAGCACTTAAGAAGACTACGGGAGTGCAAAACCGTTTTTTAAGAGTCTCTGCTTTAAGACAACGATTTGCCACAGGAACATCACAGCTGCAGCAAGATAATGTTAGACCATATCTTGCTCAGAGTGTGCAAAATTATTTGAATGAGATTGGAAATGAAACTATGGATTGGCCAGCAACCAGCACTGATCTTAACCCACTTGAGAATGTTCGGGACATGATCTACAGATGTTTTCAAGACCTTTGTAACCCACCTAACAATATAACAATATAGAATAATTTAGACGAAAACGACATAAGACTAGTACTTTTCAGCATGAACAATTGCTGTCGTGCTGCTATTCAAAATAAAGGCGGAAATATCTGTTATTAATTTATATTCTCAATTTACAATTTTCATGGATATCATGATACTCCTCAAAAATTCTTATTTTTATTTTTTTTAAATATCTACGTTTCTTCGAAAAGATTGAAATTTTTTGTCAATGAGGTCTATCCATAGAAATTATAAAGTTCCTCGTTGTAAAACGTCAGCATTTCAGAGATCATATATATGTATATATATATATATATATATATATATATATATATATATATATATATATATATATATATATATATATATATTGGAGGAATCTGATTGTGTGGGTGCGGTTGCTTTCTTTGGCGCTACCGCCGCCTGCACTTTTGATGGGCATCTAGGGGAGCCGGTTTGATGGCCCTCTGCTTTACATTGGAGGCAGAATGGTTTATTCGAGCATGCATCTGCTTTGTGGCCCTCGTGCCCACATTTCCGACATAGTTTTTCTCTATCTGACCCTTTACATTGCGACTTGACATGCCCTAATCCCCAGCATCTGAAGCATCGGTCTTCTCTCTGCCTTTCGTAAATTCTAGTCCAGCCGATTTTTATCGTCTTAAGATTGATAGGTTTTTCTGCTTTCGCCTCGCTTACAATTAGGATGGTATTTTGCCTGCCTCCGTAAGCTGGTCTGAGAGCTCTTACGTCTACATTACTGGGGTTGGTGCCCGTTGCCTTAGAAACAGCCTCTTTGATCTCATCAGTTGTGGTAACTTCGTCCAGGTCTTTAACGTGGAGAACTTTTTTGCTTTTTAGCAAATGTGCAGTGGCACCGGGTACCTTTTCACCAATTTCCCTTTTTAGCAGTTCAGCTCGATCGGATCCATTATTACGGTAAGTAAGACTTGGCCGTTTCTTGTTTTTCTAAGTTGTCCAACGTCGACGCCTATGGCGCTAGGATCTACAGCAGTTTTAACGGCCTTAAGGAGGTCCGCAAAGCTCGTGTCTTTCATTTCTATCAGCAGCGCATCTTCCTTGGGTTTCCTCGGATTCGTCTCTTTGTTGCGTTTTATATGCTGGCTTGGCTGGTACTGTTCTCGTCGAATTTTTACAATACGTACTGGCGTATCGCAGAATAAGAACTGCAGCATTCGTGTCATTATGGTTCCGGTGATCTCATCGTTATCGAGAATCACTATATTAGTTCTATCCTGTTTTATGACTTGGATTTTGATCCTGCGTAGAGCCTCGAACATCTCTGAGTCGCCCACTTCTGACTGAGTGGATTTTTCGCTCAAGATAGGGTAGAATATCCACCTAGTGGACTGCACTAATTTTCCACTAACGTCAGGAAAGCCCACGGAGTGCACCATGATGGCAACCTCACCTTCTCTCTTGTTTTGAGACATTTGATACTTTCCAAATCGTAAAATACGTTTTCTTCCCAGTCCTCTTCACTGATGAACTGGTAGCACTCGAAAGTCCCCTCTTTTTTGAGCTGCTGTTGTCTCAAGACTCTTTTTTCCGCCCGTGCACACGCGTCACATTTTATAGTCTCTGATCTTTCTTGTCGTTTGTCGTTCTGTTCCGTTTTCATAGCGTTGACCTGCATTCGCAGTTCATCATTTTCTAGACGAAGTTTCTTTTCTGCTTCAGTATTTGTACTCACATCATGCAACCATTTTTCGATATCCATCGCACGGAGCTTCTCTGTTAAGAAGGATAGTTTGCCACTGATTTCACAGTATTCCTTTTTTGGTTTATATGCTTCTTTGATTATTCTTTCCATAGTTCTTACCTGTGCGAATACTTTGTCTAAGGTGTGGATAAAGTTCTTTTGCTTGTTGTTCACATTTGTGCTTGTTGAGTTATCGGGGGTTCCCTCCAGTCTCTTTCTTTTAGCTGCATTTTCCGTGATAGGGCCTTCTGTTTGGTGGGCCAATAGATCACTAGCGTCTGGGAGCGAGAAGGTTCCCCGTCTCGGTGGTGTTCTTTGAATAGAGTCTCTTCTTTGAAACGAATTTATCTCTTCGTATCCAGTAGCAAAAATACTCTCCTCAGCCTGGAATACCACGGAGGGTGAGCCGCAGTCGCTGGCTGACGGTCCAGTGGGGCCTGCTTCACCACCCCTGTTCTGGACCGGTACTAGGCATCCGAAACCTTGTACCGTACTCTTCTGCCTTCCGTTGGACATATCCGTTTTTTTACGCATTTTATACCTATCTGCCAGGTAGAAATATAAATAGGTGAAAAGGAGAGACCCCTAGCCCTCGTAACCTAATAGCGTCGGGGTCGGAAAAATACCAAAAGTTGGCCTAGGGGGGCCGATAGGAAAGATGAAATATATATATATATATATATATATATATATATATATATATATATATATATATATATATATATATATATATATATATATATATATATATATATATATATATATATATATATATATGATGACACTATATTCCGGGATATCTATTGCATTTCTTCTTGAATTAACAGTCATGCGTGTCTTTTTTTGTCTTTTTTGACAAATATTTTTATTTTTATTATAAATTATTTTCTCAAAAAAATACTTCATTACAATTTAAGTTCTTTTACCATTCAAGTACCAGTATTATAGTTCAAATGCAGTTCGTAGCATTTCAGTAGCCCGAATTAAAAAAGCGTGTTGGTGAAAGCACCGAAAATTCAGTCCTGGATTTAATAATATATGGTCATCACGAACATTTCGGCCACGCTAATAGTAATTACAATATTTTTAATAAAGCGCAAACATCTGCTGACAGGTGACAGCTGAAGTTACTGACACGTATTTCCGAAAATCTTCGGACATCCCCCACCTCTTTTCAGAGACAGGGCAAAAACACTTTAACTAAAAAAATAAAATTTATTCCAACTTGGAAACGGTGTCGATTTTGACTATTTGTAACATAATATTATTTCTCAAAAAACGGAATTTAAAATTCAAGAACACTGGCGGCAATTCCAGAAATTTTAAAATACATTTTTTCTTCGCCGCTTTAATCACATTTCTAGATATGGCATAGTGCTCTTCATAATTGACCACCCAGTACTCAAGTTCATACCCAAATGTATCTTAACATGTCTGAGTACTATACTCAAAATATGGCAACTATAGTAAATATTTTAATTTGGAATGAATCGAAAAAACATATATGCAGGTAACAAGGTTTGAAGGAGGTTTACCTTATCGAAAAATCTGCCGGTATTTTTGGTAAAGTTCAGCCTGTGCCTGAACAAATAACCCCTTTCGCATTTCTGCGACTCAGACATGCAGGGGTTATTCATGTTTTTCTCGTCAGTGTAAAAGAACGGCAAAGCTGGTTTGTCCAAGAAGGAACCGTATGCCAATTTGTAGTTCAAGGTCAAATTCTCCAAACTTTTCCCCAGATCGTCGCCCAAGTTTTTCAGAGTCTCCAAATGAGTTCGCATCGAGTAACTTAAGTCGCCTAAGTAGTACAACTCCAGTGGATAGTTCTTGGCAGCGTTGTAGGTAAATGTAAAATTTATCGGAGCATCTAAACATGCAAATAGAAAAATAAACATCAAAAATGTATAAGTATACAGGGTGTTCTAGGTTTTAATCTAGGAACATTGGGAGAACATTAGAGATTTCGACTTGATGAAAAATGCCACCAGTGAAAATACGATGACATAGTCTTTTTTGTTTTTTTTTTTTTTTCATTTACCTCAGTTTTAAATAACAGATTAAAAGTTGGCAGGCATGTTACACTTCAAAAACTCAATATTAAGCTGGAGTCTTCCATTTAAATTTTTGATGTCTCATTGAATTTAAAAGCGTTTCATTACTTTTAGATAAATATAAAACATTTTTCAATCCTATATCGACTATTAAATCTGACCTTTCCTCAAGACAACCTTGAAGCCTTGCGGTTTGATTTGTATGACTCTGGTCACATCACTGGTTTTTCTTATCGCCGTAAAGTCTTTGTCCGTCTCAATTTCCAATTTGGACTCGACATTCTTCTCGACTTGTCCATCGCATTGCTTAAGCTCCTCTATAAAGTTGCACCTACTGCCTGTAAAATTCTGCAAATCAAATTTATTACTTCGATCAGCAGTATTCAAAATATCTTGTTTTAAGATTCGCTTAAATTCTAGCAAACAAATCCGTTAATTTAATCCAAAAATTAACCATGATTGTAATTTTATCTTTTTAGTAGATAAACGCAATATGGAATGTAGGTAGTAATATTTTTCCAGAGGCACAGCGTTACATTATGTATATAAATTTGAAACATTATCCTTAATTATTTCAAATTTGTAAAGTAACTCACGTGAAGTTAAATCAAAAAAACCATAAGTGTCTTTCTTTACAAGATTTAATTGAGTTTTCCAATACAGAAAGCCTCCTATACCGTCGTATTTGGACAACATCGAATTATTAGGGTTTAACTAAAAAAAAAACACAAGAGTGCAAGAGAAGGTGGTTCTCCAACATTTTATCTTATAATACGAGGTATCTATAATTTCTACGGTGTATAGAATATTTTTAGAAAATAACGTTAGTGTGCAAACAAATGCTCCTTCTGAAGATAACTGCTTTTTATTTTGGGGTATATCATTTAGGGCAAAAATAAAATCTTGTTAACAATTTGCCATACAAAAGATATTTTTTTAAAAGTCGCACAAATTATTAGTTTTACAATTATAAAAAGAAATATATGGGAAATTTTTATAACCCAACCAAAGGCATTTATGGTCTAAATTCCAATTCAATTTCATCTAACAGCCTAAATATCGTCTCGGATGACTGATTCCCATATTGGTACCTGAGTCGCAGTTAAGATTGGTATGTTGCTTATAGATTTCTATAGACTCACGGATTTTTCATCATCAGAATTAAGTTTTATCGAATAAAATTTTATGTCCGGTTCGTGATTGTGTTCGACAACTGCTAATGGGTTTATTTGCCCTAGTTTTAAGGCTTAAATTCTTTGATGGGTTTATTTGCCCTAGTTTTAAGGCTTAAATTCTTTGAGTCTAGTTGATATTTTTCGTCGGATCTCTAAAATTTATTCTTTGCCACGTATGCATGGAATGCTGTAAACTGCTGCTCAAAGATGTTAAGTGACTTTTGAATAAGTGGTAAAATTGGGTTTGAAGTTACATTTCTTTAGAACTTTTGATATGTGGATTGCTATTGGAAGGTTGTGGTGAAATGTATTTTGTGATGGAACGCTTAATATGAATGTAGAAATTAGTAGAGAGAAGAGCAGAGGTAAGATGTTTTAATTCTGGGTTCAATGACTCGGGCTGAGATAGTTTTAAGGCTCGGTAAAGGATAGAGTTGATAACCGATGATTCTTGAGCAGGATGTTGAATGGGAGGTTTTTATTAGTTTCTAATTCAATGGTAAAACGTATGTTAGAGTGATTAGAGTTTAAATATCTAAGAAAATCTACTAGGAACTCTTGACCATGAGGCCAAATAACAAAAGTATCATCGACGGAGCGTTTCCATAATTTTGGTTTTAATGGAAGGTGTCGAGAGCTTTCATCTCAAAGGCTTATATAAATATATTCGTGATGACTGGTGATAGTGGAGAACCCATAGCTATGAGATGCCAGGAGTTTACATTGGACATAACGGACGAAAAATATCAACTAGGCTTAAAGAACATGAAAGAGCATTAAGGCAAAGACAAATAAACTCATCAGCAGTTGCCGAACACAATCACGAAACCGGACATAAAATTTCATTCGATAAAACTAAAATTCTTGCATGTAATCAATTTTTCTACCAACGAAAAATCCCAATGTCTATAGAAATCTATAAGCAGGCTAACAATCTTAACCGCGACTCAGATCACTGTCACCCACATGGGAATCAGTCATCCGAGACGGTGTTTATGCCTTAGCCACTTAGCTACGCCCCCCCTCAAATAATATAAAAGCATGTACAGAGTAAAATGCGAGCCAGTTTCAGTCAAGCTCTGAAGAAGTCAACAGGATGGATGATTGGCGAAATGTTAGCTAGTTCGATTCAACAAAAACCAACGCAGGAGGAATCCAGAAGTTTTATAAATAGTATTACAGGTGCCTGTAAAAGTTTTTTTGAAAAAATAAATATTCTACGTATATTCTTATTTTTGGTGAAGCCTTTGTCAAATAGTAGTTTATGTAACAAGTCCTGAAAGTGCATGGCAAACTTCTAGGCCGTCCAGACATGTTTTGGTTTGACTTTGGTGTGTGTTTTTTTCAAACTAACTCAGTGTACCATCGAAAAATTTTTAATTTTTTGAAGCCGTTCCAATGATATTATAAATTTTCGAAAAGATTCCACTTTTAGCTTGTTCTTTTTCCAATTGAAACAAATCCAAAACTGTTAGCCGTGATCTTGGAAAAATTTATAAAGAATCACAACAAATTAATGTAAATTTTGAGAAATAAATCCTGAAAGACACATAACCAATACCGGTATTGACTCTGATAAAAAAACATCAATGATTTTTTCAATTTGTCTCTGTCATTTGGCTTAGATTAAACAAAACTAACCAAAAATGACTATACAACGTCAAAAAATCAAAATCGTTACTAAGGAAAACAATTCCAAAGTGACTTACACTAAATTGAGACAGTCCGAACGTCTTTTTGCTGTAAATTACGATTCTCTAACCTAATATAAGGTAGGAAAATGTCACTTTTGGATTCTGTTTAAAAAAAAATCTGTTTTGAAGAACCCAACTGTTTTTTTTTTATTTATAACTGTTTATAATTTATAAAGATATAATAAATAAAATTATATTTTAAAAATATGTACATAAAATTATTATTTATTAGGCGAATCAGTTAATTCCTAGAATTAAATCGATATGCTAAATTTAAAACGTTTTAAGAAAGTTAAAATGGTGATTAATTAATCAAATAAGTGGTCGCATACTTACTTGCTGATCGTAACACCAATGGCAGCAGGGGTGTATTCGAATACATTCGTTGCAATTGGTCTGTTCGTTGCACAACAATTTCAAGTTTAGGGGACATTCGACCGCACTCCTTACTTGCGAAAAATGTGCGGCCAGTGCTAACAGAAAACCGCACCCTATTAAACCGACAGTCATTATGTTATTTAGAAATGTTCGAGCCGGGTCTTAAATGCTACATGACAAATATTGAAAAGGTAATCTTCAACATGTGCGCTGAGTAAACCGCCTTATCAAATTATAACGAACTCAAGGTAAATAATAATTTCACGAAAACGTGCGCGATCTCAATGTTGGTAGCGATGATGCATCCGTTTTCCCGCTGATGCAGCGTCTGGACAGTTTACCGCGCGGACAAACGATTTTGTTTATTATTTTTGTTTAATGCCTAGAGTCGGCGCTGGCCGTAACGGCCCAACACGAAAAAGTTGATGCACAAATAAACGTGATAACTGATAAGACTAACGGTTTATCTCGGCACCTATACTTTAATATTTTTGTTATCTTGCGGTACAGCGACACAAATGTTCGAGTCAAAGCCGGAGTCGATTTTTATTGGCACGTTTGTCATTTTAATTTTTTTTTTGGCCAGCGTCTAAATAAGAAACGTAACGCGGAATATAAACATTCTTGGATGTGTTTTAGATATGAGTTATCCAAATGTCCAGGGTATCCCATTTTGCAGCGTAGTTCCGTTATTTTTGTGAATAAAAAGTAGCGGTATGAAGAAAATAAATGACAATTAAAACGGATATAAACTGTTTTGAGTGGATCCAAAAAATGCCGAGAATATTTTACATTTGTTTTTCTTTTCTGCTATAAACAAGTCTACTATTAAATTCTCATAAAATTATCGAAAGTTCTTATCCATTAGTTTGTTTCTGAGAAAAGTTGCGTACTAATACGAGGGTCACTTGAAAAGTTTCCGACCTAATAAAGATACAAGACAAGTTTCTTCTTAAAATGTTTTTATTATTTTTCTATATACTCTTCATGTATATACATCTATATACTTCTCCCAGCGATGCTTCCATCTCTCTAATCCGTCCAAACGGTACCGAGCGCTTTATTCCACAAAACAATCTTTGTCCTCCGAGCGCACAAGCGCAGTTTTCAGATGAGGGAACAAAAAGAAGTCGCTTGGGACTAAATCTGGTGAGTAAGATGGATGGTCAAGATTTTTCCGCAATTTATGTTCTCAGTTTGCTCTTTTAATCGTTTTTCCTTTTTGAAAGTAATTGATTAAGATGACTCCATGGCAATCCCCAAAAACAGTCGCCATCACTTTCCCAGCCGCAAAAATTTTTTTGCTTTTTTCGAAGTCGATTCCCCCTTCGCGGTCCACTGTTTTGACTGTACTGTTGATTCGGGCAAATAATAGTGTATCCATGTTTTATCTACAGTAATTAATCGGCGCCAAAATTCTGATTTATTGCACCTAAACTGCGCTAACAGAGCGTTGGAAACGTTAATTCGAACATATTTTTGGTCCATCGTGAGTAAACGCGACACCCAAAGGCAGATAGCTTTCTTATGCCAAAATCTTGATTTAAAATGTGACAAACATGTTCGTAGGGCATTTTCATAACCTTACTATCTCTCTCACTGTAATTCGATTTGATCAACTTTAACAATATTGTCGTCGGTTGTTAGAGTTTTTGGACTTAACGAATGTTCATCATCTCCTAAGTTCTTAAATTCAACTGCCCAAAATTTCACTGTAGAAAATGACGGTGCAGAGTATCCATACACAGAGTCCACCTCAACTTTAATTTACGTATTCGTATTGCCTTTCAAATGCAAAAAATTTTTCCATTTTCGCGAAAACACTCACATCGGGTAACTCAAACGATTTTCAACTAAAATCCACAGGTCCAAAATGGCTGAAACTTTGATAAGTAACTATCAAGTAAGTACTATCAACAACCACGATCCCTAGCTTTCAGTAACTAGTGCCGCCGTCTTCAGGGCGTGGTCGAAAACTTTTCAAGTGACCGTCGTATATAAAAGTGTTAAAAAAAATATAGTAGGGTCTGATAACTTTTTGACCTGGCCCTGTATACTAAGGCAGAAAAGTTACATAATGGATATACCTTAAGAAACTAAAAAGTTTAGGAAATTCTTTTACGGTATCTTTACTTTACGAAAAAGTAGACCCTGCCTCAAAAATCACTTTTTATCTAAAAAATAACGGGGATAACCCTCAAAATGGGACATTGGACACCCTGTTTGTATTTAGATTTCGACACACGGATTAGCGTTATTTTTGGTAAAAAATGCAACAAACTAACTATCCATCGCACTAAACCGTTTCGTTATAGTTAATAAGGTTTTACAACTTCTAATAGACGTAATTGAAGATTTGTTTGGAAATAACTGAAGCACTTTATGTGCCCATGAAATAAGAACAGTCCGTAAAATCTAGGTATACATAAATATATATTACATATGAGGTATATTTATTAGGGCGATTTTGCAAAAATCTACCCCACACATTCAAAAACTTTTTCTCCGTTTGTGATAAAACAAAACAAGCGTCGGTTGTTAAAGTTGTTGCATACTGTATTATTATAATTATTCTGGGAAATAGTTGGGATCAATATGAATAATGCTGACATTTCGAAACAAATTTATTGAGAAGAATTTTGAAAAATTCAATGCTGGAGTTGCTCCTCCAGATAGGTTTTGATATTCTGTTACTCCTAGTGCCATGCGAAGAATTAGATGATGATATAAGTTCTAACAAGATAACCTTATCTCATGTCGTGGACAAATACCTAATATCAGATGTAGCAATCAACCCAGCCTCAATTATATTGATGTATTATAATTCAAACAAGTAGATCCTAATTCGCCTATTTAAAGAAGCTCCGACCAGCAATAAAATTTAAATGAAGTCTGAATCCAGACAATATTATGATAACGCTGAGTTTTTACTTATTTATGGTATTACTCTCACAAAACAATTTGCTGCTATTATTCATTTATTTGTGATAGCTCTAAGATTCCCATTTTAAAACTTTTAATTATTGATGTAGCATCAACTTGTCAGTGTTCAGTTTCATTTTTTAACGGGTGTTTTTCAACATAGAGACAACCACTACAGATTTCAATTATTAATAATCTTTCGAGTTATAACAACAACATAGAATAAAAACTGAAAATATCAATGTATAAAAAAATTTTAAACCCTTGTCTCATCTTTATCTAGCTAATAACTGGAAGAAGGCTGTAATAGTATATCAATCGGTTAGAAAAAGTTCAAAGGAAAGTTTTACAACTTCATGATTAATATTTCAACTACGTAGGTTTTTTATAGACTGCTCTAAATTGTTATCGCAGATGAGGTTTCACGTTCCTTTGTGAGCAGTCAGAACATCTTTATTCCACCTACCAGCTCCCCCCACAAACTTTTTAGTAAGGAGTTCGCTCTTACAAGCAAGTTTACTTTCAGATAATGACTTTATTTACTGTTACTTTTTTTATTTTTGAATTTTGTTTTTGTATTTGTATTTCTTCAAATGTTTGCATTAATTTCGGTTGGTTGGAAAGAGCAGAAGAAGTAATGAGAGGCCGCATCAAGTGGAAAGCAAATTGTAAAGTCAACAAGTATCCATCCCGGATTGTAATGCTACAGACAGAGGGAGAGAAAGAGAGATAAATAAAGAGAGAGAGAGAGAGTCTGACTATCTTAGTTGTTGACTCCACTTCCTGTTAAGCTGATTTTCTTCATTTTCTTTTTCCTTTATTTGTTTACGGCGTATTTATGAAAAAGATAAGTGTAAAAAAAATCTTATTGTCTCCAAAATTTCGTATCATTTATTGAAATAAATTTCTCATATAGGATTATTTAGTAACATTTACTTTTTGTATGAAAAACCTAAAAATCCGAATAGAATGGCTAACGCTGCAAAAAGCAGACGGTTAAAGTATCTAGCACCCGGCAACGGTGGAAACACTTTGGTAACCAACGACAGAATCCTCAAGTTGTTTTCCGTATATGGCGGGTACCTCACGCTCTGAGCAAATTCCCCAATCCTGTCTAGTTTTTTTATTAGGGCGGCTACAAGCAAAACCAAAAGCTCCGATTCGGATACAACTATTGCAGACGCCATATTGTTACCTCGTTTGTGAGAGAAAGTTTCGAAACTAAATTTTCCGTGATAGAATCCCATCCCGCTGTCGCCGACTCCGCCGAAAGGAAGCGAACTACAGGAAAAGTGCATCAGCACGTCATTGATTACTATCCCGCCACTTGAAGTGTTCTTGAGAAATTTTTCCTGTTCCATTTTGCTCGTGCTAGAATTCGATTTTTAATTACGTAACAGGAAGGTATTTCAGTTAAAAATGACCAATTTTCAACTTGCCCTGATTAAATAATTCTTCAGATGGCGATTCAATAGTTATGTCGCCCGTTTAGTTAGTACTAAGACCGAGGTTTCAAATGAATTTTGTCAGCAAAACGCAAAACTATACTATGTTTCTTAATGCGATAGTGTAATAAAATGAATATTAACAATAACAGGGATCATTAAAGAGGGTATACAAATTAAAGGTTATATCGTAAAGTTCAGATAAATTGCAACGATAGTTTTTAAAATTTCCGTATTTCAATTCAACATAATACAATAATAAATGTAACTTTAATTTTATATTATACACTGAGAGAGATAGGCAAATAATTAGGTAAATAAAACTTACATAGCTAAGAAGATATTGGAAATAGATTAATTGTAATTAATTTTAAAAAAGTGCTATTTACAATACAACTTCATTTGTAAAGTTTATTCCTTATGTTCTTGGTAGATAGATGAACTATAGAGTTAAAGTCCAGAGAAATAATGAGGGTCTCTATAGTGTTTCTTACATATTAATCATGTGTTAGAAGCCCATGTTCCATTTTCCGCAATCCATTCTCCTCCCTCTGGTAAGTGGGGTTTGAATGTTCCTCATATTAAGAGTAGTGTTATTTCTTGATGCAAATCCTTTTGCTTGGGCCCAAGACGAAGTAGCGTTATATTTCGTTTTGAAGTAACTTCGCCGATAACAAATTTCTTTAAATTTAAATTTATTCAAATTTAATATCTCCTCTAACTTCTTTTCAGCAAATCTTTCTGAAATTCTTCTTATTTAAGGAGGTAGTCGTCAAAAATATCAACATATGTCGTCACTATGATAATAATAAAAAGAATCGATCGAGAGTATTCATAATACTCAAGGTATAAATGTAAGAAAATAGAAATATATACAGGGCGAAGCCTAGCCCAAACCTAATTAAACTCAACCCTCGTAAACTGATTATCATCCTACAAGCTAAAACCTTGTTTTTATAAAATGCTCGTAAACTGATATATAATCTAATTAAGATGAAAGGATAGTAAACATGTCAATAAAGTGCGGTAAACGGTATTTGAGTCACCAGTTTTTTTGACACGAGCGGAGCGAGTGTTTAGTAAACGAAAACATCCGATTGCTCTCAAACCGGTGCGGTAATATCCCGAAAATGTCCGAAGGAGCTCGGATCCGTGGAAGAAGAACCTCAATTGGTAAAGTGACGCTTGCCGCAAGCTAGATCGGTGTATAATTAAGTATTTTACAGAAGGGAGTAAAAACAATAAAAAGAATGTATATATGCCGTGTTAGTACTGGTAGTGCAATAAGTCAAAAACTTTAAGTTCTTTGATTTTTTCAACATTATGATTTATTAAATCATGCGATAAATAATTATAAAGTTCAATGCTGTTATAAGCAATACTGTTATGTGTTCTGTAATTCGGTATTAAAAATTATAATTTATTTCTGGTATTTCTGTTATGCATATCAGCATAAATTTATTTTTAAAACTTGGTAAAGCAAGTATGATACACCATGTACAAAACAAACCAAATGATAAGTCCTTGGATAAAACCACCAACCACTGGAGTTCATTAATTGTATTTGTTATATGGTTCGATTTTCTTCGGTTAAATATCAATCGACAGCGCTTTTACTCTGACTGCCGAAGACAGGGACTATAGATAACGCTTGCATAATTAAAATGCGAGAGTAGTAACTTAACGTTCATTTTGGTACTTAGATTATGATCTTTAGGTACGAATTTTTATATGTAAGGTAAAGAGTAAATATAAAGCAAGCCAGATCGAGGATACCTGCCGTCTTAATAAATATTAAATTGTGACCGTCAATACTGATTGCAGTTATTTTCAATTTGGAGACATTAGTTTCAGCGCGTAATGTTCCCTTAATAGCTTTAAATCAAAACTAATTGCATACGTGTAAGTATTAACAAGGAAAGTGATAATAAAAGTGTGTAATCAGCAAAACTTTGCCCGAGTTAATATATTTAAGAAGCTCTGAAGTGTAGATTATGAAAAAGACCAAGTATGAAGCCTTGAGGCACCCCAGAAAGCACATTACTAGACTCTGAAAAAACACCATCTACCATAACCTTTAGTCTCCAGCATTTTGACTGAGGCCACCACGAATAAATCCATGAAAGCTTGCCTCGCACTTTTTAAATTTTCTATTCTGCCGGAAAGTACTATAATTCTAATTTCAAACACTACAGTACAGGGAGGTCATCTAACTGTCAGTCGCACCACTCGTGGGACCCTTGACAATCATCATAGCTAAGTTTTGTAGCTCAATAATAATTTATAAGTCTCTCGCATTAAGAAACAGAGCATAGTTAAAACTTGCTGAGTCTTGTCTTGGTTTTAGGCAATATGTTCTTCGTTGACTGCATTTTTCCACTTTTAAACTACATTCAAATGTGTGAAACAGAATGGGTAAATAATGAATGTGCTTATTTATCTAGGAATACGATCCGTATTTTGCTCGTTGTAAACTTTGCGGGCCTGTCCTTTGAAACATTACCTGAAAACGTAAAGAGCTAGAGGCTTCTCCCTTCCATTAATAAATTCTATTGCCTCCTCTGGGGTCGCGACCGTGACAATTGGCAAAATGGGTCCGAAAATTTCCTCCTGCATAATTGGATCATTCGCTTTGACGTCTATTACGATGGTTGGTTCTATATAAAGATTTGAATCGTCAAACTCACCTCCCATGGCAATGCGCTGCCCTAAAATTGGTTTCATTTAGCTGTTTAAGGAACTTTGATAGCGCTTTGATAGTCGATCACCTTCGAGCAATTTCTTAATTCTGCCATAGTGTCTCTCATTAATCACTCTCCCGTAGTCGGGATTTTGCTTAATATTTTCACCGTACCTAAAATGTTAGAACATATTCTTCACGTTGTTTCGTTTTACGGACTATATGGTGGAAAAAATTTATATTTATACAGAGGAAATCCTCTTTCTAACAGAGAGAGATGTAACGACGGGTTGATATCTGGAGCTAGATTTTCACTAGTAATGCCACTTAAGATTCAGGATTTAATTTGACTTCGTGTGATATTGGGTAAGAAAATGTCATTTCACACCAGTACAGACAACATCCAAAGGGTTAGAAGCATTGTAATCAATGTAATTGCCACCAGAATTGCCAATTGCCACAGAAGGTAGGTGAGTAAAAAGAACAAATAAATTTCAAAAACTTAAACAGTAACCAGGTACTCGGTTACATTTTTCAACGAACAACTGGCAAAAATTTCGGAGTCCAAAGTCGTATTGCATCCTCTATTTGTATTTCTTTTTTAATTTTTTCTCGTTAGTTCCTGCCAGTTCTTTTGGTGTCGTTAATTTTCGAATGGAATTTACAGAATTTCTTTTAACAACTATTTATTCTGCTTACCTAAACTCAACATATTAGTAACTAACCAAGGGTAACTAACCAAGTGGCATTTGTTTTGAGTATAAGAGAAAAAACTCAAATATGAAATTATATTTTTGAAAAAGTAATTCGTTCCCCTTGCACGATTAAATAATATATATTTCAAATAAAAATTGATTTGATTTGAAACTAATAGTTTTAGAACTATCATATTTAATTCATTCCACCTAAAACTGTACCTGGGGAAATGTTTTCATAAAAATATAAAATTTTGTACAACGAAAAAGTTACAGCGATTTTTTGAGCCCCAAACACCTACAATGGTGTTCATCCATCTCATTTAGAAAGGGGAATTCCCCTTTAAAAAAATGCTCAATTTGATCAACATTGCAGGTTTTCTTGGTGATTAGTAGAATCTACCATATCAATAATAACATTTTTCATACATTACTTGAATATTGCCCTTTTTTTATAAACTTATTGTTATATTTCGTTCCTCTAAGACACAATATTTAAGTTCCATAAATGGTGGAACCTCTAAATAGTTTTTAAATATGTAGGTGCTTTTGTATTCAAATAATAACAGCAAACATTGAATAACATCAATATAACAAAAAATCAACAACTTTTTGTTGATTTTCAGAAAGGACACAAAAGGAGGACCTATAAAATACAATACAATTTGAACAATATTTAAAACGATCATAGCTGAGTATTTTATATTTCCGATAAGCATTGTTATTTTAATCTTCTGACTTCGCAAACCTAAAAATATTTAGCGTTTAGAGATTATATTTTCTTCGATCTTTGGTGATAAATTCGCAGCCTAAGCACAAAGAACTGAAGCTTAGTTTTATGAAATCCTATTTTAACTTCACTTAAAAATGTATTTCTTATGAAAAAACAAATGTTTTTATAAAAAATGGAACGAAGACCGCCACTTTGAAATTCAAAACTAAGATACACCTTTCATTAAAAAAAAATGCATTTACCACTTTCGTACAACTTTTTTCGCAGCTTGAACAAATTTGTCCCTAATATACTCGTTGCATAATACATAGTCAGGGCCGATGCAACTTTGTCCAGTATTTAAGCATTTGCCCCACATTATCCTGCTGGCGGCCACCTCTACGTCTGCGGAGTCGTCCAAAAATACCGGACTTTTTCCGCCCAGTTCCAAAGTGACCGGAGTTAAATATTTCGAAGCCGCTCGGTATATAATTTTGCCAACTTGAGTGCCGCCGGTATAGAAGATATAGTCGAATCTTTCCTCTAAAACAATTTAGCTTTAGATATCTTTAAAAGCACATTTGTCTCATGAATTGAAATTAAAAATGTTTCATTATTTCACGACACCAATCACTTGAACTTGTATTTTTAACCCAATCCATTGTTTATACAAACTTTTACACATAATGAATGAAAATTTCCTAGCTATTTATAGCACTGACATTTAATTTTCACCCAAAGTCATCGCAAATCGTACCTAGTAAAGCTGTCGTTTCTGGTATTCCCCCGTTGTACACCTGATAACAGCTAGAGTCTACATATTTAGGCAAGACTTCTTCCATAAATTTGCCAATCAAAGGCGTGAGGTCCGACGGTTTGATTATGACGCAATTTCCCGCGGCTATGGCACCTATGACCGGAGAGAGCGTTAACATGAACGGATAATTCCACGCCCCCAATACCAAAACCACCCCATATGGTTCGTGACGTATCATCGCCTAAAACACATCCGACTCGTTTTTCCTACGGGATTAAACAATTAAAACTTTAAGTGCAATCAACGAGATGTTAATTTTTTTCTTTTAATACCCATGTGCATATAATAAAGAATATGATTCTACACTAACCGACTACTTTTATAATATAAACAAAATGTTATGAGTGCAAGCTAAATGGTACACAGTTCTTAAATTCTCACAATTAGATTTCTGCCAGTAAAGAAAATGGAAATAAAACCCAGAAAATTGAAATTTTTAAACTCTACGGCTCTAAGCTAGACTACGGCTCCAAAAACTAATGAGAACACATGATTAAATATTTCATTATAAGTTGGGGATAATCTCCATCGGGCATTTTAGCGAATAAAAAGAAGATACGAATCATCCGTACAAGATTACATTACTGCAGATGCTGAACGAAGATAATCCCGACCACGAAACTATGATGGAAATGTGCAACCTAAATCCAATTGAAGTACAAATAATCCCCACACATCTGCAAAATATAAAGGTTACTGAGGATTTCTTCTCGCCATTTCTTTCCTAAAATCCAAATCTTTCAACAGGATCTCCAGAGAGGTGAATTGGTAAAAGAGGATCAATAGAATGCCCTGCAAGATCTCTAGATATTACTTCAATGGATTTTTTCCTATTAGGTGATTTAAAATTTAGAATTAGATACGAAATAAGGCAAATTAAAGTAAATATCGTGAGTAATATTCAGGAAGACTTTGTAAACCAATTAGTAGATTGTCAAGAAGTTGATGGTGGGCATTTTCAACATCTAAAATATTTTTTTTACACTTTTTTTTATTCTTTGGCTTTTAGAAACTAAGAGACTGGTGTGAAGTATGGTACAGAATCGGAAAATAGATTAAAAAAAGAAACTTGATAGCTACATCTACTTTTTGCTCACCATGTATGTATATTTTTTACTTACTGTGACGGATGTGTGCGATCACTTTTCTTCAAATTCAAAACCTGATTTTTAAATAAATTTGTTGCATATTTTAGCTGTTTACTGTATGTTTAGAAAGTTTAAAATCTCATTAGTCACAATGTATATAATGTTACTTGGATTGTTGCTAAGAAGTATTTAGTTGAAATGGCTAGAAGTGTGCACAAGATGCTCTTGTGCATAAAGATTGGCCCCTTTGTTAATTTAGTTTTTTTTATTTTCATCAGTCGTTTCTCACATTTAAGAAAAAAAATTAAAGCACAGCTATTAGAGTTTCATAAAATTTTGTCCCCTCCCATCTTTCTCTCATCTATTAACTTATTAGTTTATTAAAGTCAAATTCCACCACAATTTCTTGAAGTATTACAGATTTGTACCAGCTATAATGGACTCTAATAAGATCTTACTTCTTTCTCTTTTTAAATCAATTTCAACCAATTAATTTTTTAGGTTAAATTAGCTCTCTAAGAGCGCTACATTTGTTCTTTAAACTGTTGCTTTTTAAATTTTCGTGTATTACACATTTTAATGCTTGGAATAATGAACGATTTATTATTATTATCTTTTATACAGTTGGTAAGAATAAAAAAATAACAATCACGCAAGTATAATGAACAAAGTAAATTAAATGTGTTAATTTATTTTTTGTTGTAATTAAATTAAAAAAGGCGCTTATCGTTTAGCTCTCTACCTGATCCATTACGTAAGCAATCGATTTTTGCACTTTGACGGGTTCCATCCACTCCTTGAGGTTGTACACGGCCTCCTTGATGTCATTTGTGACTTGATTTATTTCGAAAGCGTACGCCTCGAAGCTTGGTTTGTTATTTTCTTTCACTAATATGTCTACTATAGCCTTTTCGTGTTCGTTGACGAACTTTAATAACGCTAGAAGTGAAACGCATATTGCAGTATTATTTTATTTGCTTAGATAACGCTCATAGCGAGACTTGCACATTGTGGCGTGGGCTTTTTCAACATTCGTTCGCTTCCGTACAAAAGAAAACATCCACTAAAGATTAATCACGAGTACCTTTCAACTGTTTGATCCTAAATTCGTAAGGTTTGGTGCAGCCGCTGCTGAAGCTTTTTCTAGCGAGTTGGACGACCGCTTTCGGCTCCTTCATTTTCACGAAATAGAAAAAGCAATTGCAACACTTCTCCGGTACGTTTACGTCTCGTCAAATTATATAAACTAAACGCGCTTATCTCGCTGAGTACGATAAAAATATTGCAACAACTAGCCGGGAACGAGCGTTCGATCGGAATTGTGTTTTGTTTACCGCAGTAAACACATAATTTAAGGCAACTCACTGGTTTGGCGCATTAAGTGACTATCATTAACGGAATTGTTTCTGCTTGATAATGCAAGTTATTAACAGAGGTCAAAGTTTACCGCCGTTTTTTGACTTAAGTATTCCGTAGCGCGGATCACATTCGAATAGATACATATTTAATCGGCTTTTTATATAGGGGGTCAATTTCAGTTAAGTCGTCTATAATTAAGACCGTTTATTATGTCGTCATGTGTTTTTAGGTACGAGTTATACAAAATTAACTATCGTGTCAACACGTCACAATTTAGGTTTGACCTTGAGAACTGCAAAATTAATGATAATATAACTCGATGGGATCATATTGTGTACTTAAGTACCTATATTTCTGGTTTAAGAAACTGTTTGGTTTATGTAATATATTGCAGAGAATCGACAGCTACGACTGTTGTTCCTTTATTTGGTCTTGTAAGTACTATATTATTTTGGGAAATTTACTATAGACATATGTGAAATTTAAGTAATTTAAATTAAATTTGAAATCCTTTTCTATTAATTCGGACGCTTTCTTAGAAAATATTGCATTAGTCAAATCGATAAATTAACATTTTTAATTAAAATCGTTTGAAATGACTGCTTTTTAGTGAGTTTTATTGTCCAACTTGAATATCTATTGTGAATAATGTATATCAAATATCAGTTCAGATTTTAAGATCTAATAAATCAAATTCTATGGAACTAAGTCCATGGGATAATCCAGAATTCAAACAATTTATGAAAAACTCAGCAATCCGGAGCCTACAAGATAAAATGAGGATCACGTCTTAAAATGTATACAGAACAAACAGGTGAAACATTTAAGAAACGCATTAACGAACATAAAAGAGCGCATAAAAATAAAATTTCGGAATCTAACTATGTATTTCCTTTAAATTCAGAACTGCACAAGTTTGACGATAATTTTGAGATTCTACATAATCAATTAAAAAGCAAAAAACTTAATTTGTTGATAGCCATGGAGATTAATAAAATGATTGGATTTAAATTATCTAATTTAAATTTATAACCCTACAAGGCTCTATTACCTAATTATGAATCTATTATTACTATAGATGTCGGAATATTGTCATATATTGAAATAGCTGTCGTAAACCAATAAGTAACTGTAAAAATGTGAACATTTTTTTGTTCTAATTTAATTGTGATAAATGGATTTTCAGTAAGTCATCTCAGTTCAATAATTATACTCTCCCCTACTTACTGGTTTATTCTGAATTTTTTGAAAAATATACGTCAATTAAAAGTTGACATTTCTTGTCTGTGGTGGTAAACTATTGTGAATTAAGTTAGAAATCCTTAGTGTTACGTAAATTTTATTTAAAAAAAAATCTTTCTCCTAGCCCTGAAATCATATTATGTTAAAAGGGAATTAAATTCTATGCAGGAGAGGGAGGATTTTTTTTTTAATTTATGTATGCTTTGTTTAGGAGTCGAATGTTAGGAATGTTAGGAAGTATTAAATACCACAGAAACAAGAACTGAACATTTTTAGGAATAAGATTGGGGGGGGGGGGGAGCTGGTACTAGATGTCTCAATTTGTCGTTGTTAATGACGAGCACCAAGTTGTACTTTGTGCTTAATCAAGCATCGAATGTACTTAATAGATAAATATATTACAACGAATAAGCTACAAAAATAAAGCACTTAAGATATCCTATCAGCATATAAAGCGCACATAGCAAATGACGCGCAAAACATCGTCACTATATATAAATAAACAATTATGATGTCATCTACCATCTCCATCCGTGGCAATGATGACACCCGTGGGTGAAATAATGGTGGTTGCAAGGCGGAAACCCGTGCGGAGGCGGATGCTGGTAATACGGCGGTGGCGGTGGCCCGTAGTGAGGCGGCGGTGGAGGCGGATGATGATGGTGATGGTGGTGATGCTGTTGATGCGGTTCGAGTAAATGGTGGACCAATTCGCCCACAATCAGTCGACCTAGAGAAGGTGCTCTTGGCGGTCCGTGGTCGTGTGGTGGGGGTGGTCCTCCGTGCATAGTTTCTCGCTGCAAAAAAAAAATTAAACCAGTGTTTTTATATATGTTTAATCGGTATTACCTTTTGATATCTATCGCTCAACCACGCAACCTTCCACCAACAACACCTTGGCACTTGATTTATTAAACTCGCTGGTTCGTGTGTTTAAATGGAAATAATCTTGTTATCTACTTTGGCTTATCTCAATTCCAATCTTTTGCCGAAAACTTTAATCACACATTCAAAGAAATACTTAATAAAGAAGGTACACAGTAGAATTAATGAAAGTTCTACACAGTTGCTTTTGTGTGGTGAAAAACCTGTATTAAGAACAAATTAAAAAATTCGAGATACTAGCAAAACTTTCAAATGAAAGTTCCTCGAGAAACCTATGATAATAATATTTAAAAAAATACAAAGCTCAGTAACAAAATTATAAAATTCTTTAGAATCACAACTACAAAGTAACTTATCACATAAACTGGTACAAAAAAAGTTCATGATAGAGTCACTATAGAGTCAATGATCTATCGGATGCAAAATTTTTCAGACAGTATATGTTTATATCAATCAATAAAAATTATATTCGGTGCTGTAAGTTCTATACGACACCACTAAAACGAATCGTCACTCAGAGTGCATCACTTCGGTGAAATATTAGTGCTGCCAAGTGACTGGGTTATTTTGACTTTTTTATGCAACTGACACCCCATATAAATATATCGTCTCTAGCCATTTTATGCTCAAAAACATATATAATATGACACTATCCCCTTGATAGATTCATTACATATCGTACACGAGCATTCTGCAAAATTTATAAGAAATATATGTAAATAAAAAGAAGGTTTTTTGTCCATGTACAACTCCAGCTTCTTGACTTACCATAAGGTTACTTAGCACAATATTAAATGAGGACATGTGAATATCATTTCTTATATTTTGGCAGAATTTGCAAAAAGATAATTTTTTGCAAGTCTACAAAGGTGTCTTTTGCTGCTGTGATTGTTAGGAGATACATTTGTTAAATAAAAATATCAGGTGTAAAAAATCACAAATCATATTTTATAATCATCTTTATTTCGAAACAGATATTTTATTTGAAGCTTGTTTAATAGACATGCCTAAATATGAAAAAAGTCAATAATTATAATTAATTAACCCAAATCTCCGTCAGATTATAATAGTAGCATTTGTCTCTTTTTTGGTGCATTCGCCGAGTCTACATTATACTACAACTATACACGAAGGGCATTGCGTGTATAGCTCCTCGGTTATATTTTTTGAATTTTAAAAACAATTTTTGATAACAAAAATAAAAATTGTATTTTATTATAAATTTTGTGGCATTAAATTTCAATGCAATTAATAAAGCCTTCTAACAAACTGCTGTCTAAAAAAAACAAACCAATTTCTGGAAAGGCCAATACGCCAAGATTTTTAAAATCAAAATGTCCAGAACTTAATAAGAAATAAAAATAATTTGAATATATATTTTGGGGGCTTATTTCCATTGAATGTACCTTTCGAATTCCGAACCTACCCATTCCGTTAAAAAAAATTCCGATAGGTAGATAGTTGTTTTGTGGTTTCTGATTTAGAAAATTGTCTTTTTAATTCTCCTTGAGTTAATCATCAACTTTTTGTTCCTATAAATAGCAGTGGCGCTGATTTTTAATTTTTTTGTAAAAAGGGGAAACATGTGAAAAAAACGACTATCGTTTTTGATACAATTAATTATTTATTATCTATTTGGATTATATACACATTACAATACTATATTAAATTTACAAAAGCACTGTAAAACTTCGAAGTGATAACAGATTTTGGTCTTTTCATAAGTGACCTAACAAACAAATAACATAAAAGTGTTAGAGGTCATTTCTAGATATTTAATATTTTAACGCCAACCTTTAATTATGAATAATTATGATAATATTATAATGCATTAAACAGATCTATAAGTCTCGTGCAAAAAATATTAGTTAGTAATAACAATTATTAACTACACTTGTAAAATTCTGTTGTCTACAGCTTAAGCGTAACATACTGTATTTTGATTAAACGTATCGCATAATACATATCCCTTTTTTTCGACATATCTTTGGGTCTATATGAAAAACTTATGACCTAGGTTAAATCTCGTATTATTAACTAAGCTAATTTTCAATTTTCTTATAAAAACTTACAACTAAAAGAAATATAGATGCGTATACTAAGGATAAGATGACGATCTCCCGCGTTTGTGAAGTTGATTTCCGCCCGACGTTCCAGCACCGGCGTCGCCGCAATTCCTGCTGTCACCCCTGCAACATTTCGGCAATTCCGATCCTACGTCTCGACGGTGAGAGCAACCTCGTTCCGGTGAAAATCTCCAACGACCAAATCCAAATCTGTGACCCTCAACTTGAGGATCACGTCTTCCAAATGGCGATCCGCGCCTTCGAAATGGTGACCCGTGTCTTTCGCATGGCGACCCGCGCCTGCCAAACGGCGATCCGTGCCTTCGGAATGGTGATCGATGTCTGCCATGTCTGTGGTGTCCCCCAAAAGGGGATGAATGTCTACCGTGCCTTCCGAAGAGGTGATGTTCGTGGTCACCTCTATGATCGCGACGATGGTCACAAAAATTTCCCTCGTTATCTTTTTGATCATGTTGACAATGATGGTGACGTCCTGGCCACATGGAGAATTCCGACCAAGGGTGACGTCCGCATTGGGGTGGCGAGGGTGGAGACCAATGAGGGTGATGTGCGAAAGGACCACCTCGGTGACAATCGGCGTATCTGCACATCGTCTTTAACAGGATGGAAAGTATTCTGCGAAATGAGTGCGAGGCGTTCCACTTTATATGCAATTCCGCAGTATGCGCGGTAGACCACTGAGTTGAATTGTATAGATGGCTATATTCGACATTCGTTTTTGGACGATGCTTGATAAAGATTGAGTCATACTTTAACATCGTACTTTCTGGATCTAAATAATGCGATTAAGCTTTGTTTAGTACATTCCAAAAATAGATATTACAAAACATGGGGGCGTTAATCTTGAAAATTAATATGCCCACATGATCAATTTTGAATGAGATACAATATGAGATACTTTTTGCAACACCGCGCTACTTTTTGGTACATTTTGATCGTTGTGGGAAGTTTTCGTCTAAATAACTCCTTACCGGAGCTGTCCTATTGTAAATAGAAGGCGTTTAAATGTGCCGGAAGAACTTGTTCTAAGGTGTAGTATTTCAAGACACCAATTTGAAAACTAGTATTATATTGATTATTCCAGCACTACTTACATATGATTCATCGAAACGTATGATGGAACATACATTATTACTCTTTTGTAAAACTAATGTCAAATGCGCATTGGCGGTTCGTCATCTCCAAGATGAACAAAGCTGACTTTTTTTAGTATCGTTTGCATCCGCGTCTTAGTTACACATACTTTTGTCTGTAATGTAATGTCTACAGAAAGATTTAAGCATTACATTAACACTAGCCAACAGGTCAATTTCATCAACCTCCTTCTTTTCTTTATTATAAACATCGACTTTGAGCTTTTAAAGAAGTCAAAATTTATTAAATTGGCTTTATTTGGTTACCTTTTCTCGGGACAGATATAGTAAAAGTTAGGCTTTAAGAAGCTTTATAGAGATTATTAAAAAACATAAAATAACACACTCTATAAAACTGCTAATACTATTCATAATTTTTGAATAAATAAACTGCAGCGATTATAAGACTAGAAATTAGAAAAGTAATTTGCCAGGATATGTGAAAATATAAAAAAAAGTAGTACTCCTAAAAAATTAAATTTCAGCATTATTTTCCGGAATAGTTATATTCAACTTTTATTTTTAAAAACATGAAAACAAGCTATGTCTCATTTATAAGGTAGGTGGGTAGGACTTCTTCTTCTCAGTTTTATCCTTTTCTTTTAGTTGTATTAAGGGGATTGGGGAGGGGAGGTCTCAAAACATATCATTTTACATTTCGTTCTATATCTCAACAATGAAGCGAGCTAGGTAAGTTTGGTTGCATTTACACGCTGTGCAACATAATGACTGCAAAATTGGCACACTGTGGTTTTCCCATGCGAATTATTTTATTATATTAATATATTTATTATAATAATTCAAAAAAGTTTTTCATCATTGATCTAATTATATTATGTTCCCTGCAAATCCCTTTGAAATTATCCACATCGAATTCAATTCAGTGAATTTGTCCTTGGCGATATGGAACTCTTAAAGTCATCCCTACACGCTGCAACTAACATGGTAGTTTATGTGCCCAATACCGAAAATAAAGTTTTTCTGCTCCCTACTGATCAGGCTTGCGGAAAGGATCACTTTACTACGTCAGTACGTAACTCAGTGAATGTATAGAAAAACTAATCGTCGCGTAAAAAGTAGAAAATGCAACTCGTGTATTACCAAAGTGTAGTTTGTCAAACTTGCATAATATACAATTTCTAAAATACATTTGCTGCGTTTATCAATTTCTTAAATGGTCGATGTTCCGGCAACTTTATTGCCTTCTTCAGGACTAATAAGAATTATTTTAGGTACTAATATATATAGCAAAATCTCTCCCAATTTTTAACTTACGAAACAGAGGCTGTTAAATTTTTGCTTGATATTTGTAATATTGAATGATTTCCAATAAAAAGGCACAAACAATCCCAAACAATAAGACCCCAAAATGCATTGGTCTGGATTTTTTTACTATTTCCCGGGAAATGTTTAAATAATAAAGCCGTGTAGTGTTTCCTTTATCTCGCTTGTTTCTCTGCGCTTCGCCGCGCTAGTTGTTTTGGAAGTATTTATTTCCAGTGCGTCATCTCTATTTTTGGACTAGTTTCGAATACTGCGAAGTATCGCAATATGTTAGCAAGTATTTGAAACGTTGCGCAACATTTCGCGGTATTGAGTCACACGTTTTCTCGTAATTTGATAAGTATCCAAGTTCCTACTGCGCCATATCTATTTTTAAGCTTTTAAATACTTCCACGAGCAGGCCGATCGACCTTGGATGGCTAAAGTATTATATTTTAAACAAGCTTTATTAATGCAATTGTGAAAGAAAATCGTTGGCTTCTTCAATTTCTTCAAAAAATAATACATAATACTGGATACGGCGGATACGTGATTCGCATCTCCAAGATGTTACACACACTTCTGTCTACAAAAAGTTTTAAGCGTCATATCATGAGTCTCCAACGCTGTTGGTTCACAGATACTTTATACCACATGGCAAAATAGGAGATTCTTTAGATTTAAAAAAATACGATTTAACGAAACTTGCCTTAGTCTAAAATTTGATATTTTCCGAAACTCAGAGTGTCAAAGGTAGAATTTTATTTTTGATTTTTTTTTAAATAATTAAATCTGGTTTTTTAAAATTAGAAATCCACTTTCGCAAATAATTTTGGGGCAAATTGTATGGTACTTTTAATGCATTTGATACTTCCTAAGTTTTTTGCATGCAAATTTGTAATAAAAATATCACTTCTTACAGCTTTTTACACAAAATAAGTATACCTTTTAAATTGCAAACCGAGTCACCATTTTCGAGAAATTTGGGTTTGAAATTTTCACTACATCAATAAGTCATATTTAAAATTTCATTTTTTTTTGCCAACATTTTAAAATAACCTAGGCAGTGCACATAACTGAACTAGTATGGTAGTACAGACCTTAACATCGCTCTTAATATTATTTATTTTGAGATTTTTACGGCAAGAAAATCAAAAAACCTCTAAGCTAATGAAATTTTTTTTATGGAAATACAAATTTAATTTTAAACTAAAGTAAAATACAAAAACTATTCTTAAAAAAAATTATAGTCGGCAATAACTGTTTATTAAAAGATTTTAAAGAATAATTCTTGGCTGTGCCACAATTTATCTCTATTTTGAACTACTTCTTCATACACTAGTGACTTCATACACTCTGGACTCCTAGGCGACCAACGTGCTTGACTGCCAAGACCAGTCCAACGATAAGGAAATTGATTATTAAGGTATTCTCTAACGTGTCTCGAGCACTAGAGCGCCACCTTCCATGACAATCGGCGAATTGAGTTTACAAAAAATTGACAAGGTTTAGCTGGCCGTTTGAATTAGATGGCAGTTAGATAGGTCCTGACATGTAATTATCAATTATTCCGCACCAAACGTTTATTTTAAATTCCTGTAGGAAATGACGTTCAGTTGTCAAACGGGAAATTTCTCGATCCCAGGCATGCTTCCTTCTCAAGTTAAAGACATCTTTGCTGGTAAATGTTGCTTCATCTATAAATTATTGTTATTTGAAAACATTAAGTCGACTTTTTTGCCGGACTCGACAAAAAAGAACAAATTCCAATCTGGCTAATAATCACCCTCTAAAAGATTTTGCCACTAAGACGCAAAAGAAGTTGGGCATTATCAAATGCACGAAAAGTGCCATACGTAGCGCCCTCTACAATTTGCTCCAAAATTATTCATGAAAATGGATTTCTCATATCAAAAAAATGCGATTTGAAAATTGAAATTTTGTGCAAAAAGCTTGATTATTTCAGGAATTATTTTAAAAAATCAAAAATAAAATTGCCACTTTTACACCCTGCATATCGGTTACTATCGGACTAAGGTAAATTTAAATAAATCGTAATATTTTTACCTAAGGAATTTCCTATTTTGGCATATACTATTACTTATGGGACACCCTATAAATAGTGTAGGTGAGGTAAAACCTCTTATCGTTTAATATTTGATTGTTTTATTTATTTATTTATTTTATTTATTTATTTGGATATATCAGTTTTTTATGGCCAATTATATATTTCTTAAATATCCGATTACTACACATTTTAAATAACTCTTCTTATTACAGGATCTTAATTCCATACATTGTTCTAAGTTGCGCTTATGATACTTAAAATACTTCTTGCATGAGTCGGACATTTTTGCCCATATTCACAATGAATAGAAATTCGTGTTTATACTTATGGGTAGGTTCTGTAGACCACATTTCTCAGCACATTAGGACTAGACCATAAGACGATATTATAATTGAAAGAATAAGTAGATCCAGTGAAAAAAAAAACAGGTCTTGGCACGCGTTTTAAGTGACGAAATGCAGTTGTAATTTTACCGAGAATGGCGGCAAGCATTAAGAATAAATTATTTCTAGGAAATGTACATATAATTATCATAAGAAAAATGTAATCATTTGAAATACAAAAATTATTTAACGCTTCCAGTATTAACGGAAGTTTAAGATAGTAATAACTAGTAGATTTTTTTCAAGCACAATTTAATATGCAGAATAAAATATTAGGTAAATATTTATTTATGTAGATTTTTTTTTAACAATGAATTGTTATTATTGTTAGAATATAAATAAATGAATAGAATTAATCAAAAAAATTAATAAATTTGCTGAACATTCTTCTTTTTTGAATTAAGTTGTTCTGTTTGGAACTAAATTACCGATGTAGTAATCACAAACAAATGTTATGCTAATTTTATGTCCGCGAATGTTTCCTTTATCTGGATCTATTTTTAAACCAGTTTCGAATTCTGCGAAGTATCGCAATATGTTAGCAAGTATTTGAAACTTTACGCAACGATTCGCGGCATTGAGTCACACGTTTTCCTGTCATTTGATACCACTTTCCTATTGCGTCATATCACGTCATATATTGTTAGCTTAAATTGCAACAACGCACTGCATTATAAAAAAAGAACTACGAAACATGGCTGTCCGATGGTGGCGCATTGCAAGTTTAATAGTACTTAATTAAAAAACGACTAAAATGTAGCTCTCCACGTGCATCCATTCTCAGCCAATTTATATTTCTTTAAAGATGAGAAATATGATCAAATTTTCGGATCCCATAGACAAAACGCAGACATGAGCTTTGAACTCTTTGTCTTCGGATTCGACTCTCATGATCCAAGCAAACACCGTAGCAAAATCACAATAACTAAAGTTAGACAAGACAAGTGACTCAGACTCAAACTTTTGCCTATTACATGCCTGTTATAAAGCACCTTTAGTGAGCAGTAGGTTTTTCTGAAAATAGATTTTAAATGTTCCTTAAACTGATTCTGAGTATCCAATACAAGCCCCAGATTATTTGCAATAGTTACAAATTTTAATCAAATACAATACAATACAAATTTAATATAATAGAGCTGTGTGTCATCAAGTCAAGAAAACAGCTTTCGACGCCCCTGTTTTAATATCTACCAGCGACAAAATGCAATTGTAATGTATAAGGAGGTTGGAGGCAAACATTAAGCATTAAGTATAAATTATTTCCAGGAAATATACATACTGTCATAAGAAAGAAATATTTTTTTAAATACACTAACACATCTCTGATTAACAGAAGAATAACGTAGTAATACAATTTTTATGAGCTCATTCGCAGAATACAAAATATTAAAATAAACTTTATCATTTGTTAGGATACAAATATTTGAAATACAACAATTAAGGAAGAAACATAAATAAAGTTGTGGAGGACACCGATTATTCTGTTTGTAACTAATTTTCCGTTTTAATATCGACAAACAATTTTTTTCTCATTTTTTTTTTGGTTTTTCAAAAACAAGTGCGGCAACGCCATTTACCGTCCGCTTCGTATAAATTTTGACTGAAATTTTTAAATTGACGTCACCTTAAGTCACTTTAAGTACATACACGTTCAAGCCGTAATAATTTTACACCAAATTGTAATGATCGACCATGCAGCAGTCGAAAAAGCATCCCCTAAATTACATACCGAGAAAAGTGAGTAGATCAATGCCAAAAAGGAAATGCTCTTTCACTCAGACGGAGAACGAACTGGTCTGTAAAGAATGTTGCTGCAGCGTTTCTCAGCTTAACGCCAAGGAATTTAAGTTTCACTACATGAAGGCGTTGCGATTTCTGAATAATTGTCACGAAGCTGTGAACAAAATGTTGATAGACAATTTTCGGGAGTGTGGTGATTCCGTTCCCAAAGATTTATTTTTGATGCCGAAGATTCCGAATTGTTACGGCGTGTGCAAGCAGTTCCTGCAAAACGGGCAATGTTCAAGCGAATTGTTGGATATAACTAACGACTCCAACCAAGAGTATAGTTTAAAAAGTATCCGCGGGTGTAGTGCTAAAAGATCAGACAACACAGGAATTTCTCTAGATAGTTGTAAGTAGATCTATAAGCAATAATTGGCTTAGGTATATGTGCACGGCTGTTATAAACTTGCCTAATCCAAGTAAGGGACCTGATTGGGTCCATAGTCTCATTCCTATAATATAACATAATAATATGATATTTGCATGTTCACGAGAAAATTTTGGTAGGTGGGTAAAGTAAACTTGTTATTTCAATTAGCACATAAAAATATGCAAAAATTCTAGGTATATCAAGCCATTAGGAACGCTCAAAGGAGACACATTCTGAACCCCTAGTAGTCAAATGAGCAGTGTTTAAAATTTTTTACTGCAAGTAGGAAAACGTTTGACACCCAGCCTGCCCTCGCGTCACAGTATAAAATGGATATTCGTTGTCCTCTAGATATCGGTACATACAAAATGCAGTTTGATGAAGAATTTTGCCACACTTTCTTTATGGTGTCATGGGTGTCGAATCAAGTCTCGTCTAAATCATATACGAGGTGTGTTCAAAAAGTAAAGTGACTTTTGAAATTGGGCAAACATTCGATCTTCGATGTTCAGTTTCAGCGAGTTTGCAGGTTTACTTTTTTTATGAGACATGCCTTAGACGTGTTGAGCTCGGAATACAGTGCTGCAAAACACTTCAAATATTGACAACGGCATATGTTGAATCTACTTTGAGCAAAAAAAAAATGTTTATAAGTGGCACAAGCTGTTCCAAGATGGCCGAGAAGACGCCGATGACGAACCTCGCTCTGGTATTGAAATATCGTCGAATCACTATTAAAGAAGTGGCTGAAGACATGGGAATCTCTATTGGCTGATGCCATGCAATTTTTTGCGAATTTTTGGACATGAATAGGGTAGCAGCAAAAGGACCGTAGAAGGAGAATCGCTGTTAAACGACGTCAATGATCATCCTGACATACTCAAAAAGTGACGAATCATGGGTATGTAGTTATGACTCAGCCACCATATTAACCGGATATGACCCCCTGCGACTTTTTCCTGTTCCCAAAAACTCAAGAAACTCGTGTAGGTTTCGAGGCAGTAACAGAAAGTGCTTGCTAGAAGCGCCTTTAATATTGGAAATACGTTGTCATAAGTGTATTATATCCGGACGAGACTACTTTGACGAGGAAAACATTAATTTTGATAAACAAAGTACTATTTGATAAAACTTAAAAGTCAACTTACTTTTTAAACACACCGCGTATATTTCGTTTTTCTACACGAAATTGATGACAGTGACTTAAATATTGTTGTCTCCATTCCACCAATCGTTGGGTCTTTTTAATGCTACCACGCTTGTCAATATCGTTATACCTAAATCCGATTCTGTGCAAAAATCGGTGCAATGTTTCAGGACTGCAAGTAAATCGACCATTTTCTCTTAATTTCTGTTGCAATGATTCAAGTGACGGAATCTGATTATTCTCAGACATCGCATTCACTTTCCTGCGAATCCACTCCGCATAACCATTCCTAAACATCAACATTATGCCTTTGTCACATCGATTCTTCCTTTCTAGGGAATCATTATCAAGCAATCGGCGCGAGGTTGACCTTGGAATACCAGTTAACTCCACTGTCCTCCCAATGGCAGCTTCTATGCCCTCTGGCGTTTTTAGAAGACTTGCGAACAAATTTTGCAGTAAAATATATAAAGTATTGTCGATTTTTTTTATTTTCTATATTAAAGTTTCAGAGATGTTACAGTATAGTTTTTTTTTTAATTTAAATATGTAGAAACAGTATATGCAATTGTCCGATAAGGCAGATCAAAATATAAAGAACATTTAAATTTTACCTTCATATACTCGTGAAACGATTCTCTTGCACCACATATTCAAATGACATTTCCTTTTCGATTCGTTACTCTCTTCTACTCCATCGTCGAAATTTCTCCGTCTCACAGTTTGAACATATAAATTGTAACACAAAGTGCAAATGATTTACACATTTCTATGGTGTCGACACTACTCGTACTTCTCGTTCCTTCTCCTAACGGAGGTTGTTGTCGTGGCTATCCTAATCTTGTTTAATCCTGTTAACAGATGCTCTGAATAGTTGGTTTTATGTAATTCCAAACCATTCCCTTAAGTTTTTGAGCCAAGAGGTTCTTCTTCTCCGTTGACTCTTACCTTTGATCTTTCCTTCCATAATGTTCTGTAGCATCGCACATCATCCTCTGATCACGTGGCTAACGTATTCCAATGTGCTTCTTTTTAGAGAGTTTATTATTTCCTCCTGTTTCTGGGTTCTAGGTAGCAGTTCCAGATTGGAAACCGTGTCGGCCCATGAGATTTTCAACATTACTGTTGGCTTCTTCAGAGCTTGACTGAAACTGTTTCAGGATGATTGACGAAACGTCAGCAATTTCGACTCAGCAAAAACCGACGCAGGAGGAATCCAGAAGTTTTTTAAAAAATATTGCAGGAGCCTGTGGAAGTTTATTTGAAAAGTTAATCATGTACTTAGTTTTCTTAAGGTTCATGTTTAGTCCATATCTTTCACATGTATCATTTACCCTCCGCAGCAGGATTTGCAGATCTTCAAGCTTGTCTGTAACTATAATGTTGTCGTCCGCATAATTTAAGTTGTTTAAAATCTGCCGTTTATGGCAACACCCTCCTGTCCTTCATCCATAGCTTCACTGAAAATTGCCTGACTATTACGTTAAAGAGTAGCGGAGACATAATACAGCCCTGATGCACGCCTCGCAGAATCTCCACTTCATCAATAAGCTGATCTTCAATTCTGACTCTAGCTATTTGGTTCCAGTAAAGAGTCGCAATGATTCTGATGTCCCGACTATCAATGTTCATATTCTTTAACATTTCTATAAGTTTTTTTGTTGAACCTTATCAAACGCCTTTTCAAAATGAATAATGAACAATTCTTAAAAAAACCCTCAAAGGGTGACTCATAAGGGCTATTGTTCGATGATCGGAACATTCTTAGGTAACGTTATAAATGTAGATGAAAGCCACTGTCTTGGAATAAGTGCAGTTGAGTATATGATATTAAAGAGATTTACGAGGATCATAATTGTGTCTTCCTCTATAATTTTAAGAAGTTCGATCGGTATCTCGTCAGGACCATTTCTTCCTGCCTTCGTCTGTAGAATGGCATGTAGAATCTCCCCGCGCACATTTCCAGACCAGGCTCCTCGGCAAGGCCAAGTGCATACCTTCCTGTGTGATAGACCGGAAAAATTTTATTATTGGTTTTTATGTTTTGTTTTTAGGTAATGTCCATTTGCGCAGATTTAGATAATGAACATCATTTCGAACAGTGATTTTGTTATTAAAATAATGAGATGATCAGATGATTAACAATCTGGCAAAATAACAGCCTAGACTAAAATGAAGTTTTCTTCTGTTGTTACTAAGCCTAGTTCTTTAACATTGTGGGATATTTTCACTTTAGGGGCCCACATCTCCGTAGGATTTGCAACAAAAAATTTTGTAGGAACTTGCCATATTATTTTCTAAGCTGTTATACGTTTCCCACATTTTATCGCCCACTATAGCATGATACTTGTACTGCGCTTTTGTATGTTGATTTCAGTCCATTCGGAAAATGACCACGATGGTTCCATCGGTTCGCCCGTTAAGCCCTTAACGATAAATTCGGGCGTGGATGAAAACCAACGTCACGTCGCCGAAACCAACGTGTCCGCAAAAAGTTCCGAGACGTTTATTTTGATGAAGAACGAAAAAGCGCCGACGCAAGGTCCGAATCTGTTGCAAAACAGGAAAAGGATATTGCAAATATTTCAGAGACAAGTCCACCAGGAACTCGAACAAATTTTGCCGAGCCGCATGTCGAGCGATTTCGAGTTCACCGATATTAAGATCACGGACATTCCGCCGGAAAAACTGAACCTCATGGAATACTCGATGAAAAAGGTGCCGAAAGATCCTCCGGCCCAAGTGGTTTTTGAAAATCGTTTACCTAAATACGTACACCCCAGCACGACCAATTTCAACTTAAAAGGCGGCCCGAAACAGTCCAAGTCGCTTAACGGCATTCAAAAGGCGTTCAGTCCTAAGAAAATAAACTTAATGTTCCATAAGATTTCGCAAGAAAATCTTCACTTGGGCGACCGCCCGAGCTATATTGAGAACTCGGTCGATAGCGAGATGTTAAACGATGTTGAATATGAGCCGACGAATGACATAGACAATAAGTGCCGAACGAGGTACTCATTTCCAAATCTGTTGAACAAGTCGATGTGGGAAATTGAATACGATGGTAAGTAAGGGGGCTTTAGAAAAAGACAACTTTAAAATAATTGACTTATAAACGAATTACGCATTAATTGAAATGCGAAAAAGTTAAAAACTCTGTAGATATGATGCAATTTCTACGTGCTATCAAATAAAAATTGCTGTTAAAAAAGTAGTATACGGAAGACATTATTTTCAAGGATTTTTGTTGTCAGAGGTTGTTTAGGTTTAGACTTCATAATAAACTATATAACAAATTTTTCGCCTATAATAACAGTGTATCCAATTTAAGGATAGTTATCGGAAACCATAGGAAATATGGGGCTTTCGAAAAAAATATAAAAACTTGGATTTTCTATTTTTTTTTTCATAGAGGCCAAAATACATCAAACATGATCTCGGAATTAGTACATTATCAGGACACTTTTTTAAGAAATGTATGATAAAGGGAAACAGAATTTTCTCACTTGTTTATGAAATACTATATAGATTTTTAGATTTTCTTATAGGTGCCATATTGCATGATGCATTTATAACATGGGGCCACAAAAGCGTCCTTATGTTAGACGCATTGTATGTAAGAAAAATCCATAATCCGCAGTAAACTAACGAGAGAAATATATACTACCTTTTGTGTTCTCTAAAACCAATTTACATTGAAACATAGTTTTTTAAGCAAATGTTTTATTCGAATTTTGATATATTTCAAGTTTTCAATTTCCTTAGTTAAATTTCAATCCCTAAATTTTCAGTACGTAAATTGTTCATGTTTATTGTTATTATTTTTAAAGTGCCTACCTTTTAATCTTCTATATCATGCTTTTAAAGTTCCAAAAATGGTAGCCGTTTACAAAAATGTTTGAGACCTGCTATAATAAAAGACTTCCGACCTATTTTCAAAATAATAACTTCATTTATTACTCATCCAACATTACACATTCGTAAAATACTTAGTAATAAAAACAAAAATGAAATGGGGTGTTCGTAAAGCTCCAGCAGAATATCGAAGTTGGAGAAATTTCACATCAATGGTTAATTGTACGTAAATGTACGGAGGGGCACTACCCAAAGTTTCTCTCACTTTATTTAGTAACTAGGTAAACGATTTACCTAAGAAACTGGAAGCAATAAAGTTACCAGCCAATTATGCTGACGATTCAATTGTAAAGTCTAACTCAGAAGTAACACAAGTCGCAATTTTGTGACAGAAAGCCTTTTAGTTAGGACCCAGGAGAAACCTACTGCAAATGTAGAAAGTACTTGTTTCTTAGGAACAAAACTGGATTATCAACTAACCTGGAAATATCCCATTTAGTTTAGTAAATTCAAAGTTCAAAATTTGAGGGAACGGTCTCAAAGTTTTAAAGCTTATGTACACTTTGTTTAAAACACAGTAAAGAGTACTATGGTGAAAATATCATCAAAAGCCTCATGCAGAAATGGTTTTGTATCTTTAGGCATATTGATATTACCATCGCTTTATACAGGGCGTCCAAAGAGTGTGTCAAAGTATATATTATTATTTTAAAGAAAAATTTAAAATTCAAATGTTATAGATAAAACTAAAAGAAAAAATTCAAGATTATTTTAAAATATACATGTCATACATAAAAATGTGTGAAATTAGAGCTATATATTTTTAATGGGCTTCCTCTATATTATGGAATTAATAGATACTACCTTTTATACTCAATGACCCAATGTTGGGTTGTTATGGCCTATACCGAGCGTTTCGCCCTGTGTTTAATACTATACTATATTTTTGCCGTATCCGACAACTGTAATTTTATTATGCCAGCAAGTGGGCAGCCATTTTTTCTATACTTCTATTCTTTATACAGGTTGAGTCAAAAGGAATTGTATTATTGCATACCCTACACCTAAACTTAGTATTTTTTGAGGTATAGACATTTCGTAAACGGCGTCAAAAGTATATAGTATTAAAATTAAACACAGGGCACTTTTGACGAAAGAATAGCCATAAATCCGAAAACACTCAGCGCAGTATAGTAAATAGACCATGACAATCCTACAGGGTGTTCCATAAAAAAAAGTTTAGTTTCCCACATATTTACTTTTCTTTTAGTCTATCTATCACTTTTGTATTTAACATTTTTTGCTAAAACAAATAATAAATGAGATATATGTATTTCTTTTCCACACAATTTGGACACGCTGTATAAACCAAGATAACACAAAGCCAAATGATAGTTATAATACCTCGTATGAATTAAACCTAGTTGAACTCTATGTAGATTATCTGTAAGTAAGCAAAAGTCATAAATTATGTTTTAATAAAGTGGTGAGCCTTGATGAAACTTTAAATTTAAACCTCACGCTTTCTCAATTTAAAGCAAAACTGAAATAATTCCTCATTAAAAAATGCTGCTACTGACTATAAGATTTATTATGCGATGCTTAAGAAACAATTTCACTTATATTTTACATTATTTGTTTTGTGCTGCAAACTTTGCAAACTAAACATAGTTATACATATACATTTTGATTATAAAATTGATATTTTCTTTTTTCTGTTGACGTATTCATCAATGTACAATATATCTTAGTGTATTTGCACCATTTGAAATAGTGAAATAAATTCTATGGGGAATCGGTTGACTTACGATGAAGAGCTGAACTTTTCTTTAACTTAGGAATTTTCTTGATGCAGAAAAACCGCAAAAATAATCCAAGAACCGGATTGACATCGATTTCCTGATCGCAAGACTTTTTTGCTTGGTATTTTGTATCCCATATTTTTGAAAGTGGTTTAGTGATTTCTAATTTATTAACATTTTTCATCAAGTTTATACTTATATATTTATGAAAGCAAACATTTTCGGGCTTATTTCTGCACAACAATTCTAAATTATTTTGCAGAGAAAATAGCTGCGAATTTCATCTGTAAAATTTATAAAACATGTAGAAATTGCATTGCGTGTACAGGGTTTAAGGACAAATCATTGAAATAATTTGTACCCGGCAACACATTGTACCTACAGGCACATTAATAGATATCAGAAATTGCAAATATTTTGTATAATAAGAAAGTTTAATATTAAGTAGCTACGACTAAAATGTAAACTAAAATTGCAATATTTGTAGTGTATGTAACTACTCGTTTTATTGATTACAACAGTTAACTAGATCTAAACTGAAATGGCACCTACATGATAGAAAAGTAAGGCAAATTTTACAACAGGAATAGACCGGCTAGTAATGGGGATCCTTGTCTTTGTCTTGCTCATTTATTTCAATATCGAAAATGGAGTTATTAGTAATATTGGATGATGTGATATTTTGATAATACGCAATACAATACAAAAACAATTGCCTTTGACCCTACATTACTGTAAGCACAGCACGAATTTACGTTGTTATTCAAACAAAAATATATGAACTATCTCGTCTTATTACACTAATCTGCAATTGCTGTTTAACTTGCATGACAAACAAAAGAATACCCGTCTCTCTCTACATAAAATTTGCCTCCCAGAAATCACTATGGCTATATTACCGAAACCACTCCACTTTCAACAACAAAATCTGTTACTGTTACAGTTAAAAGCAGACCCACAATAACCCATCCCCTTCAGCTCAGTGAAAAAGACAGATCAATGGTCGACGAGAACGTGTTACGCACTATGGGCCTCTATACGAAAACAGGAAATCTCAGACCCGAGGTGATTGAAATTTTACAAGATACAGAAAGGTCCAGAATTTTAAACGACAGCAGAAGCAAACCGTTCCGGACTAAACGAAAGTTAGACGTTGAAATCCACTTTAAGCAAGATTTGAACATGGAGAACACCAGCAGTTTATCTCTGATATCTTTCGACAGCGGATGCAGTGGCGTCCCGTCCGTTTCATCCGTATCGTCGGATATCAAGTCCGATTCCGAAGTAGAGGTTAAATTTGACAACAGGCTGATGCGCCTGGATAAAACTTTGTCACTTTAAAATGTTGAAGCATCTCGAAATATAGCAGACTGCATGAAAGAATCAGATGGTTTTTCTCATCTGCTACCATTTCACACAGCTCAAAAACATACAATTTACAAACACGTTTTCCATTATGTTAAACAGAAAAAACAGGAACAACACTGCAAAGCAGTGAAACTGGATAAAATATAAAACTACTTAACAAGAGTCACTTAGAAATTTTATTTTAGTAGTTCTTTGTTAATTGCTCTATCCTAAGCAAGTTTAACTTTAGACCGAGTCTCTATACAAAAGCTTATTTTATGGCCAGAAAATCAGTATAAAACATGATTTGCCATTTGGCTGTTTAATATTATCTCTTAGAACTTACAAATATCAAAACTTATTATTGGTCAGTTTTGGTATCCGGAGAAGTCAAACATGCTTTATTTTGATAACTTACATGTATATAAATATACAAATACACTTTTTATGAAATATCAACATATATAACATTTTTCTGAAAATGCTTAATTAATTAGGGTAAAACCTTGCGATATAAATCAAATGTCTAAAGAAATCACAGGTAATACAGATGGTCTATTTTCGGCTTTAACTTAAAAAAAAACTTTAAGCACAATATACATGAACCCCTTAAAATTTTACTGACAGGTTAATACACTAGTGGCACTCTCTGATTAACATTATGAGCTTCTCCACAAAAAATTATCGATTTAATTATACACAAAAACACAGAAAAAAAACATATTGTACTGAACCATTTTTCAAACTTTTAAAATCTCACATGATTTATGCGGGCAACTGCAACTTCTTACCTTTCAAAACTGAAATAAAAAGTATGAAATGAAGTTCTAAACTCAGCAGATTTCAGTATGGGCAACATACCTTTGGTAATATAGAGATAGAAAAAGTCACAATATAGTACAGTTTGTACTATACCAGCGACAATTGCAATTATATCATAGTGGTTCTCTGTCCAGTAACGATAGACCCAATTGAAAATGTAGAGGGCTCGGTATGAACCAAGTGCAAATAAATAATGGGATGTAATACTCTCAGCCTCACCAGTTTTACTGACCATAAATAGTTGGGGTAGAATTGCCACCGCCTCTAAGTAAATGCTAAATGTCCACAGTACCTAAAACGAAAAATTACTGGTAGAAATTTGTTTTAAAGAACAAGTAAATTTGCTCACCTCCAGCAATGCAAATTCATGATTGATAATAAGTGCCAAAATAACTGATGGTAAAATCAAGAACTCAATACGGAACGTATCATGGTTTCTATCATATGTAGCTCTAAATTTAAGATAAATTAAGTATACAGTGGCGTAGGAACTCGCTAAGAAGACAACTTTCATACACGTATTGTAGAGTGATACATAAGCTGTTACAAGGTCCAAATATCTAGTTGTATAGACCAGTGCAAACAATATTTGACTTTTGCCAGATATACCTAAAACAATATTGCTGTCGGTGTGGGAAGGTCAATCCACATAAGATATAAAGCAATAAAACAGAAACGTGAATAACCCTTCTGTCCAAACACAGTAAAGCGGACCGGTAAAAATGTTTTTTAAATTAATTCACTACATACCTGCACATGATCGGGTGTGCCAAATCTTTTGCAAAAGTATAATAATTGCAATAAGATGAGATAAATCCCCTAAAAGCCTAAAAACATTCATTTTATTTGAAACTTTGTTTTGGAAATTAGACTCCAATAGGTAAAGTGACGTGGCTTTATTCCTCTTATTTTCGCCAGGTGGCGCCACTATAAGGCAAACGGAATCACAGCAGTTCACAAACGAATTCATGTTAAAATATGTTGGTTAATTCCAAAAAAAAGACTACTAAACACCCTTTTTAATACTTCGCATAAATAGTAATGCGCTAGTATAAGCCCATCCGCCTGTTCTGATGCTATATACAAATGCTGCACTTTAAGGGAAAAGCTGTGCGCTTTATAATGGGCAAATGGATTTGGTGCCTCTACGTGTTCATCTTCTTTAGTGTGGCGTTTAAAGAACCTTTTGATTTTTGATATTCTTTCTCTTTTCTTTGTATAATTCTTTTTAACCTAACTGTTGAGTGGACGAACTGATATTATCATTGCCAATAATAAAAAAAATGTCGCATCCTGATAAACCGGTAAAGATATCGAAATTGCTAAGAGCTAAAGCACATGAATTTCTTTCTTCCCATAAGAATTCTAATGCTTTAATAACGATAGTTAACCATTTTGATTCGGGAGCCGATACAACGTCATGTTTGTTGGCTTTGGAAATGATTTTTACAAATCTTTTAAAAGAAAAGCAAATGCTTATCCAAATTATACCCTTAAAACCTATGGAAAATAACGCAGAAAATCAGTATAAACAGTGGCTAAAAAACGCCTATGAGGAGTGTTATCAAAAAATTTTAAGCTGTTTGGGTCACGAATCGCCAAAAGTAAAAATCCAAGGTATTAAATATTTATACTTTTAACGAAAAACGTGTCTTAGGTGGATAAAATAATTTATTATATTAAAAAATTTCAGGCTTGTCAACTGCTATGAACATACTGTCCTATGAAGGAAGGTATCCCTTAGAAACCAAAGGTTCTTTTGATAACTATGTTCCATTACAAAAATTAAAATCGATTTTAATAAACATATTATCGGGCAAGCAAAATACTGCAAATCTTATTAGTAAATACACAGAATATTTACTCTTTGATGATATTTTGTTTTTTACATGGAAACTGTTGCCTTCTCTAACAGCAAAAACAAATCCAAATGATATTTACATTATGAATTATTTGATGTTATTAGAAAAGTTGCAAATTTGTGCTAATAGCGAAGCCAAATGCCTCTGTGGGGATGGAAGTGGTAAGTTAAATCTCAGCACAACAAATACGTTTTAAGTAGTGTTGAATTTTCAGCACAATGTTTCACTTTTGATGAAGCTGTAACAAAAAAGTGTCTCAACAAGATGTGGCATTGTCTAATGCACTGGGACCATACCCCTGAAACCCATAAGCAACTGCTTATAGTGTTGTTAGAAAAAGTTCTTGTTCATCTCGACAAGCCATTACTGCTCACAGACTTTTTAATGGATTCTTTAGATGTTGGAGGACCAGTGAGTTTGTTGGCATTACAAGGAATCTTCACTATGGTCCAAGTACACAATTTGGATTATCCAAACATATTTACCAAGCTGTATTCCATGTTTGAGCCTGAAATATTCATAACTAAATATAAAGCTAGGTTGTTTTACTTGGCAGATCTTTTTTTGAGCTCAACTCATTTACCGGAGAATTTGGTTGCTGCTTTTGTGAAAAGGCTGGCGCGATTGGCCTTATTAGCATCTTCAGAGGATATTATTATCATATGTAATTTCATTGGAAATTTAATTATCAGGTCAGTGCAATCACGCAATCATAAATGAAGTGTTATTTTCTTTTTTGATTTTTAGGCATCCAGGACTCAAATGTTTGCTGAACAAAAGTAGTGAAACAATAGTCAGTTCAGATCCCTACATAATGGAGGAAAGAGATCCATTAAAATCAAATGCAATTAGCAGTTCTCTTTGGGAACTCCAGTCGCTGCAGCACCATGTCCAGCCCAGCGTCGTAAGTGCTGCCAAATTTATAAATTGCCCATTGCCTCATGTTGAGTGGGACATTGGTAAAATATTAGAAAACACCGGGGACGATATATTCGACAAAGAAGTTAAGAAATTTGGTAACCTTATAGTGTTACAATTTGAAAAACCTAATGGATTATCCTTAAATAGAGGTGAAAAAGTTTCCCATTACTGGGATATTTAAACTGCAACTTTTTGTGATGAAAAACTATTTAACTTGCATATTTTTATGTCATTACAGCTACAATTTTTCCTTCGATAGACATAGTTTCCGGAAAATAAACTTTTTAATTTTTTTTGCCAGTATTTTTGAGAAAATACAAAAAATGTTCTAGCTGTTAGATATATCTTCGAAATGGAAGAGCATAGGCTCAGCTTCCAAAATTTTCATCAATGTTAAGTCTAAAAAAGCTTACTTGCAAAATTTAAGTTGATTTATTAAAAATTCCTTGACTTTGGTAATAACTATCAAACATATCTGTGAACTACCACTTTTATACTAATCCATGAATGTTTACAATTAATTCCTTTATATTTAAACATGGCCTATTTTTTTGCCCAAAATATGTGATAATTGTTAAGTACTATATTTGTTAGAACTGTGTGCAAAATAAATATGACTATTCCAATTGACTAACTGTTGTAAAGTTGTTTTATTTCTTGTAACCTGGTAATATGTGCACATTGGCACCCTAGCACATTTTTCAATAAGCTTTTTGCAGAAGTTGTGTATAATAAAACTAACTAATACAAATAAATCATTTTAATATATCATGTTTATACAGTATAACATAATGCAAAGGAATGTTTCTACATTACCCTAACTTTACCCCATAACATTTCCAAATATTCTAAATCAAGACAAGTTTTTATTATGCTATTCTTGCCTGAAGTAGATTCCAAGCTTTAATACTTGCACACCTGCGCATTTTTCAATAGGCTTTTTGCATAAGTTGTGTATAATAAAAATAAACCATTTTAATATATCATTGTCGTTTATACACTACACATAATGCAAAAGAATGTTTCTATATTACCCCTACCTTTACCTAATAACATTTCTAAATTTTCTAAATGACATAAAAAAAATAATGTTTCTGTCAAATCCAGACACAAAAAAAATTTTATTATGCTATTCTTGCCTGAAGTAAATTCCAAGCACATTTTTCAATAAGCTTTTTGCAGAAATTATGTACAATAAAACTCAAAAGGTTAATAAAAATAAATCATTTTAATAGATCATTCTTGTTTACACACTATACAAAATGCAAATGAATGTTTCTACATTACCACTACCTGTACCCCATAACATTTCCAAATTTTCTAAAGAAGACATAAAAAATTTATTATGGTATTCTTGCCTGAAGTAGATTCCAAGCTTTAATTACTTGAAGTTTTGTATACTCTATCTGCCACAAAGTACAGAACACTACATGCGCATGTCTTACATACTCAGTGTTGGGTGGTAGTGCGTCCAACCTCTTTTTGGCTTCACTCTCATTTAAATTATTCCGGGAGATTAGTCTTCTAATAGCCTCATTTGGGGGAACAATGGTGGTCCATACCTAATAGAAATGTTATTCTTATTACTTAACAATGAATAGTTTAAAAATTTCCCTTGCCTCGTGACATTGTCTTTGCCAGCCAGCTCTTAGCAGTACTGCAGCTTCAACAACCACAATCTCCTTGTCAGTATTCTTAATTATGTTCTTGATTTCCTCTGCAATTGCCGGCCATACTAATTCATTCAGCTTATTCAAATCATCCTGAAAATTTCAACTTGTTTATTTATATTGCAAACCACATGAAATAGAACTGATAATGCTAACCCTACATAATTTTTTTTTAAATCATTTTCTTACAGGATTTTTAAAAACAATGGAACCCAGCACTTTTCGATCAATTTCACCATTGGTATCTAAAACTTGCCGCCCGAATTGTTGTACAATTTTGTTGTAGCACGGGCAACCTGGTTTATATGCATTGTGTCCCAATTTATCGCAATTGATTATCAAACCTCCTAGTTCTTGCAAGTGCTCCGCCACACCAGATTTTCCGCTGGCAATCCCACCTAAAATACTTCATAGGTAATTTTAGTTCAGACTATATCCATTCACATGAAATTTTGTAATTACCTGTCAAACCAATAATATAAGGCTTCTTAGGTATACAATCATTTTTTTCCACAGATTTAAAAAGTGTTCCTAAGAGTCTCAATCTTGTATTGCTAGAACTAATTTTTGGTTCTTCTATAGGGTCAGGTTTTGGTTCATCTATCAATCTGATAGAAACAATTTCAAGTTCGTGGAGCTGTTTTTCTTTTCTGACTAGAAGTAAAAATAAATTTAGGCTATATCAGTTTCCTAAAAATAATTCCATACTTTCATTTATCTTTTGCCCTCCTCTGACAGTTTCCGGACTAACAACAATTAACTCCATTGTTGGATCAACAATTGCCGGCCCAAAAGGGTCTGATATTTCCACAACTTCATATTCCAATTCTGGGCATATATCAGTGATAAAATTCTTGACCTTTTTTATCCTTGTATCTTTGTCTTCTATCAATTCCCAGAGTAGTTTTCCTTTACATTACACATTTTATTAGTATTTAAAAATTGGCACCATATTTGAACATACCTTGAATCAAATTTTCATTTGTTACACCAATAGTAACTTTAGATTTTGATCTTAAAATAGCTTCACTTAAAATCAATTTATGAGCAACATGTAACCTATCAAATGTCCCTCCTAATACAGAATGCTCAACAATTTTTTCCTCTTCACCTTCTTCTTCAGTGAGAGTTTCATGCCCGCCACAATGAACTGTTAAAATATCATGTTTTTTTGAAACATTGGAGAGTCTTAAATTAATGAAATTATTAATTTCATTTTCGGTATATTCCTTATCAAAAATAACTATATCAATTGGATTCCTTGTTTTAATTTGTGGTATGTTGTATTTCAGACCAGACAGTAGAACTTGAACATCCAAATCATTGCAGTATTTTGCAGCCTGAGAGTAAATACCAAATATAGTCTTATTAAACTTGGGCCATGTTGTAAAAACTCCAGGACAAAAGTTTCCTAACTGATCCGTTAACGCAGATAGCAATTGTATGTAAAGTGTACTTTGAACTCTATTTTGTATCGAACGTAAAACCTTACTAATTTGCTGAGGATTGGATACAATTAACAGACCAGTCTTGGCTAACATGTCTTTGAAATATGTTAAATTAAAATAGAGTCAAATATTCAAATATCACATGAAAACTAGTTTCTTACTTGACAATAACATAAATTAAGGTTATTCTGAGTTTTTACTGCTATAGGCCACCCCAGGCCAGATTATTCAGCAATATTCTAAAATTTACATGTTCTTCTTTTGCATTAACTCTATTTTAACCACATAAACTCGACCAGATGACTTTCATAAATTTTATTACCATCATTAATTAATAATTTTATTTCAAAGATTGTACATAAGTAATCCCTAAATTAAATGTGACCTCAAAAAATGCCAAACACTCCAATAGTGTGGGCTAATAATCATGGTATATTTGCCCAACGTTTTAATGAAGAAAAAAGGGGTTTGTGACAGTTTTACCATGGACAAGGGAACGAGGGTGGCTCGGTTGGTAAGGCATTATTCCCACCGGGTTGGTTGGTTGGTTGTAAGCTTGCCGAATTGCTTTATGAAGCAATGGCCAAATAAAGCGTAATTAAAAAAAAACATGGACGAGATGTTATTTTCTAGTTTATTTTAATCAAGGCTCTTTTAAGATTTTCGGAAGTAGGTCATTATTCGCCGAGAAAACTGGGCAAATCATCCTGGCAATAGCAGTAAAAAAAACTATGAACAAAAATTATTTTAGTAACTTTCGTAACATGTCTAGGTTTGGGCGAGTGCGTCTGGTAAAATGCCCAAAGTTATATTTAATTTAAATCTTTTTTAGGGTGACTTTAGAGTGGGGAGCGTAGGCAGAGGTATAAGACAAAGTAGTTGCTTAGAATTGTAGGTATGAATAACGATAATAGGTTATTCAAAAACTAAAACACCATGGACTAATAGAGAGAACCTCTACCCTTCATAATTTAGATTAGTTAGTTACAGAAGTTGTATGGATACTTATGTATAGGTAAAATGTTATCAACAAAAATACATATCTTAGCCATGCAAATAGGGATACAAAATCATCATCTTATTTATGTGGCTAGTTTAACTGGCCATTTGAAGTGCAATAGACAATTTAATTATCCCATAGTGAAACGAAACCTTTCGTTAAGTACAATAAAATATGGTGAAGAATCCAATGTTGAAAATCCACCTGAAATTCTTACAAAACCTCAAGCTCATGCTTTAATTCTGAGACTCAATGATGAAGAACGATCTAATTTGATGACAGCTCTACATGAATATCAATCGAAATTAATCAAAGATGAATATGAAGGTCAATTGGCGGCATCTAGGTGGAGGAGTAAATATGGCCGACCATCCAAATTGCCAAAATTGGGAGATGTAGATCCAACAGGGACTTATTGCCCTGTTCCAGAAGATTGGTTTAAGAAGAAGTTTGCTGAGACAGTTCCATGTCCTACTACAAAAAATCTCGTAGATCTTGCTGTGGCGAATTCTATTCCATTCATTGGATTTGGATTTTTGGATAATTTCTTCATGTTAATATTCGGTGATTACATTGACTTTTACCTGGGTTCGTATTTTTGCTTGTCAACTATGGCAGCAGCTGCACTAGGAAACACATTATCAGATATTTTGGGCATAGGAACAGCATTTCATGTAGAGAGATTAGCAACTAGAATCGGGTTCTCACCTCCGAAATTATCTCCCATACAGTTGGAAATGAAAAGTTCACGTAAGGCTGCCAATTTTGGACGTGTTTTTGGAGTGACGCTTGGGTGTATTCTGGGAATGTGTCCTCTTGTGATTAGAAAACTGCGAGGCATAGATGATAATGCAAAAGAATAGCACTTTTTGTTATATAATCTTTTATTGTTGTACAATTTTTTCTTTGTTGTTTGTTGCCATATTGGACCTCTTGTATATAACTATTTAACAAATTTTAAATGTTTAATGTTGTTCCTACCATTTTTATTTGTATTTATTTTAGGTAAAGATTTTTAAGCATTTTATATGAACTCTTCTGATTAATATTTTAGAATCAATGTAAAAATTTCTATCTACATTATGAAGCTAAAAAAACACCTGTACCAATAAATTATTTCGAACTTAAATGCGTTTAATTGATTTTTATTTTTTGTTAATTAAATTTCATTTTTGCTACTTACATTCTCAAGAAGTGGCAACAGAGCAGTTCAAAGTTCTTGCAAATGATTAAAAACTTGATAACCCAAAATCCACTTGAAAAGCGGTTAAAGCAAGTTCCAAGCAGGATGGTTTCCATAAAATTATACTATGATCTGCTATCACAGCCATCGCGGGCTTTGTATGTGTTTTTCAGGCTCATGAAAATCCCCTTTGAAGCTTGTCCTGTTGCTTTAAAGAAAGGTAATATATTTTGTTTGAAATTTAAATTAATACTTTACCAAATAGGGCTTTAGGGGAACATTTAACCGAAGAATTTAAAGAAAAGTATAACAGGTTCCAAAAGGTGCCCTTTATTCACGATGGTGACCTGAAATTGTCTGAAAGGTAGGTTGCATACATTTATTGCAATTAGGTATAACCATAGGTTTAATTCCTATTAAGGAACCAAGAATGCTAAGCAATAACGTATTATAGATTTTATTGTTTTTAACATGGTCAACGATTGAGCAACGCAAGATTTTCTTAAGTTACGGTTCCGAATAACCTTCTTCATAACACAATTTAAAAAAAACTCTGCTATGACGTAATCGCGTTACCAACTCATTTTAGAACATATTTACCATTCATTATGGTGGCTAATGTAATCCATAATTTATTTTATTCCCGTGCTTCTCAAGTCGTATATCTTTATATTTTACGCCTTTATGTTAATTAATTTTCCAGTGTGGCAATCATTCGATACATAAAAAGGAAGTTTTCCGATAAAATCCCGGACCACTGGTATCCGCAAGACAATTTTGAACAGGCGAAAGTGGATGAATATTTAGAGTGGCAACATTTGAATACGAGAGCATTTTGCGCTGTTTATTTCAGAGATAAGGTGAACATTTTTTATATTATATGGATATATTATTTTGTCTGTTGATATTTGTTTAGTTTATGGTACCGATGTTAACGGGACAGACACCGAATCCTCAAATAATTAAAAAAAGGGAAGAAAACCTGGTAGCATTTTTGGATCAGTTTGAAGATCTGTGGCTAAATCAAGGACACGAGTATGTTGTCAACAATAAAATTTCGATTGCTGATTTGGTAGCCGCGTGCGAGTTGGAACAGCCGAGTAGGTTTTTTTGATTCATGGATTAATTTAATCAGGGTTATTTGTGGTTTAAATTAATTTGCCGTACTTTAACGTGTAGGTGCTGTCGGGTTTGATGTAACAGTTGGCCGACCGAAATTGAAAGCGTGGATCGATAAAATACGCTTGGAATGCAATCCTCACTATCAAGACGCCCACGAGATTGTGTACAAACTTGCCAAAAGAAACGAGCCAATTCCAAAACTTTGAACTGTGCACCCTTTCAAGTAATAAAAGTCCGATTTTATATTAATATATAATTGATGAAAACGTCAATTGCAATTTATTTAACTAATCATATGCTCTCTGAATCCATAAGTGACTTGCAAGGGTATATAGTATATTATGCAACAAGAGGGCATTTGAGTCAGGAGTTTATTTTATTAGGGTCTTTTTGCACCTCTTAATTTGGCGTTGTTTTATTTTACCCCTTATTTGAAGCGTACACACTTCGAGAATAACCTTTTCCCTTGTTAACCAATGAAGTTCAATGCTATCTAAAGTTCCCATTACTGAAGTTCAAAGCGTAAGCTGTCAGCTGTAAAGCGATAAGTTTCAAAAATTCTTTGTACTTGAGATGTAACATTTTAAATATTTTTATTTCAATGGTTTCTTGCGCAAAATAATATTTACTTTAAGGTTGTGATTGTATTTCGCTCATTTGTAACTTAAAATTGAGATAAACGCAATTTTTTTTCTTTTAAGTAACGAAAGTAAATATAACATTTTAATGTAATGTCCACAAAATGTCATATAACTGCTATAGTATATTATGCAATAAGTGCGGTAAACGGCATTTGACTCACGAGTTTATTTGACACAAGCGGAGCGCAGAGCTTGCGACATTTAACAACCACCATGGCCGCTGGCAAATCGTCTATAAGGTCACTATATATTATCTAATTCAGAGATGAAATATCAAAATATTGGAACGCTTACTGCTTTATACCATAGATAATGCAGTCCGTTTGCCTTTGGTTAATTTCGCGAAATGGCCATAGTGGTGCTATGTGGCACATCTGTCTAATCTATTTTTTTTAATTGCAAATCATCCATGCTTGTTACGTGCTTGGCAAGGAAACTCACATCTCGACAACGTTAGGTCCTAGGGGATCCCCGTCGAAAAAAAATTTTTTTTTTCTGTCCGTTCTCCGTTCTCTGTCCACACTTGATAAAAACGTAAATAATTGCCAAACAGCCAGTGCGCTGAGATTTGACTCCTTTTAAGTGGCCTGCGAGATAATATAAGAAATGACCGCGATCGGACATTGGCGCCCATCGCCGATTTGCGTCTGTTTTTCGTACATCGCTATGAAACAAGATAAATAAAATTTGGCATAAATATACAGCTTAGCTCCCTTACGAGATCTATTGAAATTGGGTGGGCTGGGGGTCGGGAAGTATTTTAAAAAATTTAAAAACCACTTTAGCAGGGTATGGATAAAAAAATCATTGCTCAAAAACGGTATCCACGATCAAAAAAGTATTTGAAACAAAATACGCGCGAGATTCGGATCAAAAATCTTTATTCTTGATGATTTTTTAAAAATCTACAAGGCGCGTCGGTAATTTGCCAAAAAACTGAAAATTGAGTTCTTATAACGATAATTGACCATAATTATACGGCTATGATTCAGTTGTCAGTTTCTTTCATATGACAGTATAGCCCATATAGACAGCTAAAAATCTTCTATTTAACGTTTCCACATTTTGTATAGTGTGTTCGGAATATTTCTTGTTATAACGTAAAATATAGTAGGTGTCTTAAATGCGCGACTATCGACTTGAGATTTGGCAGGGATGTAGAAGTCTAGCCACATTTAAACTTTAGAAGTTGGGCGCAATCAAAAGTATTTTTAAACAATTAAAAACAAAAATTTTGGGTTATTTTTGCTTCTAGAGAAAAATATTTTTCTCGAAACGTATTTAGCCGATCTGCAAAATTCTTGAAGCAGGATACTCGGGAGATTCGGTGGGACTATACCTTTTATCTCAAGCGTTTTTTCGATTCTACAGGGTTATTCACAATGAGTGTCCTATTAGACGTTTCTGGAGAATGACTTACGGTAAAAAATGAAATTCTGGTTACTTATGTAAACAAATGGGAGCTGCCTACGTAAAATATTTTTAGCCATGCGGTGTTACCAACTTTCGTTATATTATTATGTATATTATTACATTTTTAGATTCTGCGAAACACTTTGGATTTTTTTGTATGTAACATGTACCATACCTATCTTGAACCTTTTCGGAGATTCAAATATTTTTTAAGAAATTTGGCAACAAACAACCCGATATAATTTTTTTCGCAACCCGTACAGCTAAACACCTGAATTTTTGGTTGCAGTTCCCTATTAAATTGCGTTATCATAATAAAGTATGAGAATTAACTTATCGCGTTCGGGGCGTTCATTAGATAAGGCCCAATTGGCAAGAAATAAAAATCCATGTTACTTGGAAATTTTAAATGGGACAACCCATATTTTATAATGGCAAGTAAATGAGCAATTAATTTGCCATCTAAATGTACTCTACTATGGTAATTCTATTTTTACTGGTTTTCGAGTTATAAACAAAAAAAGGCAATTAAATCGATATTAAAGTAATCACATTTTATCGCATTTTCATAGTTTAAAGTTGCATTTATTTGAGAAAGCAAGATGGCACGTAATTATGCAACGCAGATGTAAATTGTAATTTTTACATTTATGGTGAGTGTCAAATAATTGTTTCAAGAAAGGGCAGAAGATTTAATGATCAATATCCGCATTTGCCACCAATGTATGAGAAAAATTTTATAGTATATTATGAAACAAGGTTGGTAAACGGCATTTGGCACGAGCGGAACGGGTGCTTAATAAACGAGTAATTCGATAATCTGTTATTATTTTCATTTGTTAGATTGTGATTTTTTTTGTGACGGTCGTAGAAAAAGTATAGTATGTAACACGTCTGAGAAACTCTTTATCTCATCCGATGCATAGGTCTATGGAGTTGGCCACCGCGTTCGCCAGATATTAAACCGGTTCATGCCTACCTTTCGGGCGCTATTAAAGAAAGAGTGTATAAAACTCCAGTTGGAATAATAGAAGATTTATAGCGAATGGAGGTAATTTCATAATATTTAGTTGTATGTAATTAAAAGCAATTTAAAACCGTTTATTAGTTTTTCTACTCCCGTCTGCAAAATACCTAAATTACACACTGATCTAGCGTGCGGAAAGCGTTACTTTACCACGTCAGTTTCGTTTCCCTAGGATTCGAGCCATTTCGGACATTTCCGGGATTTTACCCCCCAGATTTGGCAGCAATCGGATGTTTTAGGAGATATTTCCCACACCTTGAATTGTGACGTTTGTCAATTATAACGGTCATGTCAGTGAATGTATTCGTGTTCTTTTGCGAAAATGTACCTAAAAACTAACGGTCGTAGAAAAAGTATAGTATGCAACACGTTCGGTAAACTTTTTAGGTGACTCGTTTATTAAACATTCGCTCCGCTCGTGTCAAATAAACTCGTGATTCAAATGGCCTTTACCGCACTTCTTGCTTAATATACTATTTTAACATTAGTTTTCTGTTCAACAGTTTCTATGAATATAAAATTGTTGTTGGCATATGTATTTCCTTCCAGATTCACTGTCACAATTACCCATTTGAACACGCTAATAACGAAATATCAAGCTTATTTATGTGAAAGACAAATTTCTTTACAAAAAACGTCACCATGGCAGGCCAGAGCCAGATGAAATGTGATTACTTTAAGTCGCTTTAATGGCAATATTTTGGTGTTTTGCTTATAACTCAAAAACTGATGAAAATAGAATTACAATAGTTTGGTACCTTTAGATGGCAAATTAATTGCTTATTTACGTGCCAATATAAAATATGGATTTTTATATCTTGCCAATTGAGTCTTATCTTATGAAGACCCTGAACTGGATAATTTAATTCTCATCCCATATTATGGTAAAGCAATTTAATAGGGCACTGCAACCAAAAATTGAAGTATTTAGCTGTACGGGTTGCGAAAATAATTATTGTTTTATATCGGGTTGTTTGTTGTCAAATTTATCAAAAAGTATTTTTTACATCCGAAAATGTTCAACCTATGGTACATGTTGCATAAAAAAATCCACAACGTTTCGCAGAATCTCAAAATGTAATAATATAGAGGGTGTTTCATTTAAAAAACGAAAGGTGATATAAGTTACGAGTATATCTGGCAACACCGCATGGCGAAAAATATTTGACATATATAGCTCATATTCACTTACATAAATAACCAAAATTTTAGGTTTTTACCGTAAGTCATTGCCCATAAACGTATAATAGGACACTCACCGTGAATAACCCTGTGTACAAGGTTTTTCAATCATGAACAAAAATTGTTCTTTGCCATAATAAATTACTAGCCGTAAATCAAAATTCGTAAAAAATATGGCTAATTGGTTTAGATATTATTGTAGACCGCATCACTAGCTACAATTTTTGTATTTACGGTTTTCGCCTATCACATACGCTGCTCGAAATATTTCAAAAAATCAAAACGAAAATCACCGATTTCTCGTCCTCAATCTAGTAGAATTGTGCCGAGTCGCTGTTTCGGTGAATCGAGTCGACTCGAGTCAGTTTATATGGTTATATGGTTTATATGGTATATATAATTAAATTCTAGTCTAGAGAGTTAAGCATTGACACAATAATAATGGGCAAATCAATATTTTTAATGAAAGATAATTATCAACATTAAATAAAAACAAAGAGCATAGGAATTCTAAGGAGATAATTAGAAAAACATAGAAAATAATTAAAAAAAAATTCTCAACTTAGAGTCTAGATAATATATTTGAGACAGCTTTAAACAATTCTTTTAATACTAGATATAGTAAGCATTATAATCAATTTTTTTTTAACTTTACATTAAGTAGGCACACAAACTCAATAGCTTAGAATACAAAGTTTGGTAAGATATCCACCTAAACTACCTAAACCGAACCCAGAATACAGTACAAAACTAAATGAATATGAAAAAAAAAATAGATATAAGAAAATGAAAGTTATTTGAAATAACTGTTCAGAGACAGTATTTGGTCAACCTTCTTGGACTCCAGTCTATTGCGGCGTTGGTTGCGTAAAAGTCCAGCCTTAGAGAAAACTCGTTCCGAAGGAACGGAAGTGGCTGGAATGCATAAATACTTTAAAGCAATTTGACAAAGGCCGCTGTTGGTGATTTTGCCAAGTTCCCAAAATGTAAGTGGATTGGCTTTTCTATCCAAATATGGTAGCTCTATGTACTTTGATAATTGATGATGTTGTGGGGTTTTCCATGCTCGAAAATTCCAATACCTTTTTATCTAGATGCTCCCATAAATTCTCGCCAGTCCCCTCTGAAGTTATCTGCTGGGAATCTGAAGATGAAGTTGTACGTGTGTCGAGACGTGAGGTAGATGACAGTAGAGATATATTAGGTATCAGGAATTGAGCTTGATATTCCTGTGTTTCCAACATCATCAACTCGTCAATAACAAATTTTTGAGCATAATCTGCATTTGTCTCGACGCCAAAATGAGCTTTTTTAAATCTTGGATCCATGAATGTTGCTTCAGCAACAGTTTTATTCATCTCATGACCACCAAATCTTCTATCGAAATCATCCAGTAATTTTATGTTTAACCTGCTGGCGACTTTGGAATTGGAACCGCAACTTCTTAGTGCCGTTTGTACTCCTCGAATAAGGGTTATGATGCAGGATAACGTTCGATATTGCTCGCCAGATATAATACCCGTCATTTTTTTTTTAAACACAAAGACACTCGTGCACCTCGGTCCATTCGTCAGCGTTAAGGTTATCCGGACAGCCAGGTAATGAAGAAATTGCAGCAGAAAGAGGCATCTTGACCTTATCGAGACGTCGACATCTTGTCAGGACATCTTGCTTTAGTTTTAAGGGTTCCAGCTGCATTTGTTCCTGAACCTGTTTTAACTTATATGCAGCATTATTGCTTCTTTTGAAATAGGCTACTATTGCTCGGCACTTTTCAATCAATTGAATTAATAGTTCATTGTTTTTGATGGTATCCTGAACCACCAAGTTCAATGTATGAGCTACACAACAGTGGTGACGTTTTTGCAGAATATCAATAACAGCTTTTTTATATTAGCCGCATTGTCAGTTGTGACGCAAATCATTTTGTCCAAAATATTCCATTCGGTTTCCAATATATCTTTCATTTCTCGAGCTAAATTTTCTGACGTATGGGCATCCTTAACTTCCCTGGTGGATAACGTTTTAGACTTGCCATCATAAATGAAATGAATTGTCAGGGTCATGTAGCTTTTGCTGCTATCGGAGGTCCACAAGTCTGTTGTCAATGCAATGTAATCTGTTACTTTAAGCATCTCTTGCGTAGCCTTTCTAGCCAAAGAATATTGCTCCAGAATTAATTTTTCCGAAAGAATCTTTCGCGAAGGTAGCTCATAATTAGGGTTAAGCGCACGAGTATACTCTTGAAAACCTGTATTCTCAACGACTTGAAGCGACTGAAAATCAACACACACCATTCTCAATAATGCTTTATCCACATTTTTAGAGTTCATCTTCAGAGCTTGCTTAGACGGAAACGTCATCTGAAGTTGCCGTTTACGTGGTGGTGGTGCTGGTGGTATCTCGCCGTCTGTCAACTGGGATAGATTGGAATTCTTGTCTTCGTGGACTGGTGTTCCATCGCCAGAACCAGAAGCTTAATAAATCGAAATCACTTTGAGCAGAGGAGATAATTGAAGAATTGTTAATCTCAGTCGAGTTAATAATAGCATGAGATTTTTTTAGGTGCTTTAACAAATTAGTTGTGTTTTTGAAATCTTTAAACACAAAGTCACAGTTTTTGCACTTTATATTATTGCCTTCCACTTTCTCAAAACACTTCCACACACCTGAGGTTTTTTTCGGCGTAAATTAAATTACAGTCAAATCACAGTTAGTATTAATAAACACTTAAATAAAGTCACTCGTCCGGCGAACTCGAATCAAAATAAAGTGGTATTCGAGTAGGCGAGTACAAAGCAGGAATCGAGTCTAACTCGAGTCAAAACCGTACTCGGCCCATCGCTACAATCTAGACTCGATGACGACTTTTTTCAGAAAACAAGTATTTTCTAGAAAACCTTCTACTCTATTGGAAAAATTCATATAACAGGAAAAGTGGGGGATCCAGGGCTATAACCTCAATTTCGAACATTGTTTGAATTATATACAGGGTGTGTCGTTTATGTGCAAAAAATCAAAAACACCCGGAAAATTTCCGTTTTTGTGGGTAAGTTAGTTTTCGACAATCATACTGGGTACAGGAGATATTTGAAAAAATATCATTTTACATCTCAATCACCAGTACAAATCTTTCAATTTAACAAAGTTTGCCGTAGCTTTGAAGTTCGGCGAGACGTGGAAGACACTTTAGAAACACCATAGAAAAACTCTAGCACAAGAAGCCGCGAAGATGTCCGTGAGATTTAGTGGTGGTTTCTCAAATCTCAAGTAAATCATAAACAAATAATGTGACATCAATTCCAAATAACATAATTATATGAGAAACAGTTGTGTATCATAAAAGCAAAAAACTCGTATGTGCTTCGAAAGTTTATTTTTATAAAAGTAAAAAAAAACAGTCTTAAAATTTACGTTACTAATTGTAATAATACTAAACAACTAATAATGATTTAAAAATAATACTATAAGTATTAAGCTACGTGAATGCAGCATCAAGCCTTTAAAGCAAATAATACTAAGTGGACCAAATATTATTGTAACGTAATAATGGTGATATGTATGTATCAATAAAACGTCCCATCAGCTTTTGGGAAGAATTTTGTTTATTCCGCGTTGTCCGTTGGGGCAGTCGTGTAGCACTGCTCCTTGCGTATATACTTGGCCAGCAAGTCATTGGTCCTATTCGTGTTATACATAACCAGAAACGTTTGTAAAGAAACCGGGTTTTTATTCCTAACTATCTGATAGCCCGTAACGAACCTATAAAAACTGCTAAAATCTTTCGGTACGTACTCTTCCACCAGCTTCAACTCCTTTACGAAATCCTCCGCTTCCAGGAAATCCTCTCTCATGCTGAATTCTACGTTGTGCGGCAGTTTGACGATTTCGGTCTCCGATTTTCGGGTAGCGGACACCCGTTTCCTTTGCAAATCCCTAAACCTCACCGGGTCGAGTCCCAAACTTTTTATAAACTCGTCGTCCTGTTCCGTCAAGTTTTTCACGAAAAGTTCCGCCTGATTATCTTCAAAATATCTCAGCAGCGTGTTGCTTTCCCGAAAATAACACAGTTTACCCTTCGGGAGATCGTTGAGGAGCAACGGCGTGCTGGCCCGTTCCATTTTCACGGTGCCGGTATCCGTTTGCGTTTTTTTATTCGCTTCGCTATCGGGACAATCATGTTGTTTTCTTTTACGGTTAGGCGGCTGTGCATCTTCGACTCGGGTTTGTACGTTTGGCAACGTCGCAGGGTTTTTCTCAGGAAAAATGAAAGCGCTTTCGCCGTCGTCCGTCGGTGAGATCGGCTCGACTTCCGGCGAGTAAATGTCTTTCGATTTCGTCGGGAGTTGTGCGCTCGAGTTTATTTTATCCGTTAACTCTTCCGTTTGTGTTTTTTTCTTCTCCTCGTTTTTTTCACACGTCGTTTCGTGGCTTTTTGACAGGTCCATGATGGCCGCGGTTTTGTCGATGTCAGTCTCATCCAATTGCGACTCGCCGTTCTCGTCGACGTTGCTTTTTCGTTCGTCGCATTGACTTTCTGCAAATTATTACAAATCAGATATTGGAAAATTAATAAATTTAGACATTTGATAGTTAACTCATTAAACTAAGTTTGTGTAATCATCATTAGTAGTATTTCGTTTTGATGGATTGTTAGTGACTTTTTGTCTGATTTGTCTCTACCAAATAGTTGCACTTCTGAAGCCAAAATCAAAAATGTGGAGTCATTTGCAATCTCTTTTGAGTTATTTCCCAACCTAAAGGCTAGATTTTTTTGCAAAATATTCTGCCCTGACCCCGAAAGAAAGATGAATGAGAGACACAAAGTACAATTAGAGCACGAATGTGGTATTCTTAGAAACATATCAATTACAGCGAGCTCAAGAAGTTTTTTTTTGGTGGTTATTGTTTACCTAAGAATGGACCTTATTTTTTGTTTCTTTTAACCATCAAGTCGATTTAGTTTTCACTAACTTTAAGTAAATCTACGAAGCATCTGGCCGTCGTGCACCACCCTCTCCTATAATTATAATTATTTATTAAAATGTATTTTATAAAAAAAGTTAGTGATTAGTAACTATTTTTCTATCTATTAAAAAATTTGTTATTTGTACTTATAAGATTTTAGAAAGCTAGAGCTTTAGGCTAAATCCATAGAATTATCCAAAAAATAACACTTTTAATAAATTAATTATGATTCGGTTATAATAATATGGAATAGCTGTTTTTTATAATTTTTAAGCGGACCATTTTACGCCTGGTATTACTCAAAGGGCTAAAAATGTACAAATAACTAGGATTTATAATTATAATAACGAAAAAAAAATTCTGGTTAATTTTTGCCCCAGGGGGACCGTCTTGCCACACACTCCCGTAATACTGTTATTGGCCGCTTTGATCAAAGTATTAAGTTAACTTAGTCGATTTCTTTCAGCTTTTTATCACTAAACGAAGATAACAAGAGTTTGTTTACTCTGTGTGAACAGCTATTAGCGTTGAATCGAATCGATTTATTGAAGAATATAGCTACTAAAAATATAGAGACATTGTACAGTGCTTTATTTTTAAAGCAAATTAAGAAGCGATATTGAATATGCACCTGTATGAGATATTTCAAATCTCGCTTTCAATCATTCATCAATCAACGTGGCTGCTGACAGTTCGCCAATTCGTGGGACGTTGGCGCATTAATTTTACGGTAAAAAGTAAAAAAATTGTATGGATTTTAGAGCCTTTAATGCATCGGATTTTCATTTCGATGCTATGGACGTCGTATTAGATGCGGAGCGGAGAGAACGAGTGACTTAAAACGCTTAGTACGAATACATTCACAAACACTACCCTCAGAATTGACAAACCTCAAAAATCAATCCGTGCGGTAATCTCAGTCAGTTTCATTTTCCACGGATCCGAGCCACTTGGGACATTTCCGGGATTTTACCGCACGGGTTTGGGAGCAATCGGATGTTTTCGGAGATATTTCCCACGCCCTGAATTTTGACGTTTTCCAATTCTGACAGTCATGCCAGTGAATGTGTTCGTGTTGTTTTGCGAAAATGTACCCATAAACTAACGGTCGAAGAAAAAGTATAGTATGTAAAACTTTTTAAGTCACTCGTTTTTTAAACACTCGCTCCGCTTGTGTCAAATAAAGTCGTGAGTCGAATGCCATTAACCACACTTATTGCATAACCAGAATAACCACAAAGTAAAACTAAACTTTTGATATATTAATGAAATTACAGAGCAAAATATCTCAAAAACCAAAACGCTTTGTCCATTTGACTATTTTTTCTTATTTTATGCATCACTAAACCTATTTTAAAAACAGATTATAAGCAAGGCATGATGGTAATTACATACCATTATCGCTAATTACAACATTTTCTAGAATACAGAATATATAGAATATTTTATCAAAAACGTTATTAATACATCCTAAGCAATATATGTTTGCGAAGAACAAAAATCGATAAAAGTTGCACTTGCTTCAGAAGTATCAAATGCTTTTGCTAAAAGTGACATGGCGAATCATAGAAAAGCATATTGATGCGTTCTGGTATTTGGGATTCAATGAAAAGACTGGCCTCAAACTACAAAAAATAAATATGGTTTAGGGTATTAATTTTCTCGTTTTTTCAAGAGTTTTACACGCATGTTTTGACGTCTATTGTTTGGCAGAATTTGAAGTTTTGAAGCAACCATACTTTTTATATTTTGTTACTTTCCTTATATACAGGGCGTTATTTTACTGAAATCTATTTAGGTTAGTTTAAATATGTCTAACGAATACAATTAAACGATCTTAAGTCAAGTCTTTAAAATTCTACGAGTTAATTTTAATAATAGCAGATAATTAATATGCATAATTAAGTTTAAAACAACTATTAAGATGTCGCTGGAGAAGTACAGTTTGGTACATGTCGCTCCACCGTCCACACAGCAATGCAGTAAACTTAGGAGCATGTCCGGGTAAAACCAGTTGATGAATACTTGTTTAGATGGCTGTTGTTCCACTTTGGTTGTAAATAAAAGTGTGTGGGAGAACTTGTTTGTGGTGACACAACATTTAAAGTGCTTACGAGTTTGCGAATCAGTCAGAGGTTATTTGGGATTATCAACGAAATTGTAAAGCAATCTAGAAAAATTGGGGGTTTAATTAAATTGAAGATGTTATTCAACGACTGCCGAATGACTAAATAATGAAACTGTGACTCATTGAAGAACCTTATTAACGTATCTGAAAATAATAAATTCTTTAGTTAAAAGCAAAAAATTTTACGGCAATGAAAGAAAAAGTAGTTCCACTGGTGAGTCTTTGGATTGATTAAATTGATTAAATCCAGTTAAACTAATGGCCTAGACTTGAATGATATAAAAATCATTAAAAATCTATATTGGAATCAAATATTTTCTGCAAGAAGTTACTCGGAAACAACGAGGCCGGTAGCCATTAACAGAGGTTGAGTGACAAGGCTGCATTTAGACCCCGTTTTTGTTCAACAAATTCTGGATTTTAAATAATAAAATAAATAATAAATAAATGAAATTTTAAACAATGTATTATACACCAACGATAAGGTTGTATTAGCTGATAGCAAAGCCTCGCTTCAAAAACAACTGGATATAACATCATTACTTGTGCTTAGTTCATTTTGTGTTCTTACATAAAATGGAATCCTGGATAGAAATGTGGATATTTCGCCATTTGCTGAGAATATCGTGGATAGAGCATGTGTCGAACGAATCCGTATTATTCCGTAAGAATCAAGAAAGAGAACTGCTAAGCCTAATCAATAAAAGTAAATCGGCATATATTGGGCATATCCTCAGAAAAAAAATATACGCACTACAACCAATCGTCAAAGGTAAACTAAAATTACGAAAATAGCCGAGAATGGACTAGAATGAACATTGGTCAGAACTACAGAATTTACTGCAGTTTTCGCAATCGACGAGAAGAGGCACATGAAGAACAAGCAAGTTGCTTACTAGCAATTAATCGGGAATCCTTTGTTGTGATGGCAGACAAAATAATACTCCTTTTTTTCATATTTGGATATATGAAATTATTGGTGCCGAAATCCTGTTGACACTAAAACTAGAAGAACATTTTTTGGGGTTTGAATTAATGAGATTCATAATGTTGGTGCGGCGATTTAGCAAGCTGGCACTACGGTAAACTTTAATGCTTGGTTTCTTGCTAGATTTCAATCTGCCGAAAAATCCAGTGGCCTAGATTATAGAAATGAAAATATAGACAATCAATTTAGTTATAAATGGGAATGCAGTTGAAGTTCAACAGTGTAAATCAATGTCTTGGTACTATAACACATGAGAACAACCAACAAAGAGGAAATCTCTCATAGAACAAGCAAGAACGACAAATTTGTTAGAATGAAGTGAACAACTCGAGATTTATCCTTAAAACTAAGATTATCATTAACTAAATCTCCTCATGAGCCTCCTCAAAATCAGCATTGACAATATCATGCCAATGCCCCAGTTGGTTAATATTGCAAATTTTGGTTAGGTATTAATTTATTAGTAAATATAGTTAAGAAAAACATATACAAAAAGTAAGTTGATAAATGTCAATATATTCTGTTCACAGGGAAAAAGGATTCTATAGATATTAACTTAATGCTTGATATGAGTTAAAAGAGTTAAGAAAGTAAAAGACTTGGGAGTTGTTCTCGACTCTAAATTAAAATTTGAAGCTCATAATGAAACTATTCTCAAAATATGTTTGAGAAATTTGGGCTTCATTTTAAGAACTACCAAAGCGTTCAATAACAGTAATAATTCTGTATAATAGCATGATCAGGCAGGCATGCCAAAAAAACTTGAGATCGCTTGTAACTCGTAGAAACTGTTATAATGTTGCTTGAGCTTCAACGCTAATCCATATCTATGGATTACCGGAGAAAAGAGTAGTGGAAGGAGACCATAAACGGAAATGCAGTTGAAGTTCGACAAATATTTAATATTTTGGTGCAGATGGGAGCAACCAACCAAATCAGCTCAAGATTTATCCTTAAAACTAAGATTTGGATTGGTTCCGCAAGTTTATGGTACAATTTTTCCGGAATACTAGGCCGAGTAATTTTGCCATTATAGTGAAAAATGATATATCCCACAAGAGTAATCCAATTATTAACGTAAAAGAGAATACGACTTACCATCGTCACTGTCGGTGATCTCAATGGGCTCCTCGTTTTGGATCGGACCTTGAAAGATTCCTGTTTCGTTCAGGATGATACGCCGCAGCTTGCTGCTGGGGATCGTATGTCGCAGCTTTTTCAAGAGTTCCAAAAACTCGACCTCCTGCATGTCCGTGATATCTCCCGTGTTTTCCGATTTTTCGTCATCCGGCTCGCGTTTCACCGATTCTTTGGTTATTTGCATCGATTCGTCGGCAACAATCACCTCGGGAACTACGTTCCCAACTCGGACGATTTTCCTTCTCGTAGGCAAAGTTTGAGGAGATTCGACTACCGTTTTCGTCCGACTTATGTTATCACTAGATACCGGAGCGGTTTGAACGTCATGTGTGGAGCGGGCTTCTCGAGATGATATCGTTAAATTGAGCCCCAATTTAGGAGCCGATGCCGGCAGTGGATCTCGTTGAATTTTATTCTGGGGCGTCTCTTTAACTATTCGAACATTTTGCGGCGGTTTTGACAGGTTCAGAACCGTTTCAGGCGCATCCGTACTCACTTGAATAGGAATCGCGGTTTGGGGATCGGACCGGTTTTTCTGCGCCGTTACTGTGAGATTCAGTCCGACTTCAGGCCGCGCCGTCATCTTTGCCGGCGACTTTTTACCCGTTACCTGGATGGTTTCCGGCTTCAGCTTAACGATAGTATGAAGTGTTTGCGGTGAGTGCTGCGGAACTGCCGTCTCCCTAGGAGTATGTTTGCCCTCCGGAGCCGGAGGGCAAAAGTTTGCCTGCATCGGCGGGGTGAGGAACGGTAGCGGCTGATTCTCCAGTTCCGGCAGACGTCCGATTCGAACTCTGCGTAATTTGTGCGTGTAATCGTTTCCGACCACCACTTCCTGGGTGATTTCTTCGAACACATCGTCGCGGTTCAAGGTCGACGGATCCAACGAAAGGTGCCTCGTATCTTTGTCTGGAGGCGTCATTGCCGAAGTAGAGCTGCCGTTCTGAGACTCCTGCGAACAGCGATCTTCCGGTACGACCGTGCTTGGTGGTGGTGCTGCGCCATGACCCTCCGGCCTCCAGGTTGGGTTCTGGGTGACGTGGTTTTCGTGTTGGCGCCGTATCGATTCGACCGGCGCTGCCATATTCTGCGCTCGAACGCTCTGAAAATCTGGTAGTGAACTCTGCACGTCTACGTTCGTCCTTCGTTGATGTGCCAGAAACGGACCAGCTGACGTATACGGGTACGGCGGGGGTTGGGTATTGGGGTAAACGCTATACAGTCCACCGTTCGTGAGCGCATGGACACGCCCCTCCGGCGGTTCGCGAGTCGGTTGCTGCCCGATAGGTTGATCGGATGTCTGCGCATTTCTGAGATTGATGTGGTGCGCCCGCAGCACTTTGTCGACGTGATTTCGTAGATTATTTTTCTCCACGGTCCTGTGGGGATTGACAAGTATATCGATGACCGCGTACGGCGAAACGTTGAGGTGCCGTAATTGATTTTCGATATAGATCACGGTTTTGTTCAGCACTTTTTTGATGTTCCGTTTGATCGGATTCTGGCCGGGGACGCGGTTGCAGATGTGCAATACGAACGTGTAAGCGTACGCTATCGATTCGAACGACTGGAACGACGGCTCGCCGTTCATGTAGCTGTACAGTAGCTTCACGTAGTAGTCGGCCGCAATGTCCGAAGATTCCGCGTTGTTTTTCGAACCGTTCATCAGTTTCAGGTAATGGGCTGTCATGGCGTCAGGATTAAAGACGTTCTTTTGGTACGGCGGCGGGGGCGGAATCGGCAATTCGGGACGCGTAGCGCTAGACGAAGACGTACCCCGCGTAAAAAGATAATCGCCTTGTCGATTGGATAGCGGATGGTAGTTCGGTGCTTCCGAACACGGAGGGTTTTGCGCGTTCGGCAATCGTGTTTCGGGGGCCGTTGACATATAAAACGTTCCCATATCGAGAGATTTAGGTTCGCGATTGGGCGCTTCTTGGGGTTTGGACGTCGTCACGTCAACGCTTCTTCGTCTCGCGACAGGAGTTTCTACGATTATGGGCGGTAAATTGTGTTTGCCGTTTCTGGCGGCGCCGTTGTTCATTTCGGTGAGCGACGCGTCGCTACTTTCGGGAAACGAAAACGATTTCCTCGCGTGGTTTTCCGTAGGCGTCAGAGACTTTACGATCGACTCGGTGATGGCTTCTTTTGTCAGGGGCTCGGGTTTCTTTAGGTTGGTCGGTGCGTCTTTCTGCTTCAGCAGACACGTTGTCGAATCTGCAACGCATACAACATTGCCGTTACAATATATGAATTTTTCATTTTGAAGAAAACCGAAATATTGAATTTGAAGATAATTTGTTATAGAGCAACTAAGCTTACAGAAACATCGTTTAATGACTTACGCCATGGAAGATATAGCAGGAAACATTAAGGTATTGTTTGATCAAGTCATTGAGACGGTGACACCAGAGAATTGACGAAAAGCACTTGCGAAGAAAACGTGGGATCTTCACCCCTTGATGGATAGGACCGTACACCCGTTAATTTTAACGTCAAAGGTATATGACAGTTCTTCAGATGATGAAGAATATTATTAATGTTGTAATTTAATTTCTGTATAATTCTTAATAAAAAATAAGGGTACTCAATAGTCTCAACAGTCCCATTTTGAAAGGTTTTGCGGCCGTTAAAGCTAGCGTGCAACAGTTTTCGTGACCCAATACTATTTGTTCATGAAATTTAAGATGGCACAAACACACGAAACACAAATGAATAAGTCGCTTTCATGACATATTTAGGTGAGTTTTCAATTGATGCGTCTCAGGTGATGACATTTTCGTAGAAATAAAAATGATCTTCCGCGCATGCTTCTACATTGCACCCGCACACTCCTTTTGGCTTGATGATTTAATGGGATGTCGATATATTATGAGAAAATACTGGCCTAAATATGCCACTACCCAACTTATTTACGATCTGTCAGCGGCCATGTTGGTTGTTGAATGCTCAAATTAAAATGCTCAAAATGGTACGTGCAATTGCCTGAGATGTCATCGCTATCTGGGATTTTGCTTCTTCTTCTTCGTAATTCGATTTTGCCTTAATTTGACGAAAAGGTGAAAAATGGCATGGATAGATTTCTTCTGAAACTCGCAAATTTTCATGTGTACAAACTAAATTTGTATTTTTTTAAGGAACACAATATATGCTTATCCAGATTAGTTTTCACGTTTTCCAAAATCACCCTGTATCTAAAAATCCAAGATAACTGACATTTCTGTTCATACTACCTTTAATTTCATAGAAGAATAACGTTGGACCACAAAAACCGCTTTATTAACTTGGGGGTACGCTGTAAACCCGTCAAAAATGGGACACACTGGATGGAATTAGTCAGTATTGTACACGGTGTTCCAATATAAATTGCCAAATGGATAACTTTTTAATATTAATCTTACGGTGAAGTTTAAATTACAGTCGGAGCATTTTTCCTATACCTTCCAATTCTGCAATCAAAAATTAAAATAAAAAATTTATCTGTCAAAATTTGACAGGTCGACTTTTTTAAAAAAAATCTATACCCTGTATTTGAATGCGTCAATCTATTTCATTTTTTCTCCTGACTTCAGCTATATATAAGTTGTTAGGATTATTTCTGACAGATTTTCAAATATCGCGAATTTTATTTAATGTTCGATGTAAGGAAGTCAATAACTATTGTTTCAAAAATCAAATTGGCCATGATAGCTGTTGTCATGGAAACTCATATAGTTAACTGTCATTATATATAAAAATAGTATTTACACACATGTATTAATTTAAATTGCAGAAACTAAATTTCAAAATGTTTCTATTCAGAGAATCTATCGAACTCTATCCGAAATTGCATGCGAGATATGAATTTAAGTAAAGGTAATTTACTTTTTAATTTTACTCCTTTCACCTTTCCACGGGGATTCCTAAAATACAGAGGATGAAGAAGAAGGCCGGCTATTTGAAATGCAAAACAGAATACGAGAAGAAGTTGAAGCCCTAAATGGGTAACCAGAACTTCTTAGAAGTGGTATCGAAAACCTACACAAACATTTTCGTGTATGCATATAGATGAATGGTGGTTATTTAGAAGATCTTTTGTGAAATAAATTTAGAATAGGTACTAAGGACGATGTTTCAGTAACATGTTTTTGGATAATACTTAGGTATGCAATATTGTTATTTTTTTATTATAAGTAATAGTTGTTAATAAATGAAAATATGTTTAACCGAAAATGTAAAAATGGCTAATTTGATTTTTGAAACAATCATTATTAACTTTCTTGCATCCAATATTAGATAATATCGGCGATATTTCAAAATTTGTCAAAAATAACCCTAACAAATCATATATATTTGAAATCAGGAAGAAAAATGCTATCGATTGACACATTCAAATACAGGGTATTCGATGTTTTAAAAAATATTGACCTGCCAAAATTTGACAGATAACATTTTGATTTCATATTTTTGATTGCAGAATCGGAAGGTTTAGGAAAAATAATCCAACTTCCGTAATTTAACAAAGTTGTCCATTTAGTAATATATAATGGGACACCCCGTACATTTAAAATTGCACAAAATTATTTTGTAATGCTCAATAACAGCACAAAGTTAAAATATCGGATTTGTGAAACATTTCTTGTTCAAAACTCTTTTTGCCTATTTTTTTAAAAACATTTTCATGTTTTATCGACCGGTAGGGGCGACAGAAAATTGAAAATGGAATTCGAAACTAAATTCGTATTTCTGGTACGTGCTCCATATGCACGTACGTGAATAAAACCGCAATCGGTTCGAGTTTCCTCGTATTTTTTTATCGCTAGGTGGGTAGACTAAACAAAACAAAAGGGAAATTAAATCGCGGCCCGGGATTGTTTGTGTTTATTGGAAAGTCGCCGTACATTTTTTAAGACGTACGTAAATGAGCTACAAATACTGAAACCATTTTTCGAGATTATTTTTTACTATAGTTTTAAAATATTTGATTTTTGCAGGGGAGTAATATTATTTAATAATAATATTAGAATTAATAAAGGGCTGTGTAATCCATTTTTTCAAGGATCCTAAGTTTAAAATAATCTGCCACAGAATATTAGGGTAATTCAAAAACGTCAAAAATTTGTAAAAAGTCTCAAATTGCATTAGAATATTTATTGAGAATATATCATGGCCATTTAATATAAGGTTTAAAAATGGTATCTAAAATTATTGTGTTGATGCAGAAACTGTTATCTCTTTTTTTGTGCGGCTTTATTGTATATCAATTTATTGCATATTATTTTGTTTTTTACGGGTTTTCTTGTTCTTTTGTGTTAATCATAGAAACTATCTTCCATACGAGTATTTCAACCACTGTTAAGAATATCCAAATTTCGTAAATTATTGTTATCTATTGTGTTATTAAAATATAATTTCCAAAAAACATCAACCCTCTTTTACAAACAAACATAACTAACTTGCCGGTATTGCAGCCCTTGCCTATTTCAACAACTATTTTTTTCTTGAGGGGAAGACACTTTAGAAACCTTTACAAAGTGAAATTGCGGAAATATATTGTTGAGATATATTTTTTTTAACTGAAAGGTTATTTCCCATGCAAGGAAACTAAATAATGGGGAAACCCTTAGCTTTGTGTCTTTGGGCGGGAATCCATGTATTACCAATTGCAAATATTGACAATATTTCGAAAACCATAAATATTCGCAGCCTTATACGGGGTGTTGTGAAACTAATTCGCGAAATTTGACGGCATGTTCTTCCGATATACAGATATACTACCACTCTAGATATTTTAATGACATTTTGTGCACTATGTTCAAGCAACAAAAGACATTTTTTGTTACGATATATATTTTTTATAAAAACACCAGTGACGTCCAGATTTGCCTGGAATATTTTTTTAATGTTTAAGATTTTTATCGAAACTTTACATCTTTCGGAAAGATTTTTCCAAATTGATGGGACTGCCGTACCAATCTGATAGAGACGTCATTAGTAAATTTTTAAAAAATATTTCACATCTAAAATATGCCTTTTGCTATTGGAAAGCAATGTAAAAAATGTCAATGAAATATCTAGATTGCTTTGAGAATTATGATAAAAATAGTTTTTCGTTTAGAATTTCAACACTTTGTGTCCGGACATATAAGAGACTAGAGGTTATTTTCGACGTAATGCCATAAAAATTTGATAGACTAATTTCGTATACAATTACTTAAAACTCTATAATTCGCCAATTTCGAATTTGCTTTTAAATATATCATCATATTTTGGGGAAGGGATAACTTGATAAGAAATATTGTTGCTGTAGAAAAAAAAGGTAATTAGAGTAATTATAAAAATGAAATATTTAGGGAGTTGCATATATGCATCAAATATTTTAATGTTCTCTCAATAACTTTGAGCGATTTTTTATTATTTCGTGTTTTGTTATATCACTATTTGAAATACAATGAAAGTAATAACTAAATTTATTCAACAGACAGTTTTCAACGAAGTAACCTATGTGAAATTGTAAACAATTTGATAAAGGAAAAATTTACATGGGTTATTCAGTCTGCAAACGTAATTTTTGACAGAAAATGTTAAATACTCCAAAAACTTTGAAACAAAGACATTATAAAGTCGGAATTAGAAACATTTAAAAAAGGTGGAAGTCGGATGGTTATTCATTTTTTTATACCTTTGTGTGAAATGTCCATCACTGTGAGTCAAAAACATTGGTTTGTCAACTTGTCGAAAAATTATTTCGAAAAATTTTAGACGATGCTCAGAAAAAGTTGCAACTGGTATAATGAACAATCGTAGCTGATAATTTTAAAAATATTGGTACCGTTAAAAATAATATTTTTGTCCAACACTGTATAGTGAAAATGTCACTGTCAATTAGCAACCTGTAATTGGTGATAATCGGCGATCATACGCATTTAGCAACCAGCATGACGTCATTACAAATGGGTATAATTCCGACTATATATGAAGAGGGATACGCTCTATAATTATACTCGCATATAATTACACATGCGTTTTGAGACACTGCAGCTAAGAATTTTTCTCATTTTGACGAAATAAGATTCGAACGCGCATAAATCAAAATCTGGAAAAAGGTCTTACCCGAATGTTGAAACGAATTCACAATAACCGCGAGCTACTCTGCTCTTAATTCGCTCTGTTGACGCCATACAGTCGTTTAGGAACCGGCAACCAGAGTTGCCAATAATTCGAACTGTCGGCGGTTTAGAATTGCCCAATGGATTTGTAAACAAACATACGTAAGGTATGGTATGCAAATGACTCACCACCATCAATCGTCTGGCAAACCAATAGAGCCGCATAGTGAGAAGCGATAACAATAATGAAATCACAACCGTGTGAATATTTCTTGCCGATTAAAATAAGCAGGCATTGCCGTTCTGCTTATCGACTACATAAGGAAACACCCCCTGGTTAGTAGTAAAGTTGATTTGTTGTATGGTATGTCTCAAAGTATATCGTCTTGGCTTTTGATGACAATTATCAATGCCTCAATTATTTTATTACTATATATTATACAAATATTCGGAGATTAATTTAGGACGAGGGATATTCTGTACTAAAATTTCACGTCAAGACCGTTAGAGAATAGAAACATCACTGATTTACTATAACTGTCAAGTCAGGACATACGTTGCCATGGCAATCTTTAATATTATATTATGTTTATTTGGGTATAACAAAATCACATTAGTAGGGGACGGTGGGACAAGGCGGCCACCCTCAAAAATTAACCATATTTGTTTTCGTTTTCTTCTTCTAATAATTATAAGTTCTGGTTATTTGTACATTTTTAGCACTTTGCGTAAACCAGGGGTAAAATGGACCGCTTAAAAATTCTAAAAAAAAAGCTATTCCATATTATAACCGAACCATAATTAATTTATTGAAGGTGTTAGTTTTTGGATAATTCTACGAATGGTTACTAATCAGTAACTTTTTTTTTATTAAGTACTTTTTAATAAATAACTATAATTAATATATACAACATTATAAATAGGGAAGACTGGGGCACGACTACCAGAAGCTTGGCCAAAATTATTCAAAGTTATTCAAAAATAAATCGACTTGATGGTTAAAAGCTACAAAAAATAATAAAAAGCTTAAGTGGGCCGCCTTGCCCCACCCTCTCCTGCTAATAGAAAATACGATGACACTAAATGCATACAAACTATCAATTTGTTGTACTCTCAAAGTTGCTCTTCTGTTTCCTCTTTAGTTTCACCCAGTAACGGTGCGTGTGAATCTCGTATGAAGACGATATACTTTGAGACACACCATAATTGGGTTTTTGGTTTTTTAATTTCAAGTTGAAAAAACACTTAAGAAGTTAAATGTTTTTTATCACACATATTGAAGCACACGTCGTGATTAGAGCAACAACTAAAAGAAGAATAAAAAAAAGTATGGTGTTCTAATACTGATATCAATCCAAAATAGGTAATTAAAATAAAAATTCATTTATTTGACCGCCGTGGAGCATTATTTTGCGTTGCGAATTAAATCCGTACAAAGCAAATTAGTTTCAACGAGGTATAAATCGTTATCAAATCCTATTTGATTAGTCTAGGCTTATCTAATCATGTCGTTAAGCTGTTATCAGCAATTTTTGCCTTTTTTGTGTCGAATCTTTGTTATTTTTTATTTGCTTATCTTGTTTATCTTATCTCGCGACGGCGATAAATAATAATTTGTCGCAACACCGATAAGACTTATTTCAGCACACTTTTCCGTTTCAATTTTTGATAAACAAAGTAATTTCGAATATCTTGAAACCCATATTGGAGGTGGAATCTTTTACCATTATGCCTGCCGATTAGTTATATAATTGTTCAAAACTGCTCAGTGGATGTAAAATAATATGGTTTTGCACAGCAGCCAAGTAATCAATTTAATTAGACTTAAATGCATTTTCGGATGTTGTGCATTCAAGTAGGTATACCAAAGCAGCCATAATTTATTTCGCAACATGCATATGGCAAATTTCGTAGACTATATTTTTATCAAATTGTTTGCGCTGCAAACTAGTGTCTCTTAACAGTAAATCACGCATTACGGCCTATAAATAGTTATATAATGTATAGCCAAATATTTACCCGTCTTACAAAAATAATTTCCGATTGCAGCTATGCTTGCTTCAGTTTTTACAATCGGTTTAATTTTGTGTGCGAAGTTCTTTATTGAAATGATGGTAAATAAGTTTTAACTTACGTTTTACCAATAAAATCGAATACGTCTTCCCATTTTCGTTTTTGAAAGTTTGCTACACAAATTCTTCTAACAGCTCCGACATTAATACTTTAAAACTAGGATCAGTTGATGAAATTATTAAATCACTTCTGTAATAATATAGACGTTTTCTGTCTTAGTCGCTCACAGTTTGCCACAATAATTAAACATAAATTTTTTATTACTTTACAGTAGAGAATATAGTTGAATATAGTTTATAGATGACAGAAATGAAATTGTGTTGTAAATGAATCTTAATCTGTTAGAAATTAAAGATTATTATGACCAAAATTGAATGGAATGTTGAGCTATTAAATCAGTATTTGAAAAACAACAAAAGTTGACGTTATACACGTAAGTCTATTTATTACTCACTTGTTGCAGGCATGAACAGTTTGATATCGTGATGTCTGAATTGCTTCCTAGATATTTTCTTCTTCCAGCCCTTCTTTTTGTTTATGAATTCCATTTCGATGTCATGTTCGCTAGGCGACGGACTTAGCGAACTTGGGTTTTCTGCTCCGTCGCTGTTATCGTCGGTTTCGGCGTTGATGTCGCAACTCGACTGTCGGAACAATGGCCTTTTCTTATACGGCCTTACCACATTCATATTATATCTGAAGTAATATTCTTCAAAATACATTCGTCTTACCGTCGCCGGGCCTCCTAAAAAGAGTTGATATTTCAATTTGAACCCCCAAATTAATCCAAATCAACATATTATTTTATTTAGTTTGTGTTTTTTGAGGAAAAAAAACTGGGCTCGATTTAACGTAAATGATCTAAACCTGGCTTTTGACATTGTGGATGCAATTTTATCTTGAGTAGGCAGCACGCCGTATATAGTATGTTATGCAACAAGTTTGACAAACCTCATGTTGCTCACGAGTTGGTTTTAGCATGAACGGGGTACAACGGAAACCATCTAATCGCTCCTAAACCCGTGACTAAAGAACTGCAAGCGTTCGAGGGGATGAAGCGACAGAATTTAATGAAGCTGACGTTTTGAACAATTTTAGAAGTACGTGTTTCAAAAAATTGAGATAAAATCTTAATCGCATTTTGTTATTTTTATTATTTTATTATAAATAATTTTCGCATTATTCATTTTGTGTTTTATATTTTACGTTTTCTATCTCACTTTTCGCTTAGGATTTAAAATGAGTTTCCTTCCAATAATAAAACCGATAACATGTTTGTGCAAATACATAAAATGTTACACAAGTATAATTGAAAAGGAAGAAAACGGCCTACATCTTTTAAACGAGAAACTACGTAATATGGAGTCGTGGGTGGGTGAGTGCTATATAACGGGTGTTCCAGTGGTGTTTTGAAAAAAATAAAATAAATCGACCAAAAGAAAATGGAGGAAATAATTTTCCGAGTTTCCGAAATGGCCGCCATCCTAAAAATATGACTAAAAACATTCAAAAAAACTTGGATTTTGAGAAAAATTTACACTTTGCGCGATATTATATACATCAAATTATCCCGAATTTACAAAATAAAATGCTAATCAAAATGAAATGTTATTAAAAGAAATCGACGCGTAAGGAACAATTATTTCAATACACTTTTTATTACTTTCAAATTGGTTAGTCTTCAACAATTTGCTAGTTTTGGTTAATTGACTAAACCTAAATATTTATTAAAGAATTAGTGATAATAATTATGTAAAAACACGCAAATATTTCAAAATGCAGTAATGTCAGCTGCTGGGTAATTTTGTGGATTGTAAACGAAGCAAAAGCCAAAAAATAACATTTGGCATTCTAAATAATAAATTGGCGTCTTATTTGGTAAATTCTGAATTATTATACATTAATAACAATCTATAAAGCAGAAAATTCAAACACTTTTATTGAGCATGCTTCTATTTATATTTTAGGTTAGGATATCTTGATATTGAGATAGGCATTTTTCACTGGACGTTATTTGAATGGCTTAAAAAAGTTAAATCGTTGACTTTATTCTTTTTTAGATCTCAGATATTCAGATCATAATTGTATTTTGCATAGGAATATTGGATTGCCTAGAAAATGCGTTAAAATCGCCCCAACCACTTTCATTGCAGAGATGAAGCAAATAGCATTAAACAAAAAAGGTTTGAATTTGTTTCCGCGAAAAACAAACTCAGTTTAACTGTGGTGAACGTTAGACATTTTTGTAGAAACCTAGTTTTAAATTCAATATAACAATTATGCCACCTGGTGACCATTTCAGAAATTCCAAAATATTTAAGCATTTTGTCTTGGTCGATTTACTTAATAATTCTTTTTTCCCTAAGACCGTGCCTCGTTTAAACTTAAAATTTTGGATTTTGGAGTTATCACCAACGTTAAATCGAGTTTGCAGGTATAGTAAGCCCTTTACTGTTGCTATTTACTTACGCTTAAGGCTTAACACTTACGAAATATTTTATGCTGATAATGGCCAAGGCGATTGTTGGGAATTATAGTATTCTGGGAAAATCTGTAGATAAATTATATGCCGCATAAAATGAGTAATCCGGAATCATTCAAACGCATGTTAGATATGTCTATGAGACAGATATCCGATTGTTTATTTCTGAGTTATGCAATGTGTGGTATGTCGCTGCAATAGATATGATACGGAATCGAAATTGTTGCCGTGAAAAGATTAGGTATCGACTGGGGTTATAAACGGTTGTTTAAAATGGTTATTGACCCTTATATTAGTTCAATTTCCATCGCATTTTATTAAAAAATATGAAATTTGTATATATATATATTACTCATATTATTAGTGCGTAATATGTACTTACATAGATACTTCTTTTATCGCATGTCGCTGATTTCTGAAGAATACTTCACACGACGACATCTTATTTAATTTTGCTACCAAATACTAACAGATTCTAGCAACATATTAGGCGAAATTAAAAGTCTTATTTATGAAAAAACCTATTATACAGCAGAGATAACAGAACCATGGTGATGACTAGTTTCCTTATCGTTAGGATATACGTGTTTGAAAAAAAATAAAATATTTTCAGCCATTTTAAGTTTAAATCAAATAAAATTGCTAAATTCTTGTGCTAAATAATAAAGTTCCTTGATGAATTCATGGTGTTTATCAAACTTGTTGCAAGTGATGAAAAATCGGGTTGTACGAATTATTACTTTTTTTTTTGTATTTAGTTATAGCAATTAATTACGTTACTAATTCAGCTCTAGATTTGAGAAATATTCTATATATAACTTTTTCGTATCATTTAATTATTGAAATTGAAATTTAGGAAAAGTTTTTATGATTTTTTTTATATTTACTAAGCGGCACACGACTTTCATTATTCTTCGATTCAACAACTTAACTAGATCGGACATAATGCAGCCTATTTTTAAAATTTTTGAAGAGGTTGAAGGTTCAAACTTCAAATTCAACGCAAGAAAACTACGGTCGGATCATCTGACAAGTAATATAAAATTAAATTAACAGCATCGAAATCTATATAATTATTTACTTTTGATATTTTTAATCTAATACTTTATTTAGCTTGTCAATGTGGATATTTTAAAAAGGAGACCAAACCTGGCTAGCACATTCCAATACTGAGTAAACAAAAGCACAATACAAAATCTTAAAGACATAGACGGGGTATTAATTAATTATGCTAATTTTCTTTAAGGAATGATTCTCTGCTTAATTTAAGTTAATATAAATACGACTCCAAAAGACCTTCGTTTTTGATACTAGCGGGCGTTCTGCAGCGTCTGCCGCATCCCGCATTTCGATCACCATTGCTTTCTGTCCCAATAAATAGCTCTGTCCCTCATTCTTCTATCTATATTCTATTCCCTTCATCTATGTTATAGATGATCGGCTTTTTTTTCTATGTATATTAGTTGTCTGGTTGCTATGCTTCCTGTTGTGATGTAAATTCTTTTCGTTCTTCTTCTAATCTTTTCATTAGCGATATGTTCTAATCTGGACTTGTTCGAGAAAACCATTCCTTCGGTATCAATTATTTTTTCTCTTTTCGGTTGATAACTGTTAACACTTTATTTTTTTACAATTGCTCTGTAGATATTCAGTTTTATATTTATCTGATTCGACCAGAGTAGTGAATAATTAGTTTTCATTTCTGCCCATTTTGATCCCTATACGCTATATATATCCATTTAACAAAATAAATAAGAATTAAAACTTCAGATTTTCACGAAATTATATATTTTCACATAACAATTGTTTCGACAACACCGTGTCTTTGTCGAATGTAATCTTTACCAATTACCTGCTACTATATATACCGAAAAATGCCAATAACACCTTAATTAATGTTTTTGTGAGAATTTAAGTTTAATAACGGAGAGGTATTTAAATCTAATTGAACGTTAAGCAACACATTTGAATGTCTCATTTTGTTAATCTCCATGGCTTCCAATAAATTTAATTTTCTAGTTTTGTGGCTGTATGTAAAATATCAAAAATGTGTTTTTTTGTGTTTGAGTGTGTAGACTATTGTTTTTAAACGCTCTTTTATGTTCGTTAATGCGTTTCTTGAAGGAACTGCCTGCTAGTCCAATATAAATTTTAGGACAAGATCCGCATTTCAACCTGTAGACACCTGATTTTTGAGATTTTGGACATTTCGTTTTATTGATTTAAAAAAAAAAATTCCTGTTGTGTTGTAAGTTCTGAAAGCATTTTTAAACCACATTTTGACAAATGTTTTGAAACTTTTTTCAATGGGTTCTCCTATGTATGTAATTGTGTTAAATTGTTCGTGTTCTGTACTAGGTTTGGGATAAATAAAGAGTTTACTGTTGTCTGGATTTGTTTTTTATTTATAATTTTGGAGCAGTTGTTCAGTGCAATTTGTTTAATGATATCAAGTTCTTTGTTGTAATTTTCTGTTGAGAGTGGCATATTAAGAAGTCTGTGTATAAAAGAGTGAAATGCAGCCATTTCGTGTATATAAGGGTGATTTGAGCTATTATGTATGACTGTGTCCGTGTGTGAAGGTTTATGGTAAATAGAAAAATCTAATTTGTTTTGCGTTTTCGTAATAGTTAAGTCTAAAAAATTAATAGAGTTATCCTGCTCAATCTCGATAGTGAATTTTATAGGATAATGTAACGAGTTAATGTAATTTAAAAAAGAATTCAATTGTCTGTCCGTTCCAACAAAGTAAGCAAAGACATCATTCACGTATCTATACCACCATAGAAAACTTTTACTTGAAGGAAGGTCTAGTATGATATTTTCCAAATTATCAATAAAAATCTCGGCAACAAAAGACAAAGTGGGTTTCCCATAATAAAACCTTCCTTAGAAATGTAAATCTGTCCATTAAATTCAAGATAATGTTGGTCTAAAGATACTATTAAGCAATGTAATAAATTTTGCTTCACCAATGGGTTAACCTGTTTCCGAGTGAGGGGAAATCTACTGAATCTATCGCATCCATAGGTGGTAAAAAGACAATAGTGTTGCGTTAAAAAGGATTTTGATATCTTTAATTTTGGTTTAAAATCTGTGTGGAACTTTAAAATATTTACTAATTTTGTTGAGAGTTTAACTGCTGGCTTACTTAAGACACGACTGGTTTAATGGGCATATCTTGTTTATGTAATTTAACTAAGGAATATAATTTAAGCGGTTGTGGATTCATAATTGTTAAAAAATACTTGTCTTTGTCACTA